CACAATAGTTTACAGTATTTACCTATCAGAAAAGGTGATCTTTCATGGCTATGTTAATAAAGTTTACCCGTTTACCTGAGGGTAGCTATGGTTTCTATGGTTTACCTGAAGGGTCATTCCCCTTGTGGTAGTATCCATGGATGTTGAATGATATCGCCCATGGATATCTCAATTATCGGTTGGGCCCCTTGAAATGGGACTTGCTATCAAGAAGTCGCGTTCGAAGGGCTGCTGAAGCCTTTTAAGACTTTCTCAAGCGATATAGGGCGATGAAAAATCCGCCGCGAAAGATGCATCTGTTGGGAACTCTGTTGGGCGAAAGAGACATCTGTTTCCATAATGTTTCCATGTAAAATCAGATTTTGAACCATGTTAATGAATGAAATTCTAAAGCTAGCTTCTGATGACCAAGAGAAAACGTAAACCATCAGTTGGATGATCATGGACAATTCCATACGTTTTTTTTTGAGGATTGTTGCACTTGGCGATATGATCCCGCCTAGATCCGTGTTCTTTTTGATTGCCCTGGTTCTATGTTGACATCAAAATCCGTGCCATTGGGGTAGCTGGTTGGTGATTTCTTGTTGGAATTTGGGATTGTAACCCCAATTGACTAAAGTTAACAGTTTAAGCACATTTAAATCATTTAAGCAAAATGGCCGTGCTGTAAAATTTGGAATTCCCTCTGGTCCTCATTATCTTCATCCCTTCATCCTCACCACTACCAATGTATCATGTAGATGATGAGTTGGCAAAATGACACCCTACGGTCCACAGAATTGTGATCATGACCATTACCCTCTGGCAATCCAAAGTGGTAATGGACAATGCCCCATTCAGTTCAATCATATTCCCATGTCAAAAAAAAGAAACACATTTATGGCGGATGTTCAATTGCGACGTTTGATTACCGTAGAGTACTAATCAATTCCAATCATTCCTACTCTTCGCTCTCATTTGCACTAGGTTCTTCTGGCGCGAGTTGGGGAGGAATCTGCAGGGGAGCTCTGGCCCGCCTCCACATCATGGAATCGGATTGATTCAAAAAGAGTTGTGGAATTTCAGACCCCAAGCGGCAAAGTCAGGCATGGTTGTGGTTGGTCATCTCATCTTGATTTAACTATAAATGCCACCCGGAAATCAATCCTAGCACTGGGAAATCCTCACTTTCCAATGGAGCTTTGCTGTGTCATCGAAGGCCATGATCCATTGCCACGGTCTCTGGTGGAATGTCTCTGCAATCATCCCCGTAGCTGGCCGAACTTTTCGGGTTACCCTCTGGTAATTTAACATAGCTATTAAAATGGCCATTTATAGTGGATTTTCCCATTGAAAATGGTGATTTTCCATAGTTATGTTAAATTACCAGAGGGTAGTGCATTCATAAATGGTCCAGACTGAATGGTTTTGAATGGTTTTGACCCATCCGCGGTTCGCGCCTGCTTATTTTCCGATATTTTCTTAAATGACGCTCCACAATGAACTTGCACATGGTGTCACGTTGCGGGAATATGTTGTTGCAAGCTTTGGTGGTCCCAAATAGATCCAAGCGACATGCGTTTTTAAAACCACCAGATGACAGCTCTTTCAAGCCTTGGTTGGCGTGAACATAGTGGTTGTTCGTTTCCAATACCCTCCAGTAAGCATAAGAGTTTGCTATGGGTTTCATGGCCCATGAAAATCGATTTGAGCTCTTTAACATGGTGGATTTTCCATGATTTTCGCGCGAACTAACTCTTAGTTTACCGGCTAATCAATGGTAATCATGTGGATTTCTATGGGATTTCTATGGATTTCCATCCCTCAGAACCCTAAACAAAATCCGATGTTGATGAGTCGTCATAGCTGTGGATGGTTCAGGTGCACAAAATTTAGGCCCAACCGCGCGCTGGTTTGGTTCCAGGCCTAAGCTTAGGATGTGAATCAAGATCCTCGAATCTTTAACTGCATACATATATATATATAGACTTAGTTCCTTTAGGATTACTATAATAAAGATAATATCGATAACTATATTTAGGGGTATATATAGATATAGATATAGATATAGACTGGTTGGTGGTTTGGAACATGAAATTTATTGTTCCATATGTTGGGAATTTCATCATCCCAACTGACTTTCATATTTTTCAGAAGGGTAGGTCAACCACCAATCAGTTGATATAGAACTATAATTATAAATAAATTGGATAACATCATATATCAATAAATTTCTAGAATTATCAATCATATATCTATATCATATATCTATATCATTCTATATTCTAGTATTCTATATATCATGATATATCCATCCATATCTACAAGTAGGATGATCCTCCACTTCCTTGGATCTGGCGATCCCTTAAGGGGAGCCGGTCCAGCTATGGCAAGGCCCAACGGCCCAACCCCCTATTTTTACGCAGACAACATGTTGAACACCTGGAGAATATCTGGAGAATATGGGGAAAACATATGGAAACAGAAAACATCGATTTCACATCGAAACATTCAACGAATATTTTTGTGTTTTGTAATCCAAGCCGGTAGAGATGCAAGAGTTCAAGCCTTAGTGGGTGATATTCCCAGAAAACGGTGTCCACTATGTGACCATTTTCCTTCGCTTAGCCGCTTCGCTATGGACGATCGCACGATCAAGGTGGAAGCAAAGGGTTTATCCACTGTGGAAATCGTCGGGGTTCGATGTCAGGTACAAGGGGCATCAACGAATATCATTTGGAACATGCAAGGGTGGTGCCCCCCCAGTTATAAGTTGGTTTATAATATCATTAACTAGTTCCATATATCTACCATAAATCCTAGTGAAATTAGAGTTATGTTCACCAACTTATATAACTATCGACCGGGGGCACCACATGGTGACCATAAAAAATCTGGAGAATTCAGAACCATAATCTGGAGATCCCTGGGGAATTCATCCATAAAATGGGCCATGTTCCACATCGTCATGTTAGTGGACCATCTGGTTATTTAATATGGCCAACTGGAACATATTGGAAACTTACCCTTTGATAGGTAAATCATCATAAACCATTGAACTAGTATTACTTCACGAACCAGAGGGTACATTATTATACTTAAGGGGAATAGTTATAATTGGGAATGTGATGGGAATATGCCGAGAATAGCGAGAGAGAGAGAGAGAGGGGATATCACGGAGTTTTTATCTGGATTAAATTTGATCATGATCTCACAGTCGCTTTCCGTCACTGGAAACGATGCCTTTCAGGCTGGTGAGTTGTGAAGGCGATTTGGCACAATTTGTTTGGCAATTTTTTAGGGCAAATTGTTTGACAGTTTGCTATTGAAAATGGAGCATCTAGTTCGATGATTACCTACTAAAGGTGGTGATTTTACATAGCTATGTTAAATGACCAGAGGGTACTGTGTACAAACCGCTGAGCCATCTCCTAAGGTCGACCACGGATCAAGGAACTGGCAATATTTATATAGTCAGGGTCCCATTTAGTACAATGAGAGATTTCCTGATCAATAAACTTGGGTTGTCAGTCACAGGTTGTCCTTTTGTACTCAATCAACTGGAGACATGGAACTCGAGAGGGAGGAATATGTATTCACAATGAGATGAATAGGCTTGAGGAACAAATGCGGGCTATATGATACTGCGCCAGTAACAGCATACGTGTATATATACTGTAATGTTTTTAGATGTATAGGTGTAAGAATCCAGACATTGTCCAGTGGCTTTTCGATATTTCATGATCTGATAAATGCATAAATACCATAGAAACCATAGAAATATCATATTGACATTTCATAGAAAAACATTTTTTTTGGATAGAGTTATATAGAAACAACTTTGATTATGTAAGTTAGTTTATAACCCATTCATAATCTGTAAAAATGGCATTACCATTGACCATTTATAATCCCATTAATAGAAGTATCAAGAGTATAGTTTGTCCCATTTGTTATGAACCCATTAGCACCCATTAAATATAGAGATATCTGCCGTAGACTGTGGCTAACCAAGTTGTATGCCAAGTTACAACTTGATCGTATAAGTTGGTTCGTAAACCTTAACCCATTAACTAGTATGACAACTATATATATACATATATATAATGTGGGTTAAACAATGCCATATCAACCATTTTCCAGTCATCACTATTTTTATAGGTTCGATGAAAACCATTTTTAGTCATGGGTGGTTTATGACATGGTTTTAACCACAAAGGGTTGAGTTTTCCCATAATTTACTATAGAAATACCGTAGAATTCCCGTAGAAATACCACCAAACATCGACGACGAATTTGGTCGCGGCAGGGGCTCGATACCTCGGTGACGCGATCCTTTGAGTCCACGGGCAGTCCGAAGGTGGGGAATTTTTGGCACCGAAATCTGGCACCGAAATCACCCAACGACGACGTTTCAGTGGGAAAGTCAGCTTTTTTTGGGGGATTTTCGAGCCATGGATTTTTGATCAGAAGGTAGCGCAAAATGATCTAGATTCGTGATGAACCACATTTACATGGGCGGAGTTCCATGCGTGGTGAGACAATGTCATGATCTTGCAGGATCTTTCTGCCATAGTCACCCCGAAGAGGGAAATCCCAAGGAAAATGATAGCTGAAAGGCTGAAAGTTGACATACTGGAGAGCAAGCCTTTCTTTGGGTAAGTTCATAGGAGAACATGATACAACTTGAAACATCTTGTAAGTTTGGGAAACATCAGCTAGTGACAGCTAGTGAAGGGATGCGAATGGTACACTACCCAGCAACATCCCAGCAACTATGAAAGATTGCTTCGGATAGAAACACGGATTTCTGTCTGACTTTCAGGGGGGCTTTGAAATCTGACTTTTCAAAGGCAGCTTTGAATGAATTTGAACCAAAGATCTGGAAGCTCAAAATGGACACTTTTCCAGCCCAGTCTCCAGAGGTAGCAAGGTGAGATCATGGCGACCCGGGGGAATCTCAGGCGCGCTTGGAGGCTTCATTCACCCGGGAATGGCATGCCATTTCCATTTCGCAGGCCATGCCCAAGGCGGCCTGGATGTCAGGTGAATGGGACCAGATTTTGGTTTACATATATATATATATTAAATATATATATATAACTATATTTAGTGATATATATTATATATATTAACCAATAACTTCCCAGAGCCGGGATAATTTGGTTTGTCGGGACATGTTGATATACAGAGATATATTCATATATATTCTAAATCTACGGGATTGCTATGTAATCGATATGTACAATACTATGTCATAAAAAATATCACACACTGGAGGATGATGTTCACCAACCCATATTTGGGGTCCAGCCTTGGGGGGTCAAGGATTCATTTTCAGCCAGTTTTCCGCAGCACAAATTTGTTGTTTTCACCCAGGAAAATGGGCCCGGAAATCATTGTTACAGAGTATATTTCCCGATTGAGTAGAGAAAGAATTGCACAAAACTCCTTTATGATTTGAAGGTGCACAGCATGGTTTCCGGTAGATGTTCCCTTAAACCACTCCATTGACTCCATTGGTTATCATGTTTGGCAATTCAACACCCGTTAAATCACCATTAGTTTCCAGTAAAACACCTGGACTACTCCATTGATATGTTGATGGCCGGTACTCAGACATGGCCATGGGACACAGCTACCTGGCTATGCAAATCCACACATATATATATACCCTCTGGTTATTTAACATAGCCATGGAAAATGGCCCATTTATAGATGGTTTACCTATTAAAAATGGTGATTTTCCATGGCTATGTTAAATATCCAGATGGTATATTATACATATAATTATCTATCCATCAATCCAATCTAATCTAATCTAAATCTAATCTTACCCTGCGTTACCTGTCTATCTACCGATCTATCTATCTATCGATCTATCTATCTATCTATCCAGCGTATATGTGCATTATGTAGGGTGATGAGCTGTGATGTGGTGTTTTGTATTTGGTAAAGTTTATGTAAAGACTTGCAAAGTAATGCCAGCACTGCGTCATCCGGAATTCACGGGCAAAGATCAGACAGACACCACAAAACTTAAGAACATGGAGGGGGAAGGCAAACAAACAACCATATATATATAATTACATACATTCATATGCGTGATATATATATATATATAACTACCTAGGCATCCATTCGTACTAGAAAAAAGTACCCCCCATGGTTTCCTACTAGTTTTGTCAAAATCGTTCAAATTTTGTCAAAATAGATCAAAATAGTCATCTTCGTATCGTTTTTTTGACGGGCATTACTTTTTAAGGGCACCAAGCATAAACTGACAGAAAATCATCACACAACTCGAGCGCAATTTTGCGCAACTTGAGCGCAATTTGAAAAAGTAGTACACTTTGCAAAAATTCACCAGCAAGATCGTTTACTTTTTTGGAACACGACCACTTTTTTATTTGTGAAACGTCATCAAAATTGTTGAAATGACAACTTTTCAATCCGTGTCAGTTTTTTCTAGTACAATGGACAATGGACATCCGGGTATGCATGTGTATAATAGTACCAGTTATCCAAAAACAATGTTCATAGAATTGGATGATAGGAAATTTACAGGAAAGCCCTATATTTGATGGTAAAAACATATAAAAACCATGGTTTCCTGTAAATTTTCCCTTAAACCAATCCAGTGAAATGTGTATTCAATCTGTTTACCAACATTTCAACATTCCTTGAATTTCTTCAAGAGACCGGGTAATCGGGTAATCTGCAAACGTTATGCGAACGTTGAAGGCCGATACCTTGGATTCGGAGATCAAACAGCACCTGCATGCCGTGGGGGAATTGACCCTTGGATCCTGCTGAGGATGTTTTCGATGTTTCACGCCCTGAAATTCATAAGTATTGAATAGTGACATGATAAGCAATTAGCTACAAAAGTTATAATAGTGGTTGAGATCGTTGTGAGTGAAAAGAATAGAATGGCCAGTGATGGATTGATCATCATTTGGACCAAGCAAATGATGCCAGATGGAGCACCAGTATCTGAACCACAAACATCCCAGTTAGTTGGTGTTTGGACACATGCTGCTGTCAATCAGTTGATGTTTCACCACATCTGAAATCGATGATATGTCATAAACCAAATTGTGTACCCGAATGGCTGACTATCAAGGGCTAGTTTTTTGATGTTTTTTGAAAGGTATATTCCCCGCTATTTGTCACCCAAACCTAGTACTGGTCATCTTTCGGGTTGAATCCTGCTGGACGGATTTTTGCCGATTTTCCCCACTTTCCCAGATATACAGTGTTTTTTTTCAGATGTTTGGGTTTATCCCACATGTGTTACAGCACATAACTGAGTTATAACATGTTATAAATACATGGTTATTAAATGTTACTGTATTCACCAGTGTGGTGTTATGGTTATATCACCAGTTACTAAGTGGTGTTGTGGATTGTTATGGTTATTCACCAGTTATAACATGTTATAACATGTTGATATATATTATAAATACATATAAATACATGGTATGTTATAAATATGGTTATTAAATGTTATTCACCAGTTACTAATTGCCAGATATTGCCAGTTACTATCTGTCGTTCTGCCTATCAATCTTATTAACTGCCAGTTTCTGTAAGGATCCTCCAGATTTTTCATCAGCGGATGCAAGGACTCAAGAATTGGATCAGCTCTTCGAGGAGATGGGGCAGCAGATCACGGCGCCACCGCTGGATTTCGATGTCGTTTTTTTTCGGCTTGGAATAGGCACCTCTTAAAGGATGACCTGGGTGAAGTCTGCAAGATTTCGTTTCAGGTTGTTTCATGTTGCTTCATGTTTGATATGTTGGAAACTTGGATTACTTGAATCATGTTGAAAAAAACATCTTTGTGCGTTTTAGTATGGTTGAACAGAATTTTTGTGGACAGGTGGGCCCCACAGCGCTTCAACCGGGAAATCGTGAAATCCCCGCAGGTGCTGAAAGTGGGTGTCCGCCACGAGTGTCGTATAGCCGCAGGCCGTTCACAAATCCGGTGGGGGTTGCTACCAATGACCAGAGGAATGTATGCAAAATGAGGAAAAAAACGGATCTCAGATGGGTATGGTTTACTAGGTCAATCTTAGATGGGTACTTTAATCCTTTAGTCTTTGGGTATCAATGGGAATATCCACTAACCAGCAAAGATTTTTTTTTTTTTTTGCAGGGTATCTAAGATTGGCAATGTTTATATTGGTTTATCATGGTTTATCATTAATAGTCATAAATGATTTACTCTCATTATACTGTCCAACGTTGTAAGGTCGAATTGATATGACAATTCTTAGCCAAGTGACCAAGGCAAGACTGAAACCACAACTCACTGGCTAAACGTAATGGGGGAGTGATCCATTGCTATGAAAATTAAGAATCATAATTTTGATGGTGATCATATTTTCATAATTACTATGAGTTCCCAATTATTACTTAGTAATTTCTATGAAAATCATAATCAATCATCCCATTCGTCCCTACCCTCTGTTAATTTTACATAGCTATGGAAAACGCTCATGTTTAATGGGTAAACCAACTATTTCTATGACTATGTTCAATAGCAAACTGTTAAATGACCCGAGGGTAACATTAAAATTCCACTAAATTACATTGTTTTTCTTGGTTAAATCCCATTAAATCACCATTAATATCCTATATTATATCACCCGAGGCTAATTTTCCCTACTAAGCATCAGTAAGACAACATCAGCCCTTCACGGCGAAGGTCTCACACGGAAGTTGGAAATCAAAGTGGTCGGAGACGATGTCACGGACATCCAGTCGCTTGGAAGTTGTTTGAAGTCGCTGCGGTGGGTTTGGACATCCAGCACATTGATATAGACAGCAACACACACACATATATATATATATATATTTATAATTATATATAATTATATATATATATATATTATGTACATCATATTTCATATATCATATATCATATTCAACATATCATATATGATATATTCCTATGTTAATATGATATACATATCTTTGTTTTCGCTCATCCATCCATCCCAGCAACGAGGTGAATATGGAGTCAAGCCAACGTACCGGAGGAATTTATTGATGGTGTACACAGTTTACAAATGCGGTAAACCCTATGATAAAATGGATGGCTAATGGATAAAACATAGATAATTCATGGATAATTAATGGATAGTTAATGGATAGTTACTAGATGATTCATGGATGATTCATGGATAGTGTGGCAGACGGAATGCCATCAACAATCTTATTAACCATGACTGGGCTTTGTTAAGAGCAGCATCCCACTTCAAGGGGCATACCGGGCATACCCCAAAACTCTTCCAATGCCAGTGGTAAACCCAATGCCATATATAAACCATCCATAAAATGACCATGTTTATTAATGGGTGGTAGAAACCATCCCGAACTGGTAGGTTTATGGCGTTGGGCATTTTAGTTTTGATGTTTAGCCTCTGGCAATTTCACATAGCTATTGAAAGAATGGCCAAAGTGGCTCGTTGATTTACCTATAATAAACGGGCGATGTTCCAGTTCGCTTTCTGTCTTAGTTTCTGTCCCAAGCTTCCATCTTGGCGGTCACAAGGATGGCGTGTCGCCTGGATGAGAACAAGCATTTGGTGGATCAACTTGACAAACTCGATGAGGAGTAGAAATCTGAGAAAACCCGGGGCAAAACTGGCTAGACGGCTAGACCCAAAGTTGCCAAGAAATCACGCGAGCATGTTTAATCACTTCCCGCCCAAAGTTGCATGTAAAAAATCATGGATTTCTGAATGGGAACGGGGGAAATCTCCGAGATCCTTGTGATCCAACACCGCCGTAAAGTTTGGTCGGGAAAACCAGGCGAAATTTGCCAGCCTTGAGGGGCTGGTGATAAATATAAGGGCAGTTACTGTGTTGATCATATTCTTGGGAAGGTGATACATAACAATAATTAATATTATAATTAGAAGCATAGATGATCATCATGGTAATAATCATAAACATGTTCGATATTTATATATATATATGTGTGTGTGGATAATGGTTTTGCATTTGTGCCAAAACATATGTCCATGTGACATCATTTTTTTCTTATAGTACGGTCTTATTTTTGTTACAGGTATTTTGCATACATATCCATGACCTTGTGGTGATTGACAAGCTGGTTGCCCGTATTTCACCACCATAGTTGCGTTCATTAAATCGCCCCAATATGTACCTCGGACCTCAAACAACCAGAAATAACCAGGGTGGTTCCTCAGTTCCAACCATCTGTTATGTCAATGTTGATGCCGCCAAGCTATGTTTGTTGGTTTAAGCCTTGCCTAAAGATATCATAATATATCTACCATAGATCAACTCGCTACCCTCTGGTAATTTGACATAGCTATTGAAAATGACCATTTATAGTGGATTTTCCCATTAAACATGGTGATTTTCCATAGTTATGTAAACGTTTGCCAGAGGGTAACCTAAACATACCTAAACAATGACTTGGGCCACCACTTTTACACCAAGGTTTCCATGATTTTGTCCATGACGTCATGATATTCGTTTGGGGGTTTCACCCCCAAGGAATCCCCAGAAAAACCAGCGGTTTTCGGCGGCGGCGCAGGAGACACGTTTAGCACCTGAGCCTTTTGCGCTGGGCATTTGTGATACCGCACGCCAGGTGCGACAGGGTCTCGTCAAGCCTGGAATGATGGGTAATGTGGGTAGCGTCCAATAGATCTGCTTAGCAGTTTCATGGGATTTAAACGGGAGGTAAAACATTTTCATAAACCATCCCCCAAATCACCATTTTTGCAGGTGGTGCAAACCATTCCCAGTCATGGGTGCTTTCTGACATTGTTTTACCCACATTATAGGGAAATATCATGAACATTCATGAACTATCACAATGATAATTGACCCAGAGAATATATCATATGTTGTTCGTACCTCATGGAAAGTGTATAGGTTTGAAGCCCGATTTTTGGGGGATATGGATCCAAAAAAAGATCTGAAAAGGTTCCCTTTTGGCTGGTGGATCAGACACAGTGCCCAGTTGGAACCCTTCGAATCAGAACTGGTTTTGTCCATCCTGGGATGATTTGCCTTGATATTTTTGATGGGAGACCAGCCACCAGGCAGTGGGGCAGTATGGCGCAGTGGTTCTCATTGGGATTTTGCTGGGATGAGCCTGTAATGGGATCACCCAAACCTGCACGAAAAAAATCCCACAGAGTGACATCTGTTTGGTGTTTGCAGGTTCCACAGAAAACAGTCATTTTGTTGCTTACACTGGCCCACGCTATCTCTTTATGACCAATTTTTCTTCAACATCCCAATTTTGGGTGGGCCAAAAACCCGATTCCAAGCCAGCTAGACTGACATGGCGTATCAATGCGTATCAGCAGGTTTTGCTATAATCAGTTCTCATGATATTCTCATTAAAACGTCCATTTTCATGGTTGTTCCCTCATATTTTCCCATAGTTTTCCCATATTTTCCAGCCACATCGGGCCTTTCAAAAAACCGTTGGAGGCCCTGGACGAAGGGCCCTACCGGGAATGGCTGGAGCCGGACGTGAGTCAAAGCTTGCGCTTCGGAATCGAGGTGCGCTGCCAGGGCGGGCTGGGATTTTGTGGTCGGCCACCAGGTGGCTTCCAGTTCGAGATGTGGATGATTTTTGTCGAAAAAACATGGTGGGAGTTTTGTAGGAAGTTCATCCTATAGCTAGGGTGAACCAAGGCATTAATATCCATTAATTAAGTGGGATGAGCAGCCAAGTAGAATGATGAATGATGATTTGTAATCATTGTTGCAATTGTAATCATCATTACACATAATCATTGGGTATAATTTGTTAATCAATGATTAACATGATAAATTGATTATTTTCCTACAATGGCAAATTATTGATAATTGGTGATTAACATTGGTGATAATAATGAACCAATGGGGCTACCCAAACCGCATAAAATGGTGTTGAAACCAATGGCGACTTGGGGGATCCCGAATCGAAACCAGCAAGAAATTGATCACTGGGCATCATGTTTTATAGTCAAATGGTTGTACCCGGCCTGGTAAACATACAAAAAGCTACAGTATTGAAAATGGCCATTGAAATAGTGGATTTACCTATTGATAGCATGGTGATGCTCCATAGTTTTTTGTCAACGTTTACCAGAGGGTAGATGTATTGGTATGGAATACATATCATTTTTTTTTACTGTAATGCTGATGTCAAACATATCAAACCATAGCTAGTGATTTTATATTGGGACATGTTCTGAAATATATTGGAATATCCCAGGATATGAAATCAAATTAGCCCATCGCATGTGAGATTAGTGGAGTGCATCTTAACAGCCCAGGGGATTCCGAAGCGGCTGAAAGGAATATTTGCAATTTTTAAATCTATCTATCTATATCTATATCTACATATATATAAATATATAAATATATAAATATATATATATATATATACCGGAGCGCCTCATATTTGTAGCTAAAAATCCTTGTTTCAAGTTTCAATCGTAAAACTTCGCCAAGAGATCAGTCCAGGTTTCAAAACCACTGGACAGGACTAACGATTAGTTCAGCGTCTTTTTATACTCAAGATATTGGGGGTCCATATATTATATTATAGTATATATATATGTATGTATACGTGCTATCTATTATATAATATTATGCTGTAATATTCATCATCTATGAGCTGGGAATCTTTTGTTTTTTCTTAACCATGCAGCCTGGAGACACCGTGTTTTGATGGTCGATGGAGTCGATGGCCGTGTTTTTCGTCTCAGGATTCCAGCAGTTTCTTCGTGAACCTTCTGGTGACTTGACGAACTCGGGAGCTCCTGGGAGAACGACTCGGTGAAGAGAGCTGACCCGTTGAACCATGGTTTCTGAGAATGTCTCTTGGAAGTTTGTTTTCCCTCATATTGGAGGGAAGATAGTCCTTGTGATTTCTACAATAAAACCGTTTCTGCTGCTTTCCAAAATGTTTTTTTTTTGCATCATGCAACGGTTCCATAGTGTTATCGATCCATCCTTGTTTAGTTTGGGGCTGTCCAAAGGTAGGGTCCCCATACAATTTTTTGCTGATGGTAATCCCTCGCATGAAAGGAGCTTCACATACGCAGCATAAGAAATGCTAAAAAAGTGGTTGGATGAATATACCCCATATATCCGATATATCCGCATATATCCGCATATTATGAGTTTACTGCAAGTCTGAAAATAGGCCGAATACCGAGCAATCTAAGGGTTTTGATCCTCCCATGATTTGGTACATATTGGGGGCACCAAAAGAATGGCAAAGAACAAAAGCAACAGCAGAATCATGGGTTATAGTGTTCAACTAACAATTCACAACAATTATGGAAATACGTACCATTAACATCCATTATCTCCCAGCAACAATAAACATGTGTGGTCATAGTTCCAATCCGACCCATAGCCTCCCAAAATTCACAGTTCATCCCTGAAAATCGAAAAAAAAAAACATGGGAAAAATGGCACAAAAATTGCCGAGGCCAAGAAGGAGTGCCACGTGATCTTCATCAGCAAGGAAAGTGGAGACAGAAACTGGGGGTTTCTGGAACAGCTAGCCTCCGTAGCCTCCAGTATCCTCCAATATATCCAAAAAAATATGAAAAAAAAACCATGCTTTCAGAAGGAAAGTGATCTACAAATGATCTTACCCTCTGGTTATGTCAAAATGGATCTTTCCATCAGTTTTTTGTATGTTTACCAGAGATACCAGAGGGTCAATGGTGGGTTTGGAATATTGACCTTAACTTCTCCCATCTTTTGGCCATGCATGGGGGTTATATATTTACCACAAACACACACACACACATATTAAAACATATATAGATAGATATAGATAGTGCACACACACACATACTTAAGCAGCATGACAGCATGTATAGAGATTTTTTGGAGTCAAATGCCCAGCCATGGTGGTAACAATCCTGATTATTTGCATGCCAAATCGCTTCAAAATGACTCCTTTAAATCTGCCAATCGATCAGCCGTGACTGTCCAGGCGATCAGCCGAGCGACCAACAAATCCAAATTCTCACTGAGTAGTGCCCTGGCTGAAGATTTGTTACCCTTTGGTAATCAAACAAGGCAATGGAAAATTCTCCATATAGATGAATTTCCCATTGAAAGATTGAAAGACATCTGTTTTTGATCCGTGTGATTCTGTATATAGATGATGTTCATTGATCTTCCCAGCTAGAAACCTCAATTTTTCATTGGTAAACCCGCGGATGTTGTAAACCAGTGCCCTGAACAAGTGCTTGGGGATGATTTCATCCACCTATGGTAATATTGGGGATGGTTTATTATGGGGTTTTAGTTTTCCACATTGTTAGGGGATGTTGGGGGAATCGTATCGAACTTTAGGGAAAAGCTGGTTTTATGAAATACGCGACATCAATTTATTGACTTTATTGACAGCAATCACGATATTTTAATATATGTTCCGTCACCATCACGAATGATCAACAATCACTATCAATCACTGCACATGATTTGCCCATGCCTCCATGTTCCCTAAGGGCCCTAAGGGCCCTAAGTGAACAGCATTTGAGACCCAGGGACCGTCTGTTCCAGTCCGATCCGTCATTGGTGTTGGGGATGATCAGTCGTTGATCCGAGGGAAAGTCGCCAGCGACTTTCAAGGTGAGAATGTCCAGTTATTTCCGATGTTCGCCTATTTCGCCATAGTATGAATAGTATGGATTTAATTTACTGTTTATGCCATATATGTTTAATACATGGGATTTATGTATTATGTATTCTTTCAAGATTTTTCTTTCTTATCCTTATGCTGCTGAATTGCCATGTGTCGTTTCCAAATCGCCTCACACACCCCAACAATGAGATGCACAAATGGAAGAGATGCTGGTTTAACTTACCATCTGGTTATTTAACATAGCCATGGAAAATCCCTTATAAATGCGGGTTTTAATGGGAAAATCATCTATTTCTATGGGCCATCTATACCATGGCTATGTTAGTCATAACCAAATGCTCCCAATTTGGCTGATTCGACCCATTTTTTTTGTCGACCCATGTTGATCTTCTGAGTCTTGGTTGGGCTAGTGCCATGGCGATGAACCACTAGATCCATGCTTATTCATGTATCATAATAAGCTCATCGACCAGCAAGATCTTTTGAATTATGTTAATTTCAGCTTCAGTTTTGTTAGGTTATACTATACTTTGTTATTATGTTACCACGCTACCATATCATTCAGAACATGTTATTACCACAAATGATACTTGAACAATAGAAGCATGATAACATATAGTAACCTTAGTAATCCTAAGTATCACAATAACCATAATAATAAGTATTGATACTATTATTTGTGATTATAATGGTTGCTAACATAATACCATAATCATAATACTTGGTTATACTTTTGTTATTAACAAGTAACCATATATAATCCATAATAACCCATTATGTATGGATATAACCCATATATAACCCATATATAACCCATATATAACCCATATATAACCATATATAACCCATATATAACCATATATATATATATATACTTGAACACCTAAGTAACAAAGTAACCATATGCCCCAAGGCGGTGCCATCGAGAACACCTTGGGGAGCACCGGATGGACCTTGGAGATGCAGAAACTCATGGAGAAGGCCGGGGGAAAAGATGAAACGCTAAGGAGCTACGAATTGAGTGATAAATGGATAGATAAAACACACACACATATATATTTATAACATGGTATATATTGTTTTTTATATGTATATATATATATACTGTATATAATATTATATTGTAGTATATATATATATTATACAATATGTATATATATATATAACAATAATACTAAATATACACAGTACATGGGCTTCAGATCATCCAATTATAAGACGGGATAAGCCATGATAAGCCAGGATTTTGAGGACTTATGATAGGCTTGTTGGTCGCAGTTGCAACCCATGGGATGATATTGCATCGGGTGTACTGATTTTCTGGGGGAAGATCAAGATACCAATGGGGGAAATGTACCAAGAAAGCGAAGATTTGCTGTTTTGCCGGAGGTGATTAGTTGAATTTGCCCGATGGAATATCCACCACTAGGGAGTCTATAGTGAATACTGTGCTGCTTTTTGCCAAGAATTTAAGGGGTGATGAGGACAGGCTATGGTTGTCACCACAACAATCACTGGGGGGCGGGGTGTAAGACACCAAAAGGGAAGGAATCATGAATCCGAGACCTTGCAATAATGACAATGAATCCATGGGACTAGAGCCGCTAGAAGATTGGAACTTGTGATCCTACTAATTGTGATGATTCGATGATGATGATGATGATGACGATGATGATGATAACCATTAATTACAATGGCAAATATGTTAACAACAGTTCACCAACAAGTCATGATGATGATGATGATGATCATGATGATGATGATGATGATGATGATGATGATTACCATTAATTACAATGGCAAATATGTTAACAACAATTCATCAACACGTCATGATGATGATGATGGCGATGATGATGATAACCGTTAATTAAAATGGCATACATGTTAACAACAATTTATCAACAAGTCATGATGATGATGATGATGATGATGATGATAACCACGAATTACAATGGCAAACGTGTTAACAACAATTCATCAACAAGTCACATGGTGATGATTATGATGATGATGATGATGGTGATGATGACGATGATGGTAACCATTAATTACTATGGTAAACATATTAACAACAATTCATCAACAAGTCAGACTATGACTATGATGATGATGATGATGATGATAACCGTTAATTACAATGGTAAACATGTTAACAACAATTCATCAACAAGTCACATTTTGATGATGATGATCATCATGATGATGACCGTGGTGATAACAATTAATTACATTGGTAAACATGTTAACAACAAGTCATCAACACGTCACATTATGATGATGATCATGATGATAACAATTAATTACAATGGTAAACATGCTAACGACAATTCATCAACAAGTCACATTATGATGATGATGATGATCATCATGATGATGATGATGGTAACCGTTAATTACAATGGTAAACATGTTAACAACAAGTCACCAACACGTCACATTATGATGATGATGATGATAACAATTAATTACAATGGCAAACATGCTAACGACAATTCATCAACAAGTCACAATATGATGATGATGATAATGATGATGATGATGATGATGATAACCGTTAATTACAATGGTAAACATGTTAAGAACAAGTCACCAACACGTCACATTATGATTATGATGATGATGATCATGATGATAACAATTAATTACAATGGTAAACATGCTAACGACAATTCATCAACAAGTCACATTATGATGATGATGATCATCATGATGATGATGATGATAACCGTTAATTACAATGGTAAACATGTTAACAACAAGTCACCAACAAGTCACATTATGATGATGATGATGATGATAATCATCATCATCATCATCATCATCACCATCATCATGATGATGCTGGGAAAGACGACGGCCACTGAGAAGTTCCTTTATTAGGTAAGAACCTTTCTTGGGACAATGGTCTCCCATTTCAAGGTGGCATCCCCAACATATGAAATAATTTGATGGTGAACCAGTACCAGTGTTAGCACGTGTTAAGACACAATAAAGAACATTTAATTGCAATATAGATGCATGGTAAATCAACCAGGGTTATATCATGTTATATGATATCAGCCATGATATCTTCAATTAATGCCAAGACTGGACGGTTTTCATAAATATGAATGAACACTAATTGAACCGTCGTATAAGTAACATTTAAAATGATCAATTCGATTTTGGACATGGCTGAACCATCAGATTAGCCTCTGGTAAACTTACATAGCTAGTGAAGATGGGCCATTTATAGTGGATTTACCCATTAAACATGGTGATTTTCCATAGTTTGTCGTTTGTTTACCAGAGGGTACATCCTATTCTTAGGCTGGTTGAATCCCCATGTGTTTTTTTCATCATCTCTTCCGGCTGCGAGGTGAGAGAACACAAAGACACCAAGCAGGTGAGGAAAAAGACACGACCCTTGGATATCCGTGACTGGATCCGGGCGAAGTCAACGAAGATCGGAAAGAACAGGATAAACGAAGGACGAAGGCTCAAAAGGCACTGTAAGTCATGTAAGTCACTGTCATGTGTTGGTTTTGCTATAGATTTGTTCTAGTGTGGTCCGAGCTTCTCTAGGTGAATCATGGCTCATTTGTGGATATGTGTGGCAAATCAACGTTCGAACCCTAAGTCTCATGCGGATGGTCACTTCTTATGTGCCTGGCGAGCAGATAGCCGCTTCATCATTGCTGGGTCAAGCTTGGTGAACGCTCCTGCACGGTCAGTAGGCTAGCGTAGGTATGGAGATCAATGGGTTTCACCTTGACACATGATACATTTTCATATATTTTCATAGATTTTCCACATCAATGTTTGTTTTAAAGGGTCATTTTTTCAGTCAGAAACCTCGCCCAGGACGTGTTCCCAAGACCTTTCCGAGCGGACCGGGTCGGACACGCGTGGAAGGACGGAAGAAGGCGCTGCAGTGACCTCCCAATATTCAATTATATATAACAATATAGGTTTCCTAAGTGGTACCCCCAAATCATCCATTTTAGATCATTTTGTCCATTATAAATCATCCGTTTGGGGTACCCATATTTATGGAAATCTCCATGTGGGGGTAGTACCCCAATAGCTGGATGGTTTATTCCGTGAAAATCCGAAAATGAAATGGATGAGCTGGGGGGTATCCCCATTTCAGGATACTTCCATGTGGCTATGGGTCAAAATTGGGTACCCCAATATACCCCAATAACTAGTAGAGGATTCATATTGATTTATGCCACTCATATACTAAAATATGTGGTTCCATGGAGCTTAAAGTATGACCTATCCCCATAAATTCCCATATGCCCTCTGATGATTTAACATAGCTATGGAAAATGGCTCATTTAATTTGATGATTTATGATTATTTTATCTATTGAAAAATGCAATTTTCCATAGCTACATTAGATCACCGGAGGGTATATTTAATATATATATATAGCAACTGAGGGGGAAAAAAAAGGATGCCAAAAAGTGCTCCACCAGGATGGTAGTGAGATGTTTTCCATGTATTTTCCAAATTTCCGCTCACTTTGGCATCTAACTCTGGGTACATGGTGTGGCCCCCCGAGTTATAAGGCTCAGAAACAGATGATAGCCCATGGAACTAGCTCGATATATTCCCCATTATTCCCCTGAACCTTATAGTGATTGTAGTTAGCACCAACTTAGCTATTTTTGCCTGGTTGGTGGTTTGGAACATTTTATTTTTCCATATCTTGGGAATGTCATCATCCCAACTGACTTTCATGTTTTTCAGAGGGGTAGGTCAACCACCAAGCAGTTGGATCCGCGATCCGGGATCCAAGCCAGGGCTTGAGCTTCGGCGAGTTGGTTTTTCCAGAGGGGAGGCCGAGTTGCCGTGTGCGAGCGAACAGCGATTTCACCCAGAAGAATGCGGATCTAAGATCAAATACGGTCTGGTTATGACTAACAAAGCCATGGTATAGATGGCCCATAGAAATAGATGGTTTACCTAGCTATAAAATGGTGATTTTCCATGGCTATGTTAGTCATAACCAGCTGGTAATTCCAAAGATTGGGAATCAAAGAAACAAACTCTGGGAACTTAACTGGTTTAAAGCAATTGGGATACAATGGGTATTGAACAGCCAAACGTGGTCGTTGAACCCACCGAATGGGCTCGAGAACGAGAATGGTGAAACAAGTTGCCACGTTGATTTTCCCCATCAGGTCACATCAGATCACCATTGCCTGAATTTTCTGAAGGTGATTCTGAATCTTTTCGAACCTTTCAGCTCCAGAAAATTCACCACAAACACACCCGGTGGCTGGGACCGGAATGTGAACAGAGACAGCACTATTATAGTTTTTTTTAATGATGTGAGATTTGTGTACATAAATAAATAGATAAATAAATGCACAGATAGATGTATTATGATTTTATATTTATATATGCATAGGGCTCATAGATGTGTTATTGGGAGGAGAGCTTGCTCTCTCAGAATGAATCACTTGATCCAGGCATGCCAGATCAAGCTAAGTTGGTTAGCCACCCCCTCTGATGGCTGGGGTGGACCCCGGTTAGGCCTGCACGAGAGCAGCATCAAATCGAATATGCGCAACTGAAGGTCGCTGGGCAGTTGGCATGCATTTGAAAAATGTGGAAAGGTCGTTTTCCATATTTTTCCCTAAGAATCAGATCAATAACTGGTTGGTGGTTTGGAACATGTTCTATTTTCCCATATATTGGGAATGTCATCATCCCAACTGACGAACTCCATCATTCTTCAGAGGGGTAGGTCAACCACCAACCAGATATAGTTATTAACCATCATTAACCATATAATAACCATCATTAACCATATATTAACCATATATTTTAGCGCAACCTTGGAAATCGCCGCGACGACATGAATGGACTGGCCATTGGACTGACCACCTAGCCACTGACCATTTGGCGGTGACTTGACTCTTGGACACAACGGTTGGTTTGTGCTGGAAAACCTCTATGTTTGATGCTTAAAAACCGGCCAAAATCGTAAAATATATGGTTAATATATGGTTAATCCTGACGACATTTGGTCATTAATGATCATTGCTTCTTGAAATCCTGACACAATTTTAGTGCCAACTGCCATTGTTCCATATTGTTCCCGTTATGTGGCAACTCTTGGAACATTTGATCATCTGATCTACTTCCATTAGATACCTTTGAGATGCCCATCCACCAGTCCCAGCCTTGGATCAAGGACAAAGTTGCACCATCAAGACCCCAATATTTCAGGCAAAACAACATTGGTTTCCTGCATGCTATATGTGTTTCTTCAACAAATCACAAATCAATCCATGAAAAGAGTGTTTCCCCATAATCCCATTCTATCCCCATGAAACTGTTGGTTTTGACATTTCATTTTTGTTGTCAAACATTGTATAGCCACCCAACTTACCATCCCCTCAACTGCAACTAACATAGACCCCGCCATAGGGTTTGGAAGGCTACTTTGCTCTCAACAAATCACATAGTTCCGGGTGAAATTCGCAGATGTTTCCATATATTTCTTGCATATGTGTTGGGCAAATTCCCATGTATATATATATAATATGTATGTATGTATGTATGTATGTAATGTAATGTAATGTAATGCAATGTAATGTAATGCGATTCGATGCAATGCAATGCAATGCAATGCAATGCAATATATTTAATTTATGGTATGATATGTATGTATGTATCGATGGATGGGTGTATGTAATGTATGTATGTAATGTATGTATTGTATGTAATTTAATGTATATAATGTAATGTAATGTATGGTATATAATGTGATGTGATGTGATGTAATGTGATGTATGAATGTATGTGTTTATGCGTGTTGGTTATAGAATATATATATATAAACAAATCAATGTATAATGATGTTAAATGTTAGATCATGTTAAATCCCATATATTTTCGGGTGAACAAAATCCACCATGTTCGGTTGGAAGCTGGTGCAGGTCCTCCAGCTCTGGCTGGGACGCCGCGACCTCCGCGAGAGCAGCGCAGCTTCAAAGCAACGGCCGCAGGGAAAAGTCTGGGTTGGGAAGCCCAGCGGCGGCGTGACGGGTGGTTGAGGTATGTTGGTCGAAAAAAAGAAACATGTGATTTACAGTGAAACAGACAATATTAGTGTAGATAACATATATCTATGATGTTTGTTGTTGTTTTTGTTTTTAAATCAGATTGTTTATAGTATATAGGTATATCCGTATAAATCTGCCATAAATCCTAGTTGCCCTGTAGCCGGTGGTTCTAATTGTAGTTTAATGTAAGCAATATCAGCAATATGTATCAATAACATTAAATAACAGGTAGTTATTTATGATATATCAAACATAGGTAAGTATATTATAGATCATATATAGTTACCCTCTGGTTATTTAACATAGCCGTGGAAACTGGCCCATTTATAGATGGTTTACCTATTAAAAATGGTGATTTTCCATGGCTATGTTAAATAAGCAGATGGTAACATGGCCAGTGAGGTGTTTAGTTGTTGGCCTTTAAAAAGCGATGATCCAACCCTTGCGATCGGGGACCCCAAGAGGCTGGGAATGTGTCATGGTGTGTCTAAAAATGGATGGTTTGTATATATATATATATATACCACCTGGTTATTTAACACAGCCATGGAAAATCACCATTTTTAATAGGTAAACCATCTATAAATGGGCCATTTTCCATGGCTATGTTAAATAACCGGAGGGTATATATAATAGATTATCATAGTATAATTTGCCAGTTATGGCCATCTAAATGGGGAAGAAGCGGTGGATGGTCCGGTGGAATCCGTGCCCTATGATCGGCCATGGACTTACTGGTGCTAAACGTAGGGAATGGATGGGACTGGGGGAATGGGATGATTATTACTATAGTTATTGTGGATCATTCCCGAAAATTCCCTGCGTTTGGCACCAGTAAGATATGGCTAAGAAATGGCCAATGAATGTTGTTTTCATACTAACTTTTCGGATTTTTCGGTATGTAAGACTGTAAGACCCAACATTTGCATTTCAATTATGTGCCGTGGATGTGCGACCCGAACGAACCAGGGATGTCCGGGGGAAATCCAGCTGGACACCTTCAGGCAATATGCAAACACAACGACTTTGTTTTGATAGGGATTTGCCTTCAAAAAAACAAACATGGTATATAATTGAAAATCCACTACCAACATAAGATTTTCCAAGATCTACCAACTGGGAAGTCAACTATAACTGTAGATTTTCCACCGCTAATATAGCATGGTAAATGGATGTAAATTTGGAGGCTGTTATGGGAAATCAACTGTGAATGGTCACTTTAAATGGAGGTTTTCATGGGACATCAACTTGAAATGGTGGATTTTCCATTACTGATGGCTGATCTGGGAGGAAAAAAAAACTAACGACCTCACTGCGACTGGAATGATGGTTGAATGGTTTCTGTGCGAATTCTCCCTTAAAATGGCCTAAAGAGAAAAAACAACAGGCCTTATATGGCCTTACCTTAATGCAAGCCAGTGAATTATGATGATTTACCCAGATTCATGTTGATTGATGTTGGTTATTTTGAAGCCATGACATCTGTTGATACACTGTGGATGGAAGAACCCCTGCACCAGTTGATTGTGAGTTTTTCCATGTTTTTCCATGTTTTTCCCCATGATTGATAGGGTTTCAACATGTTTCAACCATCCTTTCGGTTGTTGATCGGATTTCGCAACCATCCGCAGTATGCTGAGGCCAAGCTCTCGCCGGACGTGCCGCAGAAGGTGGCACAGAAGTTGCTGAAGACGCGACAGGACCTGGTTTCCGAGGTGACTCAGAAGGGGGTTCACCACGGGTGACTCATCCAATCGTAAGTGGATCATAACCCAAGGGCAGATGGTTACCCTCTGGTTATTTAACCATGGAAAATCACCATGCTATTAATAGGTAAACCATAGGTAAACCACAGGTAAACCATAGGTAAACCATCTATTTCTATGGGCCATCTATACCAATATGGCTTAATCTCTAGCTATAACTAGGGTGAACTAAGCCATTGGATCACCAGGGGAGACACCAGCGATTCCATGGAACACCCCCATCGTGGAGCTACGTCAGTACCAGAAATGGCCATTGATGAAGTGGGCCAAACACACAATTTATATGTATATATTGTATTATAACTATATATATATAATATATATATATGTGTGTGTGTATGTACACCGTATATATTAAGGTAGTTTCTCACTATTTTAGTGGGATTTTACTTTTCGATCTTTTTGGGGGGTGCTATTCTATGGTAAATCCAATGCCATAGTCACCACCAGGGTTCAGTACAGTAATGAAATGATTCTTTTCAATTGGGTTTCCACATTAGGAACCACCAAACAGGTATAACAATAACCTCATTTATTTTTATCCCTGTCCCATTTGTTTGGGTGTATTTCATGTACGGTTACCACTTCAGAGAACTTCCCCATTATGGGTAGTTTAATCCTGTAGTTTTTTGCAACGGAAAATAAGCATCACCAGCAAAAGATTATGTTTAAACTGTACTAATGTGGACTATCAAAGATTGACCATGAAGAATCTATTGTTGGAATATTTGAGAATAACACGTTTTAATGTTGATATTTTTTCACCTCAAGCGGCTCCAAGATTGTTGGAGGAGCGAAGCGTCTTCACCAGTATCGCCATTGCCGGTGGCTTCGCTTTCTTCTTGCAACGGCAGAGGCCAGCCAGCCCTTTTGTGGGTATGCACATATACATAGACACACAGTTGCACACATAACAATTTTATACTTATAACTTATATCTCTTGCTATATATATATATATATTAGATATTATATAGATATTATATATATAATGCACGGGAAAAAAGGAAGAGTTTTTCTTTTTTTCACGTATGGATAAAATGAATATATTAATCATTGTATGATATGTTTCATGTGTCTGGATTCCGCTGATCTCCAGGCAGCTCCATTTGATGCGAAGTCGCACCGCTTTGAGGCAGCTGGCATGGTACAAGGCGACGGGGCGACTGGTCAAACTTTCAGTGTCCAACATGTCTTTCTTCATGTGTACATGTGTACTCCCAAAACAGGTAGACAAGGGTAAAATCCGAGTAAAATCGGCAATAAAAATGTATAAATCACCCCCAGTTCACCCCCGGATCTCTGGGATCTCTGGTAGGCGCTCTTTTCGGCTTCGCGGTTTCTTATTTTAGGGATCTACTTGAACAAGGGTCGGCAGGAGGCAGGGACTGGGTCTGCCGGAGAATCAAGAATGAAATGGGGATTGAATTGAGACATATCTATACATATCTAGTTAGGGGCATCCTCATAGGACGGCGATATATTGGAGTTTTTTTGAGTACAGTACAGCCTCCATTTTTTTTTGTGGAATTTTGACCCAGGCTGACCCTATGTGAGGGAAGAATACTGGACGCATGATCCAGGAGCATATCCCGATTTGATTGGGGAGGTACCACTCGGTTACAACAGAGGCTACTTTTTTTCAAGAAACAAACCCCATCCCCCTCACACCAAAAAAACTGCCAGGATTTATTGATGGTTAATCCAGGGTTAGTGTTACTAAAGATATACCGTACAAGCACCTATTGTATCTTCCCAGGCACTTTTGTTGTGCCCCGCATCAAACTTACCGAGCTACCTGGGTCCCATTGGGTCCCTGGGTAGACCCAGTTGGAAAGCTCCTTGCTGTTCATGGGGATTTTTCAGCCATGTCATTGATAGATCCGGGTACCTCACTGGACGCGACTAATAAGGGGAATGTTCATGAATTATCAAAAAAACCTTATTGCAGGTCAGTGAATTATTCAGGGCAGAATCAGTGCTATCAATGAATAATACCTGAATGTAAGAGATGAATACTATAATACGTACTTGAATTATGATGCATCTTTTACCCAGATTGATAGATGATACCGGTAGTTGCCATTTATAGCCCATTTGGGCATCTAAGGTTGGCCGTTCCCCTATGGTCCCCTGAGGCGCAAGCGAAACGCAGCGGTACGCTGACAATAGCACCGCGGCGGATGTCGACTAGGCCCTGGCCGGGCCATTGAAGCAGAGTTGCCAGACCAACCGTAACGATATCATGGGAAAATCGTGAGGACATCATGATTGCACATATATAATTATATATATATACATATGATAGATGTCTTATCAACTAAGTATGGTGATTTTAAACATGATTCAACAGCGCCAACCAACAGAGGGGGTGTGATTTCATGGGGGAGATGACGGAGAAACCCTGTAATTTGGTGTTCATGAAAGTTTACGGGTGCCCCCAGTGGTAAGCCCTCCCAACAATAGGGCTAGCCATCAGCCTCTAACAGGGTGCGATTGGGGTTCAACCTCCTCATAAGATTCCATAAGACCTTATTTGGTGTTTTTTTTTTTGGGGGGGGTACCCATAGATTTCCATTAGTGACATCATTAGTAGTGTATGGCACCATTTCATGGCCATTTTAGTATGAGGAAACTCAGGATTAAAACAGTGGACGGAATGGGCGCCATATTTCAGACAAAATCCATTAAATCGATAAATGCCTCCCTAGGAGTTAATGTAAGCTGTTAATCTGTGAAAAAAGGTGGTACCACATTGTAGAGTCAGTTTATCATTAATTTTGAGATCCCCCCAATTTTCAATCAACACAGTTGAGTTGAATCAACACAAAAAACCATCATCTATCTGAAGAATCTCACCAAACCATAGATATCATAGATGTATATATGATGTATATATAGATGTTTCATAGTTTTCCCATGTTTTCCCATAGTTTTCCCATCATCTTCCCATCTTCCCCATACCTTTGGCTCTCCAACGGCCCGGCCCTTGGAAAAAAGGCTGGCTCCACGGTTCCGGAGGCGCCGCTCCACGGATGCGGAGGCCTTCTTCCAGGAGATGAGCCCCTTGTCCATGCTGCGGAAGTATCTCCGTCGCCCAGGCGCCGTTCCTGCGGAACGCGGGGAGAACCTGGGAGAACGGTGAGATTTGGAGTGATGAAAAACCATGGGTTTTACCCTCTGGTAAACATAGAAGAAACTATGGAAAGATCCACCATTTTCAATGGGAAAATCCACTATAAATGGTTAATCTATGGTTAATCTATGGTTAATCATTGGAATAATAATATATCTGGTTGGTGGTGACTGGAACCATGGAATTTTGAATGACTTTCCAGAAACAGTTGGGAATGGAAAAATCATCCCAACTGACGAACTTATATATTTTTCAGAGGGGTTGAAACCACCAACCAGCACATGATTTGACATGATTTAACATGATTTGAGATATTTAAGCGTCAACATATTGGGATTTTGCGCGGGACAGTAGGTGAGCGGTGAGTGGGACTTATAATGGGGATTGTTCATGGGGAAAACTGACCGTATTGTATTTTAGTGGGACTAAAGTCTGTAATGTCACCCTCGGATTTTGCGAAACTACCTGGGCCGTTGATCATTATTGGGGTACCATTTATAGCCAAATGTCATACTATAGTCATACTGTCACTATTTTAGGGGAACCCCCGTCATTAATCAACCAGGGTCTATTGATTCGCGCTACTCTCCGGTAATTTTTCACAGTTTGTTATGGGATGACCCATTTCGTTCGATGAGAGGGTGACCACCTGAGTAAACCAAGCGATCGGTGAAATCATCCACGGTGAACATCGAAATAGTATGTTACCCTCTGGTAATTTGTCACATAGCTATTGAAGTTGGAGCATTTACAGTTGATTGACCTCTTAAACTTGTGATTTTCCAGTTTGCTATGTTAGTTTACCACTGTTTACCAGAGGGCTTTCCCATGCTTTCCCTATATATTCCATGATACCCAGCATCAAATCCCATGAAGCCAGCATGTTTCCATCTTTTTCCTGGTGAAATCCAATGAGTTTCACTATGGATGTCCCAGGAATCCAAGTGAGACCCTGAGTTATCCATCTATATATCTATAATAGATGTATATTAATGGACCCATGCACATAATAATAATATACAATAGTTGTATGTAGCACTACTATAGTTATATATATATATATAATCATAGTCATAGTTATAATTATAATTATATAGCTTTATATATATATATATACATATATATATGTGTGTGTATGCATCATATGTTAAACCCACGTGCCTACAGTTTCCAGCCATATGTGCGAAGTGGGATGCACAGCCAAGCAGTAACAACCATGCACAGATGGGCCAGTTTCATTTCCTACCGGAACCATGCCGGAACCATTCGCACATGGTACTGTTCCTATGACATTCTTAGCGTTGAGCTGTTGCAGCCAAATGAGGTTCCTACCACTGACGAGATCTTTTACTGTACTTGTAGGGTTGGATCATTGACAGATCATTCGAGTATCAAACGTGTATGGCTCATACGTATACATATTCTTGTGCACTTACAATTGTCATCCTTTTCACATTTAATTCGCCATCATTTACCTGGACACATCCCTAGAATCAAATGAATCCAAAGGATGCTTTGGGCCCGTCACAGGTAGCAAGTCATCCAGTGCCAAACGGCCAGAGGGTGCAGGCGGATATTTCAGCCAGAGGGGGGTTGTTTCCAAACCCCCTACCCTCTGGCAATCAAAAGTGGCTGGCTGGAGAATCCCCTATAAATATCTATCAAAGGAGGTTTCTGGCTGGGAAAATCGAAGTAAATGGTGGATTTTCCAGCAAGACACGTCTTTGTGTAACTTTGGGGTTTATTGTGTAGTGCTTGAATGAGATGTGGGGCAACCAACTTACGCGTTTTTTTAAATGATTTAGAGGTGCTTTGCGACATGCGGGGACTGTGGTGATGCTCTCAACCCGGAAATATATTGGGGATACAGCGGGTATAGAAACCATATAAACCTCTGGCTGGTGGTTTCATGTGTTAATTTTCAACCATAGAACTTGGACGATTTTCTCCCAATGACTTTCGCATATTTTTCAGATGGTTCAACCACCAAACAGACAAGCTGCAGCTCATTGGACGCTCGAAGGAATTTCCGGGTTTCAAGGCGTCAGCCTTGACAGGAACTGCCAACCAGGCTGTTGAAGTGGTAGTGACTGTGGTGTATGTATTGAATGCCTCGTTTTCATCAAAGGGAGGCTCCTGTTAGCCTCGTCCCTTCCAATTCTGTGACAGGATTACTTGGTGGCTCATCCCAGGAATCGTAAGTGGATTTTCAACTTATAATCCCAGTTATACAGTAAGTTATAAGATGTTATAAGTGGGATAAACAAATAAGTGTGTCTAATCCACCTATGACTCGGGTTATAACAGCCATTTACTAAGTGGGAGGCTCACCACGTCCACGAATGCTGCGTGCCAACGTGGAACCGGCGGGGATGGGGTGGGAGCCTGGCCGGGCCGCTGTGGCCGCTGGGAGCTATGGTTTTTATATGGCTGTTATCATCTGGTTGGTGGTTTCAAACATTACATGGTTAATATATGGTTTATATATATATTGTTCTTATATGGTTGGAGCTGTTCAATTTCTGGTTGGTGGTTTCAAAAGTTCAAACATTTTTTTAGTTTCTCCATATATTGGGAATAATAATCCACAATAATCCCATTTGATTCATATTTTTCAGAGGGGTAGGTATACCACCAACCAGTATAATGTTTTCTCCATATTCTGAACGAAAAATGATAAAATGAATGAAGAAATGCAGAGCCAGTTGGAGCCACTCCAGTGAGTTTCACAACATCACTGTAGTGATTTCATACACTGCATGTGCAAATGGTTGCAAATGCACATGTTGTATCATGTCGTCCTTCCCTGTTTGCGGGATTGATGTACATCCATTCCTCAAAACGTGAGAAAATTGAGAATTCGGACATTTCCCCATTGGAATCAGCCGCCCGGCACCCTAAAATGAATCGGTCACAGAATCCAATCCGGAATGAAATTCACAGATGGGCTGGTCATTTTGACAGTGTACCGGGTAACCGGAATTCACCATATTTAGATTGAAAGAAACATGACATCCTGCCTTCATTCCTTAGATTATATCACTTCAGTGATTGAAGCCCGAGTTTTCTGCTGCCAATTTCCACTCGTACCTTGGATGTGGCTGCCAGATGGTCAATTCATCCAAGGTTCATGTTGGAGGTCCCAGAAAGAGCATGCGGGGCCAAAGGTTGACCCAACTGGTTGCTTCAAATCCCAGGTGTTTTCACAGCTTGGGCCCCGGAGGTCTAAGTCGCAGGAAAGGTCTTGCCCCATCTTGTGTTGCTGTCAGGTGACTGCATTGCATATGATAATGTTACACTTCAACCCTCCAATCACATGAAAACCGGTAAAAGGATCGTGGAACAGTCCCAACTTCTTGGTGAAGAGTTGATGTGTTTTTTTGTAAAACTGATCTTTCGTGGGTCTGAACTTGATTTTAAATGTGTATATATATAATATATCATTATATATAATATATCATAGTATATGTCTATATATATATATATATGAATATATATATATATATGTACAATTGTATATATATATATATGCCCCTCTGGTAATCTAGCAGAGCTATGGAACATGACCCATTTATGCATGAGTTACCTATTGGAACCCGGTGATTTTCCATAGCAATGTTAACTTATGCATACATCATACATCAATATAATATATTATATTATATTGTATTATGTTATATAGTAAATATGTTTGTTACATTCTAATATATGTTTATATAAATATATATAAATAAATAAATATATATATATACATATATACATGTGTGTGTGTGCTGTGACCCCGAAAAAACGAGTGAAACCTTCGGGCCAGGGCAGCTTGGCGCATCATCTGCTGCTCCAGGGCTTTGACCTTCGACCTCCGGAGTCACGGTTGGCCCGTCGCGGTGCCGCGCCAGCGAGGCACCGTTGAACGCTGGAGCGAAATGGGAAGATTTACTATGAATGGGGAAAACCCATGGAAAAACCATTGGAAAAAAAACATGTTTTAAGGGATTTGTGTGGTTTTTGGAGCCAGATTTTTATCAACTGAGTATCATGTTTTGGGTCGAAATATGGGATATAACATGATTTAACTGACTATATTATTGAAAGATAGAGATTCAATGATCCAAAACAGTGGTTTCATATTATTTCACACACATAGAGAGTGATGATAATTGATATCTGGTGTGTCTGAAAATGAGGCATATGGTGATTTTAAAGGGGACCGTGATGATAATCCATCGACTGTATTGATGATTAGATATGTTTATAATATTGCATTTTTGAGGGGTATGGTCTTTGCCCAAAAGTGCGCAGCATTGCAACCTGTTTTCAAGCTATCTGAGATTGGCAATGCTGCTGGTGAAGCTAGCAACCCCAATGTTCAATTGCAGTACATATATGAATGTATGAATATATATATATACACATATATATATATATACATATATATATTTATACCTATATATATGGTGGTATGTTGGAATATTCTGATGGAAACAACCGGTAGGGGGCCATCAGTGTGGGAAGGGGATAGGTTCTGCTTGGAAGAACCAACCGTTATGTGTGTTGGAAACTCGATCCCTTGCGCACCTTCCGGTAAGAAATCTCATGGCTGGAACATCCACTGCACTGATTTCGAGCATGTGAAGTCATGGCAGTCATGGGAAATCATGGGTAAATCCGCCCAACGCTTCGTTCAATTTCGGTCGTGACATCTGCCATTTTTCGCCAGGCTGCTGCATCAGAACCAGTTAGCCAAGGGCCTGGCTGCACGCTTGGGAAGGCAGATTCAAGCAGCGCCAAAGGCTCTGATCCGATGGGATTTTTCCATGGGATTCACCTTTGTGGGGATGGTTTATATCACCAAAGATTGGTGATTTTGGGGATGGTAGTTTCCATATGGGGAAACATATGGTGAAATACCAAAGACGGGTTATTATTGGGGATGGTTTATATCACCAAACATTGGTTATTATTGACTTTGCCATGAGAAACATGTGGCCCATTTTGAGTTGCACATATCCTACTTTTGACAGTTCCACCTTCCCTTTCATTTTCACAGACTTTCTTTAAAGGAACGATTGCAGCTCAATATTTACCTTACATCCCGAAGAAACATCAGCTTTCCGTTCTCCCTCTTCCATTGACAACTTCATTTCTGATGCCTTTTGGGCAGGGTGAAACATCTTCATCTTTGCAGGATTAGCGCCAACATGCCCCAACGTGGCCATCTTGTACAACACTGTACAATCATGTTCTTACCAACAGCCATCATTCAAGCGCTATCATTATGCTGCATATGCTCAGTTACATCCCCATACATCTCCATCTATTGTCAGGGAATATCCAGGATCCACCACTAGAGTTGCTGCGTATTGGGTTCGATAGGTGGTGAGCAATTCCAGCGAGCACTCGCAGATGCAGCAAGCCATTGAGGAGTCATGGGAGGTGATGCAGCCATCTTGACATCATGGGAATACTTTGGAATACTGTATTTTCATGGGGATTCCACGGGATATTCATCAATATCCCCATGAATTGTTCCGATGACCTAATGAGGTGGTTGATACCCATCAGCTCAACATTTCAATATTTTGTGCGTAGATTGGCCATGCCTTATGGCAAACGATGTTTGAAACCATTGGAATTCCGAGTATCCTTCTTGTACTGGCACACACACAATCGTTCTACCAAAAAAATCGACCAGCCAAATCGGAGGCTTACAGCTTGTCCATGCCGGTGTCGCAAGGAATGCCAACAAAAATCAGATGATGTCGCCCCCTTTACGGGAAGGTTCTAGGATGTTTTACTGTAGGGCCCACATATGTCCACGTCATTTGTAAATATCCACAATGTGGGATTCAAGCAGTTATGGCATCGCACAAGGTCATCTAATATAACTATGGAAACTGGCCCATTTAGTTCGACCTATTCAGAATGGTGATTTTCCATAGCGATCTGTTAGTTTACTTGAGGGCATATCCCAATATATCCCAGACATTGGATGATTTTGCCATGAAATCCCAACATATTATTTGATTGTCCATTCATTTTGTGGGTTAAATCATGGATGTTCCCATTAAAACCACCATTTTCCATGGATTGGCCATTAAAAAAAGCACCATTTCAAGCCTTCCAACTTCGCCCAGGGCGGTTCGAAACTGCCAAGGAGGTGAGTCAGTCGACCCTGATGATGACCGTGAGTCCCAGGGAGCTGGCAAGCCTGGCGCTCGCAACTTGGAAAAACATCGGCCACGTTACGGCTAAAAAAGGTTGGATAAGAACCAGGGACAACTAACCCACTTACGATTCGTGGGATAAGCATGGATAAGCCACTATGTATATATATATATAACATTATATATAACATTTCATATAACATTATATATAACTCACATAAACAATTTTTATTTCTGTGGCGGCCCACTTTCAAAGACCAATATCTTGCAGCTTTCAGGCGTGGCGGCACCGGAATTCCAAAACTTAGCGTAGGGAAACTATATAAGCTCAATGCTTTCGAAAGGATATAAGGGGATAGGGATTGAAGGGTATAAACTATGATTTACCATGATTTAATGATATATGATATATATATATATATTAATAATAATAATGATAATAACAATAATGATATATAATAATTATAATAATGATAATAATAATAGTAACACATATATGATAATTTTCCAATGCTAGGAGGGAGTAATCTAGAGCTATGGCTATCCAAGTTCCATCAAGTTTCGACATGATGGAATGGGGAGCCAGTTGGAGCTACAATCTCGCACTGACCTCACCCTGATGGTGAGTAGCATCATCCCAACAATATCCAACAATGACATGAAATCTCACCATATTTCTTGATGCATTGAGATGGATGAAGAAATAAAGACACAATGATCACCCAATCATACCCGCATATGAATATAGATGGATTGGTCATGATGTTTATTCTTGATTTTGCAACTCTCGTAATTTGACCAGATATACGTAGTATCAATGAACATTTGGATCAGGATCCACATCGATCCACATCATGGAGAAGTCGGCAACGCAACTCACCAACAACTCCTACACCGTGGCATTCACATGGCGGAGGTCTTGAAGCAACACATTTTATGAATACCAATTACGTATGTAAGCTCAAGGGTCTTTTTGGGAAGCTTGTTTACAGTTCTTCGGGTGTGAAAGACATCGGGGTGACGCTGAGCACAGCTCCACAACCTGGTTTCAACTACGTGACTGCCAAACATGGATGCGCTTTGGAGACGTGAAGACAACTCGCTGTCCTCCACCTGGTGTGATATGTTTTCTCTGAAAAATATCGCAGTTCATTTCGGCAGGCCCCATGATTGGGGTGTGGATTTTGTGGCATGGCAGGCTTTGGCAGCCATATTTGGCGATTCCCATGGCGAGTCCTATGTGGCTCATGGCTGCCATGGCTCAAGATGATGGCCCCGACCACAAGAACAATATCTTTTTAACGGCTGTACTGTATGCCTTACCACTCTAGCTCTTTGGCACTGTTCGGTGGTTTCATTTTCTTATTCAACCCTAGTTTGGGATGATGACCCTTGATGGCGCTGTATATTCAGATGGGTTTCGCCAGAAACTACCAGCTGTTTGGCGTTGCTGAAGCCAAGGCCAAAAGCAAGGCCGTGCATGTCCAGCTGATGGGTGTGGAACATTTCGAGCAATTCTATATGAATCTTGGGCCTGAGGAAACTTGAGGCGCAAACTCATGGAGATATCGCTCCATAAGAATTAGGGGATAGGATATGATTCATATGGTGATACGATATGAGACCATATATATATACACATATTAAGATACAACCAATAGGTGAGCAGCAGTTTTCTATCGCTATGGATCCAAGCATACATTCTCACAAAGTATTTCGACCATTTTTTAATATATATATATACATATGATTATATATAGGTTGTAGGTTTTCTTTTTTTTCTAGCTGGTGGTTTCAAATAGCTTTGATTTTCAAATATCAAAATGGGATGATGGATGTGGAGGATGACGAGGATGAATAGGATGAGGATGATGATCAGGATTATGGTCTTCAACGACCATGAGTCATGAGGGATAGGTTGCAAACACCGCTTATATAATTTTGTTACAGTTCAGATTCCCGGCCACAAATCGCAGAGAAATGAAGGTGTAATGATTTTTTGGAACATTTTAAGTTTAACTCATCAGTGCATCTTCTGTTATATATGGTAGTATCGAGGTGTGGCCTATTAGACTTATACTGTTGGGCGGGTCGCTTTTGTTTGGTTGGCACGTGGTGGCATTATTTCCTGGGACATTTCCCTAGGAACTCCTGGCCAGTCACTTTACCATGAGGGATACCTGCGGACATCAGGGCATTGGATATTTTCTTGGGCAACTGTCATGGAAGTGGAAATGTTCAGCCGTCTTCAGCCAGTTCAAAGTGTTTTCTTGTTAAAGCAAGAATGTCTTAGGATGTCTGAGGCGTCTAGAAGCCAATGTTTGATGGACATGTTTTTGGGTCGGTTCTTTCAGATGTCTAAGTTTGGAACACAGCATGGGATGAGCCACGCAACAGCCGATCAATCTGCTAAAAATCCACAGCAGATTGTAGTTAGCAGTTAGCATCTTCTAAAACCTTATCCCCCATCTTCATTTTTCCCGTGTTTTTTTCCCTATATTCCAATATATGAATAGATCCCTGTCGATCGAACATCAATTCATCGTGTTTCTAGGCTTTCCCTCGGGAGGTTTTTGTGGATGACACCCTCCCCAGGAACGCAGTCCAGAGGGCGGCCGATGAGTTGGTGAAGCAACGAGCAAGAGAGGTGGAGCATGGTGGAGCCGAGCAAAAATGGTGGGCATCTTTCCATCGTTTTTTGTATGTTTACCCTCTGGTAAACTAACATAACTATGGAAAATCAGCATTTTTAATGGGAAAACTCACTATAAATGGCAATTTTCAATAGCTATGTTAGTTTACCAGAGGGTACCAGAGGGTAACAAAAAATGGTAGCACTATGGAGAGTTAATGGGAGTATAATGGTGATGAATCGGAATGTTTAGTAATGTCTATAAAAATATCTATGAATATAAATCATGGTAGTCTGAGATGAATATGTTATACCTCTGGAATCTGTGGCAGACTATATATAATATTTAGAGGATTTTAGTCACTGAAGATGTGGATGTGTGGGTAGGATTTGGCCAACGAGATTGTCTTGGACGAAGAACAAGTAGGAATGCACATGCTATCATTCGTGACTTTCAAAATTCTTTCTGACAAAAAGTTCTCAAAAACGGGATGATGACCTCAAAGTGCTAATGTTTTAAGGAGAGTTGAAGTCACCGACAAAAACCTTTATTTGCTGTCCTCCGGCAGTCAAAACAATGCAATGTAAATATAAAACTACGTACTTACCAGCCATAGAAGAAACTTCACTGGACAATTGCCAGCGAATTATTGTAGTGAAATCGATATAATATGATCTATCGTTTGGACCGGGATTTTTGAATGGTACGGGTGCCTACTGCATGGAAAGGTACTGTGGATGGAAGAATGATGGTTTATCCCATTATAATCCCATTATTTGCAGTGTTTTATAGTTGCATATAGTTACCAACTGTTCAACTGGTGCAGGATTTCTTCCATGCACAGTATGTTGAGCGATTGTCCCTTACAATCATCGTGTGGCTTGCCAAAAGAAATGTCTATGTCACTTTCAATGAAGTTTAAGGCCCCAAACCTTCAACGAATCTAAACGAATCTAAACTCCTTATTTTGTGACATGAACCCCCAAAATCAAATTGCCACAGAACATCATAGAACAATACGAGAGCCATTTTCATCCATTTTCCAGAGCCAATGTGTGAGGCTTCCATGTTAAGTCCATGGGATTTTTCCTGGAGGCGGAACAACAAGAGCAAGACAAGACGAAACGGCCCAGGATCATTAAGCGCAGCTCGGCGTTTTTTCCGCCAGGAACATCAGTAGGATCAGAATGGATCCAAGAGATCGATAGGTAAATGGATGGATGAATGGATGGATGGATGGATGCTTAGATGAATACCTTAGAAACATTCTACAGTATACATCATATGTTCTATCTTTTTCTCTCCCTCTCTCTCTCTCTATATATATATTATATATAGATGGATGAATTATAATGACCTCACTATTTTCGGTCACTGGAATGATGGTTATGATGGTTAGGATTGCGGGGAATCATCCCCAAATGGCCGTATGATCACAGCTATTTTCAGGTCAGGGGGACAATGGATCTGAACATGGGGAGTCTTCATGTGGAAACCAACCATTTTATGGGATATAGTGGCATAGAACTAAGAATCTGATATTGGGGCGTGTCTGACAGGCTGTGTTCCACATGCTCATGTCTCTGGGAAAATGGTAAATAAAGGGACTATTTTCTGGAGATTCCATGCAACACTGGGTTGTTTTGTGTATACCAAAAATCCACTTTCGATTTTTGGCACAGTACTCAGCAATCCCATGGTCGTTCCGCTTACTCATATGTGGTTAGTATGTGTAGTTCTATACCATTCACAGTCTACGACATAGTCCCACAGATGAGTTTTTCATGGGATGTTCCTCGAAGAATCCAGCAGTCATGCAGCTTCCACCCTGGGACATTCTTGGTCGAGTGGGGAATGCTTGAGCACGCCATGTTAGATTATGACTTTGTAGTTGCGTTTGGAACCAAAATGACCCATCAACAAACCACTTTTTTGGACATAAGTTTAGTATTGGATCCATGTATTTGAGGTCCTTATCGCGGGTGGCGGGTGTTTAGCATTATATAGAGGGTTTTGATTATTTGGCCCCCTTAGGCCTTAGACGTACACTGTACTTAAGATTTGGTTAGTAACCATGGTTGTATCCCATCTACATGTGGGATAACCCCACAAAATACGTACTTTCTAACTTAGAAATCCCTAAAAAGATAGGCACCTGTTTACCTGTTTCCAGGATATGATGAACAGGTGATGCTTCGTCTATCATCTCCAAGTTTCCCTAGCAGTTGGAAAACGATTTTGGTGTTGCTATACTCAAAGTTATTCACCACATACCCTAAATTTCATGGGGTTCAGCCAGCCCCACAGGTGTACCAATGGCCCAACATTGTGGAGATCACCTTTAAAGTGATGTGTTGAATCCCCATGACAAGTGGAATCCTCCAGACATCCCATGGTGTAGCGTCAAACATGGCTTGCCGGATTTTTTTTTTGTTTCGTTAGATTTTCCCAGCTAGAAAGCTCCACACATCTCCACATCAATAGGAATTTCCGAAGATTTTCCCATGATGTTCCCATGAAAACCGTCATTCTTCCAAGGATATCGCCTGCGATTTCTGGAGGAAGAGTCGGATTTGCCCTGGCTCCCACTGCAAGAGACCTTGATGCTGGTGATCCGAGGCTGGGAGAGGATCCACAAGAAATGGGGAATCTATGGAGATTCTTGTTCTTGTTCTTGTTCTTGGGGGGGGGGGCGGGGCCCACTGGGGGGGGGGGGGGGGGGGGGGGGGGGGGGGGGGGGCGGGGGGGGGGGGGGGGGGGGGGGGGGGGGGGGGGGGGGGGGGGGGGGGGGGGGGGGGGGGGGGGGGGGGGGGGGGGGGGGGTGGGGGGGGGGGGGGGGGGGGGGGGGGGGTGGGGGGGGGGGGGGGGGGGGGGGGGGGGGGGGGGGGGGGGGGGGGGGGGGGGGGGGGGGGGGGGGGGAGGTGGGGCGAGGGGGGATGGGGGGGGGGGGGGGGGGGAGGTGGGGGGGGAGGGGGTTGGGGGTGGGGGCGTGTGGGTGTTGGGGCTGGTGGTTGTTGGGGGGATGGGGGGGAGGTGGGGGCGGTTGGGGTGTGAGGGGCTGTGTGGTTGTTGTTGCGGTTGTTGTTGTTGAGGTTGTTTGGATGTTGTGGGTTGAGGTTGGGTGTGATGTTGTGGTGTTGATTTGTGGGTGTGGTTGGTGAGGTTGTTGTGGGTGCTGGTGTTGTGGTTGGTGCACGGTGGGGTGGTGCTGTTGTTGTTGTTGTTGTTGTTGTTGTTGTTGTTGTTGTTGTTGTTGTTGTTGTTGTTTTGTTGTTGGTTGTTGTTGTTGTTGTTGTTGTTGTTGTTGTTGTTGTTGTTGTTGTTGTTGTTGTTGTTGTTGTTGTTGTTGTTGTTGTTGTGTTCCTTCCTTTTCCCCGTCCCGTTTGAGTTCATCGAAGTTATGTAGCGCATGCAATGGCATGCAGTTTCTTTGTTTATGTACATACATATCTAAATATACACATATTATTTTGTTATATTATTATATATATATATACATATTTGCATGTATATATATATATATACATGCGTATTGGTGTTTTGTCCAGATGCTGTGCATGGTAGAGATCCTGTTGTGGGATGTCGTGGGTAACATCACGCATGAATATATGCGAAGCCGCCTTTTTCTGTGTGCATTCCGGCAATCAAGCTTGGCGATGATATATTTAATTTACGTGTGCACATGATCCATCTAACTATATTATACATGGGTGCACAAATGTGACATTTGCTATCGCGTGTTTGGGTTGCCGGAGGGCACTTTGTGGGTCCATCTCCGATTTCACCAGTCATAGATAGCAAGGCTGGCTTAGCTCCGGCTCGGACAAGCAGCGCAACATAGCGAGAATAGATAGTCCCAAACTGATGAGACGGCCCTATCCCCTCCTGGCTCGGCTGCTTTGCTTCTCATGTGCCGAAGGTAAGTCCATGTTTCTGACACCCGCGGAGCAAACACTCTACGATGGCAAGATGAAGAATGTGAACGAGGACACACGGCCCACAGGCTTTGGGTGACCAGGCAGGTTGAGCCAACATCTTTCCAGGGCTCCATTTCTGTGATATTCACCCCAAGTTGATTGGTGTTGATTGGACCTTCAAGTTGGGTAGTGTTGCCTGATCTTGCAATCCCCAAGGCTAGAAATTGATGTTCTATTGTCCCATGAGTGCATGCACCATCGGAATTTATACGGAAATATGTATGTATATAAGTGTATATATATATATATATTATTTTATTATTATGTTTCATTATTGTATATTACATATTATATATATATATTTATTATATATTTTATATTCTATAGTAAATATATATATATTATAATTATATATCGTTTAACTGTTATATTATATCATATAGTTCGTATATATATGTGCTTTTTGGCGGTCCCCTTACGTAACCAAATCGGTTTGTCGCTTCTATCGTCACTGTTGGACTCTGGCTGGCGCAGGAGCGGCGGGCGGCTGCGCGGCTACCTGGCTTCTTTGCTCCTTTGGAGGCTGGCGGCAGCGTTCAATAGATCTGCTTGGCAGTTTCATGGGAGTTATTTGGGATTTATTTGTTTTTTTGAATTTATAGAGAAAAATATGTGAATGGACTTAACAGGACTTCATGTGATTGAACTTAATGTTGGTAAAACAATGCCATAAACATCCATAAACCAACCCCAACAAATCACCATTTTTATAGGTGGTATTTTTACCATTCCCAAAAGGGTGGTTTATGACATGTGTTACCCGCATTAATGTGGGAAACCCATGGAAAATCCAATGCCATAAACAACCCATCTGTGACGTTTGGGGATGATAGGTGCCACCCATTTACCCATCAATGATGGGGATGAAGACCACATTTGGTTCGTGGTTTGGAACATGAATTTTATGATTTTCCATAATATATGGGAATTTCATGATGGCAATTTCATCATCCCAACTGACGAACTCTATCATTTTTCAGAGGGGTGGCGAAAAACCACCAAGCAGACATTTTTGTATGTCAACTCTATTTGTGGAGTATGATTCCCCATGACCATTTTATTTTTTAGATATGTGTTCCACAGGGCGGCTCAACCACCAATCAGAGTAGATTATTTGTCGCACCCAGCAGATCCAGCTGCGGTGATCTGATCTTGGAGGCGGTCCTACTGAGCCATCCAGTGATGGTTGGGCTGACCACTAAGCTGCAAAGGGATCTTCGACCCAACGATGGCATCTCGGCACATCTCGCCACCGCTCATCATCATGTGCGGGGGTTGGGGGGGGCCATCCTACCGAATGCTGAATTGTCCTTCTGTTCAGAAAACACGTATATCATATGGTACCCCCTCCAATTCCCACATCATAAACCCGCAACAGAAACGTAGCAAATCCAATGGTATAAACCTTGAATTTTGGAGGGCCGCCCATCTCCAATAATATTGGGAGTGGTTTACTATTGGATTTGTCCACTCACTCACAATAATTATCATTGATTATCCAATGCAGAATTGTCCGGTAAGTATCCGCACCGAAGCATGAATGCCCTAATTATTGGAGGGAAATCAGTAAAAATTCAATGTTGACTGTTGAGTTATATGCATATAGATTGGTACTACATTATTGATGGTTGAACCCTCATAAAATGTCCCCATTTTATCCCATCAGCCTATCAACATCAATGGTAATATAATCAATGGAACTCTTGTACAAACATGGCACCCCAGTAGTCAACAGCCAGGAGAACATTCATCCGAAGTTGACCTGCAAGATTATGAGAGTCAAGAAGATTCCTAAGAAAACCATGAAAGGTAGAAAGTTTCCGGCAATTATGAGCCTTCTGACAGTAACCCAAAAAACGATCTTCCAACGGCGTTGTTTGAAAATGGTTTAGTAGAATTGTACTTTACTGATCTTTACTATCGTTGTTAGGGTTACCCTCCAGTAAACTAACATAGCTATTGAACATGGCCTATTCATTGAGTTACATTGAATATCATTGAATTTACCTATTAAAAATGGTGATTTCCGATAGCTGTGCTGGTTTACCACAGGGTGACAGGTGACTGTGACTATGTGATTCTTCCACCCAGGCGTGATGGCCTGGAAAGCCCAACTCTTCCAGGGCCGCTACGAGAAATTGTCCTCTCGAGACGCCTGGCGGGGCTGGCCTTGAAACTAGGAACCCCCTAAATCGAATTTCACCGTTTTTTTTTCGCTCCAGAAATATAGAAATGAACCATCCGAAATAGTACCATCCTAGTGAATAGTGGCAGTTTTCACTGTTATTCATTGTTGTATCCTTGTTTTTTTTGGGAACGAAGGACATCCTGATTGTACCACTTACCACCAGTTCTCAGCATATGTCTTCTGGATGTATTCCAGGAGACCAGGCCAAAGTCCAGTTTGTGGATGCTGTATTTAGGCCCTAGGGCAAAACTGACATAAATGATGAGTTTACCCATGGTTTCCCATAGATGTGGAAAAACATAATCTACACATGCTGGTTTCTCATGGTTTCTCCACATCTATGTTAGCATACGCTAGGGTATCTATAGTTTTTTTTTGGTTCCGACCGAATCCAACAACATGATAAATGGAGAACTAGACGTGTTTACATGTTTTCAGTGGATGATAATCACACACACACACATTCAAGGACTACCCTGGTTTTTTAACATATTTGTAGAAAATGGCCCATGGAAATATATGATTTACCTATATATATATAATTATATATATAATTATATATATATATAATTATATATATATATACCTGTTAAACATTGTGATTGTCCATATGTTAAAATGACATAAAATGACCAGAGGGCGAAGAAATCCGAAGACCGAGGCGCTTGAGGGGCATCAATTCCTATCTAATGATCGAGAGAGTCACATACTGCGCACCTGTGCTGCTGGGATTTAATCCGGATGGATGTCTCTGAAAAAAAACTGTTGTACTTAGGGAACAATGCCATACATATACATATATATATGTAATATCTATGTCTAGGGTTATGTATATATATATATATATACATATCTGGTAGGTGGTTTGGAACATGATTTTTTTTGACTTTCCATATGTTGGGAATGCCATCATCCCAACTGACGAACTCATATTTTTCAGAGGGGTAGGTATACCACCAATTAGAATGTATAGCAAGCCCCAAGAAAGATGCCGAAAGATTTTTGGTTTCCAGAATGGAGACGAGGATTTCCCCATACTTTTCCGGATGTTCATTTTTTCCCGAGAGCGTCTGAGCGCAGGGTTCTTCCAATAGTGGGGGTCTGTAAAACATCTTCTCATCTTCACATCTCATCTTCACATTCTCTCATCTTCACATCTTCTCATCATCTTCACATCTTTTCATCTTCACATCCTCTCATCTTCACATCCTCTCATCTTCACATCCTCTCATCTTCACATCTCATCTTCACATCCTCTCATCTTCACATCTTTTCATCTTCACATCCTCTCATCTTCACATCTTTTCATCTTTACATCCTCTCATCTTCACATCCTCTCATCTTCACATCTGCTCATCTTCACATCCTCTCATCTTCACATCTGCTCATCTTCACACCTTCCCATCTTCACATCTGCTCATCTTCACACCTTCCCATCTTCACATCTTCTCATCTTCACATCTGCTCATCTTCACATCTGCTCATCTTCACACCTTCCCATCTTCACATCTGCTCATCTTCACACCTTCCCATCTTCACATCTTCTCATCTTCACATCTGCTCATCTTCACATCTGCTCATCTTCACATCTGCTCATCTTCACATCTGCTCATCTTCACATCTTCCCATCTTCACATCTTCTCATCTTCACATCTGCTCATCTTCACATCTTCTCATCTTCACATCTGCTCATCTTCACATCTGCTCATCTTCACATCTTCTCATCTTCACATCTGCTCATCTTCACATCTGCTCATCTTCACATCTGCTCATCTTCACATCTGCTCATCTTCACATCTGCTCATCTTCACACCTGCTCACCTTCTCTCTCACGCCTTCTTTTTATCTTTCTCTCTTAAGGCCGAGGGTGGTGCCGGCGGCGAGTCACGAAACGTCAACCCTTTCGCACGAAATGAGGGTCGATCGGCAAAAACTGAGGTAAAATTGCGATTTGACTTGTCCTGGAGCAACCCTTTCGCACGAAATGAGGGTCGATCGGCAAAAACTGCGGTAAAATTGCGATTTTACTTGTGCTGGAGCAACCTTTTCGCACGAAATGAGGGTCGATCGGCAAAACCTGAGGTAAAATTGCGATTTGACTTGTGCCGGAGCAACCCTTTCGCACGAAATGAGGGTCGATCGGCAAAAACTGAGGTAAAATTGCGATTTGACTTGTCCTGGAGCAACCCTTTCGCACGAAATGATGGTCGATCGGCAAAAACTGAGGTAAAATTGCGATTTGACTTGTCCTGGAGCAACCCTTTCGCACGAAATGAGGGTCGATCGGCAAAAATTGAGGTAAAATTGCGATTTGACTTGTCCTGGAGCAACCCTTTCGCACGAAATGATGGTCGATCGGCAAAAACTGAGGTAAAATTGCGATTTGACTTGTCCTGGAGCAACCCTTTCGCACGAAATGAGGGTCGATCGGCAAAAACTGAGGTAAAATTGTGATTTTTCGTGTGCTGGAGTAACTCTTTCGCACGCAAAGAGGTTTGTGTGTACGAGCGTTTCTGTGTAAAGATGTTTGTGTGTAAAAATGTTTGTGTGTACAAGTGCATCTGTCTAAAAGTGTTGTGTGTAAAACCTTCTGTGTGTAGAAGTCTTTGTGTGTAAACGGGTTTGTGTGTACGAGTGTTTCTGTGTAAAGATGTTGGTGTGTACAAGTGATTGATGTAAATTGCACCTGTTTAAACGTGATTGTGTGTAAAAGCTTCTGTGTGTAAAAGTGTTTGTGTGTAAACGTGTTTGTGTGTCGGAGTGTTTCGGTGTAAAGATGTTTGAGTGTAAAAGTGTCTGTGTGTACAAGTGCATCTGTGTAAAAGCCATTGTGTGTCAAAACTTTTGTGCGTAAAAGTGTCTCTGTGTAAAAGGGTTTGTGTGTAAGAGTGTTTCTGTGTAAAGATGTTTGTGTGTAAAAGTGTTTGCGTGTAGAAGTGCACCTGTGTAGAAGTGTCTGTGTGTAAAAGCTTTTGTGTGTAAAAGTGTCTGTGTGTACAAGGGTTTGTGTCTTAAAGCGTCTCTGTGTAAAATGGTGTGTGTGCACCAGGGTTTCTGTGTAACAGGTGTTTCTGTGTGACAGGGGCAATGTGTGTGTGTGTAAAAGCAGCCTTGCTTACATGTTTAAAAGTGTTTGTGTGTAGAAGCTTCTGTGTGTAAAAGCGTCTGCGTGTAAAAGCGCCTGTGTGTAAAAGTGTTTGTGTGTAACAGTGTTTCTGTGTAAAAGTGCCTGCGTGTAAAAGCGTCTATGTGTAAAAGCTTCTGTGTGTACAAGCGTTTGTGTGTAAAAGCAGCTCCTGTGTGTAAAAGGGTCTGTGTGTAAAAGTGTCTGTGTGTAAACGTGTCTGTGTGTAAAAGTGTCTGTGTAGAAGCGTCTGTGTGTAAAAGCTTCTGTATGTAAAAGCTTCTGTATGTAAAAGCTTCTGTATGTAAAAGCTTCTGTCTGTAAAAGCTTCTGTGTGTAAAAGCTTCTGTGGGTAAAAGCTTTGTGTGTAAAAGCGTCTGTGTAAAAGCGTCTCTGTGTAAAAGTGTTTGCGATGCAAACTATTGTCTTGCACTTCTCACTATTTTGTCTTGATACTCCTCTTCTCGACTGCCTATAACACAGCTTTCATATACCGTTTCTAAAATTGCAGCTCCATACTAACAAGACAAGACCCTGCTCCTCTACGCTCTCGGGCCATCCGTCGTCTAGTTTTGTTGGGGGGTGTTGCTACAGATAGTAAAATATAATAGCTACTTGCATTGGAAACTAATGGCCATTCTAATAGAGGGATCATATGGGACGATGATCAGCTGCAGTAGATTTACTGCCGCGGCGACCGATGAAGTCTCATGGAATCTTATGATTCAGCCGTTTCAACCGCCCTTGGGTGCCGCAAAAAAAAACATTCTGGGTAAATCATAGTGGCCTCACTGTGACAATCATGATTAGCCTTATTTCAGGTTTGCGCCTGCCTCTAGTTCTGTGCAAAGTGAACAGAAAGGGCTGGCAGCCTCTGACTCCGACGATTCCGACGATGATAATTCCGTCGATGATGACGAGGACATAGATTTGAGCTTAGCCCAGTGGAAGAAAGCAATTTCAAGCCTCCGGTTCAGTGCAGCCCGAGGCTATGATGCCATATTTGCAGCCGAATTGGCTACACTTCCAGACTGCTTGATTGATCGATTGAGACATGTTGTTGCAAAGTATGACAAAGGCTTCCCTGCTTGGTTCATGGCTTCCAGGGTTTGCCCCATCAGCAAAACTTGGGACACTCCTGCCAATTCCCAAGTTAGACCTATAACTGTGCTTAGTCAAGTCTACAGATTGTACGGCATCTTAATTTGTAGGCAAATCTTGCAACAGTGGGGTTTGGCCATTCCAAGTTCAGTGACAGGACTTCTTCCAGGAAGAGGAGCTCATGCAGCCGCATACGCACAGCAAATTTTGTTGGAATTTGCCAGGAAGAACCACCAGGAAACATCCGGCATTACTTTCGACATCATTAAGTGCTACAACCATATCCGCCAAAACCTTGCATTCAAGCTCCTTGAAGCCATGAAGGTACCAGCCAATGTGATCACTTGTCTCCAGGGATCTCTCAACTGCCTCACTCGATCCTGGCGAGTGAGCCAAGAGACTTTCGGCCATCACAGCGCGACATGGGGTTATCCAGAAGGTGATGCACACTCGGTCGTTGTGATGGTCGCCCTGGCCACAACTTGGACATCCGCAATCCACTCGGCCACGGGTGGTGAAGTCAAGGCCTTTGGCTATGCAGACAACTGGGGGTGGCTCAGCTCTGCCACTAGTCCCCAAGGTCTGGCTATGGATGTCACTTTGAAATTCACCAAATTGTTTGGACTAACACTCGATACTGATAAGACATGGATGTGGGCCAGTTCAACTCCCAGAGCTAACATGCTAAAAGTTGAGTTGCAACATCATCTCCCTGACAAAGTGCTGCGAAGGGCTCATCATGAAAGAGACTTGGGTGTTGAAATGCACTATTCGGGCCCACACCGTTTGGGGCACCGAAAAGATAGGTTTGATAAGGGCTTCCAACGCCTGCAGCGCCTCCAGACCATGCGAGTGAGCCTATCACTCAAAGAGAGACTTTTGCTGTCAAGTGTCTTCCCATCCATGTTCCACGGCTCTGAAATTTGCCCACCTTCAGCCGATGTGGTAGATAAGGTGCGTTCAAAAGCAGCAGATGCAGTGTTAGGTCCATCCAGGACAATGAACCCGGCTATAGCTCTTTTACTTGCTGGTAGGCAGGTTCTTGACCCCCAGGTATGGTTGATTTGTCAAGCCATTCGAGCAGCGAAGTATTGGTTGTTGCGCCAAAATGAGGATTGTCGATCAAAATTTTTCAAAACAGCTCTCAATTCCAAGGTCAGGTTAACTTGGTTAAAGGCCCAGCATCAGCCCTCCGCCTTTACCTTCGTAAAATTGACTGGGATATTGATGAACATAGATTTCTTTTGACTTCAGTCTTTGAAAAATTTCACCTTGCTCGTACCAGCTTGCAGGAGTTGATGCTCAATGTCACACTTGCCTGGCAAAAGGACCTTTTACTCTTGTACACCTCTCGTAAAAGTTTGCAAGGGTTGCCAGATGTGAGCCGCCAGGACACATGTAGTGTCCTTTTGTCTTTCCCTGAAAATGAGCGCAGGCAGTTGTTGCGTCAGATCAGTGGTGCTTGGCAAACCGAACATCAGAAAAGCAAATGGGTTCAAGATGCCGAACATGATGGTAGTTGTATTTACTGCGGTGCTCACGATAGCCATGTTCACAGGATGCTGGAATGTCCCACGTTTGATGAAATCCGAGCACCTTTTAAAGACCTGGTTGATACGCTGCTCACACAAGACAGTAGTATGCCACTTCTTCCTTGGGGACCCTTTGCACATATATACGGATGGAAGTTGCCAGTTTCCTAATTTGCCGACATGCCGTTTTGGGGCTTTTTCTTGTGTTTTAGACTTGCTACCGACGGATTTGGAACGCAGACAGCATGCTAATGCAGCCCTCGCCACGGGCCAACCACCAGCCACTTTGCAGACCATTTTCACAGCTCGTCTAAAGGGGCTACAGACCATTAACCGTGCAGAGTTGTCATCGGTGATACATGCCTTGTCACTCCCTGGTAAGCTTTGCATTCACACAGATAGTGCATATGTTATCAACTCGGTCAATAAATGTCGCTTGGCAAGTTCAGCAGATGTTTTACAGCAACTCAACAATTCTGATCTCCTGATGCAGCTTTGGCACAGTTTGCGCAGGGACGATGCTGTTGAATTTTGTCAGATTCGGTCTCATAGAGATATTTCTGCCATCTTCGACTCTCTTGATAGATATCATGCCTACGGAAATATGATTGCGGACCAGACTGCAATTGCAGCTTGCCTCCACTTGAATCCTTCTTGGTGTGCCAGCTTTAAAGATAAGCAGCTTTCTGTTCATTCCGACCGTGCCATGCTTAAGCAGTTTTGTAACCCTGCTTTGGAGTTGCAAATAGCCCGAGCCAAATGGGATGCTGCAAATGATAACTGCCACAATGCACAGCAACATGCACATGCCAGCCAGCGCCAAGAGTTGTTACGGTTTCTGCAGACTTGGAATCCGGACGATGCAATTCAGTGTGGTCGGCCTGACATTACTGCTTGGGCCCACCTTTTTTCTTGGGGCTCCACTTTGGCCAATCAATTTATGGATTGGCTTTCACAGTGCAGATGGGCCAGAGAACCTCCAGTGTACATGCCCACTACAGGTGTTTCCTGGCTCGGGCTTTCTTTGAGTTTTTCTTTGTGTATAGGCAAGGTCTTGCCTATTGTGAGACGCGATGATGTGGACCATGAAACGCTTCTTTTCACAGAGGATGCAGATGACGTGCAACACCATCATATAACACATGCGGATCTTGCACATACGTTTTCAAGTATGTGGTCACAGGCAATAATTTGGACAGGTTCAGATTTCTTACCACCTTGTCAAAGGGGGCTGAACAACTCGTTATATTTGCAAGGCTTTGCGCAGTGCTCATCAGGTATCTCTCCGAGGTTCTGTTTCCCACGGCAGGAGACTGTTTGCAAATATATCGAAAGCCACATCAGACACACCAGCCACTTTGCTGACCCACTCCAGTGCGATTGGCTGGGGGCGAGAACTTCTGATTTTGTGATTCGCGATTGGAAACAGGTGTGCCAACGGTTAAAGTTGGATCGCAAGGCATGGAAACAACAACTTCAGACATAAACTTTGCAATCTCCTTCACTTTGTCCACCTCCCATCTACATCAGGATACCTTTTCACATCTCAGGTAGTGCTGCTTTCGCCGAATCCGGCTGGGGCAGACCTATTGATGAAGCGGAAAGAAAAAAGCCTTATTTCAGGTGAGTGATTTTTGGTAATTTACCCAGATCATTGAAACATCCGTGTTGTTTTTTTTTTCCACTGTCGGAACTGCTATTTTTGCTGGCTTGTGGCTGCATCCATGCAGTCTCATAGGATATCACGTTCCATTGTTTCCCGTATTTTTCAATATATATATATATACATATATATATACACACATATTATATATATATATATATATATTCATATTATATATATACACATATATATATAGATACATATATATATATATTCATATTATATATATACACATATATATAGATACATATATATATATACATTCATATATATATATATATATATATTCCAAATATGCCCTCATTTAAAGAATATTTCCACACTTTTGTTCACTGTAAATTTCTCATGTGTTTTCCATATTTGTCATATGCCCACCACCATGTGTTTCCAATATTTGTCTATTTTTCCAACATGTTCTTTGTTTTCCGAACATCGTTGTCTGCATGTTTTTTTTCTCAATATGTTACTGTTCCCCCATATCTTTTCCCTATACTTCCCATATGTTTCCATATGTTGTCCCTTATGTTTCCACATGTTAATGGTTCCCATATCTTTCTAGAAATGTTTCCCTCATGTTGTGACGTGGATTTCCTGGCGCCCAAGTGGGCTCAAGGTCAACGTGGGCGGGCCCTTCAACGCCTCCCCAGCCAAGTCTACTCTGGATCCGCCGGCAGCAACTGGAACTGTGGGTTGGAGGGGTTGGAGGGGTTGGAAGGGTTGGAGGGGTTGGAGGGGTTGGAGGGGTTGGAGGGGTTGGAGGGGTTGGTGGGGTTGGAGGGGTTGAAGGATGGAGCAAGCAGCGTCTTTTGCTGGTTGACTGGTGATTTTCCATTCAAACAACTAAAGGATTTTTTTATGATTCAACTACCTATCCAGTTGGTTGGGGATTAAACAATGATCAATGGCTGTTTGAAGATATTCCCTAGTTCTACATGGTTAGTAATGATTCATCATGGTCAGTTTCATGTAATGAATAATTTAATGAATGGTGATTGATGTTGCCGCCCTCCGGTAATCAAACGTGACTGGCTGGAAAATCCCGCATTTAGTGCGATGATTTTATCATTATAACCTTGTAACTTCCAGCTATAGCGGATTTTCAATTGACCCGTTTGATTACCAGAGGGTACCGGCTTCTACCTGACGAATTTTGGAGGAAATTGTTGGGCCTGTTAGTCGATGTGAAAATCAAGGGTGGTTTTTGAACATGCCCATAGTTGATTAAATGCACGCTTACATGTATACATGTGTGCACATGTAGCGTTATTAACTGGATCATCATCCCATTACCAAGACTCGGAGTACACACACACACACAGACACACACACACACATATATATATATATAACATACACACACATATACATATATATATATATATATATATACATATATGTATTAGATATAAAATGATAAATGTTGACTATAGTGATAAAATATATAATAATGCACATACCCTACGGATCCCAGTACCTTCGGAAGTACGGCTGGGGTATGATTTGGGTTGTCTACTGTAGTTCCTATCTCGAGAACGAATTACTTGGATCCACAAGTTATAAATGATATGATGTTTGCTAGTATCAGTATGACAAAACATTTGCTCATACATATAGACATAGAGGACCCAATAGAGATATATAGATATAATCCATGTAATTCCTTTGGCACATAACATGCAGATGTATAGTTGCATGGTTCTCATATATATATATAAGCTATCATCTTACATGTAGATTTATCAATGATATGTGTTTTTCTTTTTTAAATATATATATATATACACATTTATTTGATTATTTATTTGGTTTTACGTATGCATAAGATTATATGGCGATAATTGTATGTCCAAGAAAATATAAACCAAGTTATTTGCGTCAACTTAGCTATCGTTTTGGGGCCTGACATTGTATATATATATATATATGTTTTGTTTTTTTTTTACACCGTCCATTTTTATAAATACATGTATGTGTATATATATATATGTATACACATACATGATCCAAATATATTACATGAATGTTCCTATTCTTATTACTGTTTTATCATTACTATCAGATTAATATCAATGATTTTTGTTTGTAGCTGTTATAGAACTTATATGTATATGGAAATGAATATATATATATATATATATCACTGCTGTTGTATTTGAGTCAACTCATGAAAAACGACCAGCGGCCCATAACTTCAGGTGATCCACGACCAGTTCTTAGCCACAACCACCTCCAGCGGCACCGTTTGGAGGGCCTTTGGGATGCTTTTCACCGATGGGGAAGTGATGTTTACCCGAAATGGTGATGATGTGTAGGGAAATGGTGATGAAATGGTGGTTTTATAATGTTTTTCATTGGGATTAATATGGTTGACCCTCTGGCTATTTAGCATAGCTATGGATGGAAGAAATCCTGCACTTGATAGATGGTAAACATCCCATTATTTATAGGGTTTCAACCATCCTTTTGGTGGTGCAGGATTTCGCAACCATCCACAGCGGCTATGGAAAATTGTCATTTTTAGAGGATTTATATGGATTTGTGATGCTTTACCCATCAAATTTAAACTGGTGATTTTGCATAGCTACGTTAAATAACCAAACGGTAAGTGATGTTTAATGGGTTTTAGATGGAAATTTGGTTCACCAAAAATGAGGAATTTTAGTGACGTTTCATGGAATTGTTAATTTGTTTGAGATAGAAATTCATGGGCTTTGAATGGGTTTGAAATGATTTTTTTTAACCATGAACTATAGTAAAACTATAGGGATGTATAGCGAAATTCAATGGGATTGTTCACAGGATTAAACATGATTCGAATGGAGGTTAACGGACAAAAACGGCTATGATACCCTCTGGTCATGACCAACAGTTTGCGATCCAAAACGGCTGATGAATTGGATGAATCACCTATTAAATTTAGTGATTTCCACATATAGTTTTGTGAAATTACCAAAGGCTAATGATGAGTATAACACTTCTGTTTTTAGAGCTAACGTTGGATGATTTTGAAATTTTGGTCAGGCATGTAGTGGTTGACAATTTGTACAATTATGTGATAAACCCCAAAATACATCAACTTTGGATGGCACACACGCGCCCATCTTTGGTAAGATTCTGGATTCAAAAAAAAGGAAGAGTGAACACCATCAAAGTTTAGACATTTTCCATCTATGGAACATCTATTTGTATGGAAGATCTTTGAAATGCATGATTGATTACTGGGTTACTTTATTACACCATACCTGGTTTTGATCAAGCAAGTCCAAGGAGCGAAGAAGATGCTCAGACACGCTACCGTCGCTCAGCGCGATCTTGGTCAACCTACCCTCCAGTAATCAAACAAGGCTATTAAGGGAAATCACCTATAAACGGCGGGATTTATCGGGAAAATCAACTTAAAATGGTGATGCTAAGTATCCAGCAAAACAAATGGCTGGATTTAAGGGCAACTCTTTCCAGCCTTATTGCAGCACATTTATCGTTGAATCCTTGTGAGCTGGTTGTATTTTGTTGAGTCTTGCAGGTACTAATGTAACAAACTAATGCCATAAACCATCCCCAACAGAGGTTAATTATTCGGTATGCTCTCATTTGGGATGGTGTAAAATGACTCCAAATGGTTGGTTAATGGGACGGTCTCTTTAGAGAGGGTTTATCCACGATATACATCCCCAACCTTGGATTAGCACTTTAAATAACCAGCAAAGGATGATCTGTTGTGGCCTATCAAAGATTGACCATGTATATTTGTTTATGTATGTATATATTATATGTATCTTGTCTATTTTCAATCTGTATAGTGTTATGAATTTCACACCTCAGCGCACAATCATGTGCAAGATCCGTTTCTTTGCGCATGCATATGTTTGCATATGTGTATATATTGGTGTGTATATATATATATATTATATGTGTGTCTGTTTTGTTTAAATCTCGAACATTGTTTCTGCACATAGACGCGCGCATACAAACATATAATATTGTTTATTCATATATACATATTAAAGAACTATATAATCCTACTAAAAAATGTGCTAATGCGAAAATCATCAAACTAAGTGGGGAATTGTCCTGGATACTAAGGGATATTAAGTTCATCTTCTACAATAGATATTGATGGTCATTCATGGATATGGATATTGCCCGGATGTGGAGTTTATGTGGAGGGACTACCCACCATTTGTAGATCATTTTCCTAGGAAAAGCCATGGGTTTTCCACATTTTTTCCGGGTTTGGATCTCAGGAATGGAAGATCCAATCCGACAGCTACCCACCTTGACGGAGCCCAGGGAGTTACGTTTGGAGGCGACGATCCGATCCATGGAGACGACAGGGCGTACTGGTACTTCGTGAACCAGTTAGTAAATGGATTATTTCATTGGGATATATTGGGATAATTAACTTAATTGGGATTGTTTGGGGGTTATATCATATATCCCCAGTTACTAAGCAGGAATCGCTAATCCCAAGGCCTGGTGTACCGTTTGGCAAACTAACAGAACCAAAGAGATTTTCCATAGCGAACTGTTAGTCTATCACAGGGTAAACAAATCCCAAAAAACAGTAGTTCAGATACCCTCTGGTGAACTAACATAGCAATGGAAAATGGCCATTTATAGTGGATTTTCCCATTAAGAATGGTGATTTTCCATTGCTATGTTAGTTCACCAGAGGGTATATGTTCCAAGAATCTCCAACAGAATTTGGTTTCTCAAGTAATGTTCAAAGTCATCCGAGCTTTGCAGTCAGCAACTACTAGCCTTCTTCTAGGTCTCTAGGATTCAGTAGGGTTAGTGAACTATACACTATGGTTATATCCACTATCAGCTACCAACTAAGGTTATGTCAACTACTATAAACATCTATAAACTATTCTCTAGATCAGTTGCGGCTCTTAGGAACTCCATCTTTGTTGCTATCAACTATCCCCAAGCTGTGCCAATTGGGCCCTAGGCTTGACGACTTTGGGATTCCCCCTTTGTGAAGACGGCTTTGAATTGATGACTTCATTGAAGACGGTCTTCCCATTCTTCTCCTAATACGAAAACAAGGGGAAGCGTTTGTTTCGGTTGTTTCCACTTCCCCTGCGATGGTTGGCAACCAATCAACTCCTGCATCAAAAGCCATCAGACATGGCATGTAAAGTCCATACGTTTGGTGAACATCCTCAACTTTCTCCAGACCAGGAGTTGAGGAAAATACGAACACATTCCTGCACAATTGGCTGATAACAGTCTGTGAAGCACATTGAGATGATAATAGGCTTGTTTGAGGGAGAGAAACACCTGCAAAAACTCTTGCATATTTGGTTCTCCTAGCAAATTCAGCCGTGACACTCATCATCCCCGAAAATTGCCTCAAATCTTGTGTTCGGATCAAAAACCGATCTTCATATATGTTCCATTGATTTTCCCTGGATGTCCCATGGTTTTCCCTTAAAAGAATCATAAAAACAACGAACATAATGTTGTTTTCCATGGATCTTTGATCGGATGTTTTTTTTCAAAAACCAGGACGCTTGCCGCGCACGCTCAGCCCAGAGGGCTCAGAGTGTCTTTCGGCATCTTGGAGAGGCTCGGCTCCCAAATCATCCAACATGTCAGTCGTTTAGTACCCCATTTTAAGAACCCCTAAATCATGCCCCAAAATGCACCAAATACTTCCTGAGAAGGCACTTGGATCCATAATGTAAGTGGCTTCTGACTTCTGGGGGTGAATATAACATAATATAACCCATAGCAAAGATACCAATTTACCAGTAGAATGGCATGGGATAGGGGTCGTTTATTTTTAGTATTGTTAGCAACAACTATGACTGAAACCATTTAGGAATATCTAATGACTTGATCCATACCCATGTGTACGGGATATCGAATATGGGGCTTAGGCTAACCTCAAAATCTGGGAATTGAAACCTTGATATGGAATATTGATTATTGGATTATAATGGACCATTGAGTTGAATGGACACCACTTGGATATGATGGGGACTTAAGGAACCGAAATGGTAGTAGAATGGGGCTATACTAGGATATGAAGGGAAAGTATCAATAATATATTCGGGAAAACTATAAACACCTCAACACCTCACGTCGCAACGTGACTGGAATATATGACCCGACGTAATTAACTCCCAAAAAGAAACGTCATTTGCTACTGGATGGAACTTGTTAATCTTTTAGGGGGGTGATCTATGTGATATCAATTGGAGATGTAACTCATATCTCAGGATGTAACCCTGTAACATTCCAAAACTATATCGGTTTTCACCGGCTTTTGGGGGTGGCAATTTGGCTACCCTCGCCCCACCGGCTTAGACTGAAATAAACCCGATAGGAAACCGCACAAGAAACTTAGAAGCCAAATAGGGTGGATAAGCCCCGGGTGAGCCATATTTTTGTTGTTTGTTATATCCGAGGAAAGAACGGCTGACATGGTGGCTGACGGAGAGGTGCAACAGATCAGCGGTCTGTCGTTCCATATCCTTCCCTGCACATCCCTGCACCGTGTACACTTGCCCCCCTCCCATTCCCCCCCCAAAAAAAACATATAAAGGTTTTGTAAGTCATGGGGGTAACCCAAATAATGCCAAATTAGACCATTTTAGTATTGGGTTAGCCATGCTGACTTGGAGATCCCCCATTTTAAGAAATTCCCATATCACTGTGAATCCGGCCCATCATCTCACGGCCATTTTCTGTAGTTTTCGGTGGAGACAATCTCCGGCTCGGCGCGCCACCCCGTGGACGCGCAACGATGGCCTTTCAGCGTCGGCGTCGTTCCGTGCTGGTGGTGCTGGTATTGGCGCTGGTCTTGGCGCTGGTGCCACACCCCAGACACCAAGGTGTCATTTGGGATGTGTCCGGTGTAGGGGGCCCAGGGATGACATGGGGCGATGATGAAGTTTCAATTTGCGATTGAGCTCAAGGATTTTGAGACCTGGTAAACTAACATAGCTAAAATCACCAAGCTAGAGCTATAGCTATGTTCAATAGCAAACTGTTAAATTACCAAGGGGTATATATTTGATTTGGTGTTTTCCTTTTTTTTGATCTTAAGACTTTTCGATCTTCGATGACTATATAACTGATGCCGCAGGCAGAGGAGAAGAAGATCTGCCCCAACAGCACCTTGGTGTGGCACGGGTTTTGGTCGGATAGATCGATGAACATGGATGAATTCTGAAGGGGCAAGGGCAACTGGCAAGCATATGCAAGCATCACAGCTACGGTGATTTCAGCACATACTTATAGAAGCCAGGTTTTTACCAAACATAGAACACATATTTTAAAACACTTTCGTAACGGTGCGGCATGGGTGCGCTACAGTGTACCTTTGTGCAGATTCCAGTCCTGACCAACCGGGCTTTGTTAGGCCTTCTTGTGGTCTTCTCCTCATGAAAGCGCCCGGGTCATCGGTCTCAGAAGTGGTTCCAAGAAATATTTACATGACATTATTTCCTTCTAAGCACTTCTGGAGGTTTCCCCCTCACTTATCCTCAATCGGCTGAGGCGCTTTTTGGCCGTGGCGCAGGAATCGCACCACGGCCACTTCCCCTTCAGCCAAGCCTTGAAACGCCACGCGCGCGACGCGCGCGAGGCGCGCGACGCACAGGAGGCAGAGAACGCCGCAGCAGAGGAGTTGGAGGCGAGGTTGGCGGAGGCCGAAGATTCTTCGGTATCACTGACCTTGCTGGGTGCCGAGGCTGAGCAACTGGGGGACCATGAATGATGGCTTTCCAGTTTGCAGTAACCACTGGGGAAAAGACTTGGAGAGTTTATAATTTCGTTTAATGTAAGGATGACTGCACACACACACATATATATGCATATATAATTTAATTATATTATTTATGTTGTATTTATTTATTTATCTATCTATCTATCTATCTATCTAAGTCTATGTTTCTATTATTTATTTTTGCATTTGTTTACCTGCAGGAGAACATGCTTTAATCAGCAAAGGAAGACAATTGTGCGGGACGGGATATCTAAGATTAGCCATGTCCAATACACCTCTGAATTGATCATGGAATCTGAACAAATGCTGCCCAAGATGATGTTTCTATTGGACATGGTCGCTGTGGGTTTGATGTTACAGTCAGGAGTCAGGGGGTGAGATATGGGTGGATGGTGGTCAAATATGGCTTGGCTTTAGGCTGCGGAGTTTTCAACAGATTTACTGCCGCAAAGGTATGCAGTGGAAGTTAGCTATAGATCTGGATTTCTCCTGGGGAGTGGGTCTTACACCGTCCCATCAATATATTGAGTGAATATTATATAGAATATTAAACAACAAATTTCAAAAAACCTTGCAACTTGCATGGGCTCCTCCATGTAGATGAAATTCCAGATCATCCTCAAAAACCTGTTCGTCACCATCGTTTTTTTTTGACATTGGGAAAGTCCCAGAAAATCTACGGAGTGATCCTGATTGATCGATAGTCAGCAGTGGTTTTCGCATGTTTTCGCTATGAGGCTGCATGGGTTTCGTGATGGCCACCTTCTATCTGGTGAACTGGCCGGATGACGACATTCGGCAGATCTCCTTGGAAGTGTCGCTCGGCCGGCGAGGCTCCCTGCGCTGACCTGGATAAAAAGTGCACTTTGGGAAGCCTCACTTTGGGAAAGTGTGCAACTTCAAGTCCCAAGTATCAGGGTGAAGCCTGTTGACTGAACCACCCAAACCAGACAAACTTCAAATATGCTCAAATATCACTGACGAATTTAGTTCATCAGGGAGCCGGTACAAGTTGGTGCAGGGCACTGTTTGGTTTAGTTGTTTATGTATTTTCCGGTCACCCATTGCCAGGGTTCACGCCGTGCATGCCTGTTCTTCTTGGAAGAATCTTCATTGTTTTTGCAGACGTGGTGTTGGCATGTGGTAGGTGCACGCTGCATACTGCTGATATATGTTGATGGTGCTGACGTGCCTTGGGATGGCTATGCGTGCCATGAGCATCATTTCATCCCATTGTATCCATGTTTCAAGTCGTTCATGATGAACCACCTCAGATTCCCCAAACAGATTGGTATCCCGGGCGGTTTTGCCCAGGCTCAACTCAACGATCAGCATCTTTGGCGCCCTGTTGCTCTTCCACACCTTCGAAGATGTGCTGGAGCACTACATCCTGCCGGCTCCGCGGCCGCATGCCTGGGTGGCCGGGCATAAATGGGTATTTAGATGTAATTAGAACACTTTGGTATAACATGGACTTAAGGTACAACCTGGTATAACCTGGTATAACATGGTATAACATGGTATAACACAACAGTTGAGCATCACCAAAATAGAGTTGCGGGGTGTGGGTTTTGCCGCTGGGGAGGATGAGAGGTGATCATGCTGGGTCTTCCCACCGCGCCAGGAAATGAGTCATTGGCAGGAGGCCCACAGGGAGCGGGTACCCGGGTTACCCACTGGAAATTGAACATGACATGAAAATGTGTCAGTTTCGAGGGGTGAATACGGGAAACCACCTGTCAACAATTTGTTATTGAAGAAAACCACTATGTGAGCCACCGCAAAGACTCCAGCAATAAGAAATATGTAAGGGACAGACATCGGTTTTGAGAAATTGTACAGGCAATAGGTAAGCCATGAGATCTTCCCAAATAGGGGTATCCCCTGTGAAGGTTATGTCATACCTGTGCGCATGCATATTTTTCCGAGAAGCGATACCCCGGGTACCCCCAAAATTGCCATACCATTCTTGACCATTCTTGTGCAAATGTGTGGTAAGCAATGGGACCTTTCCAAATTTTGTTGATGTCCTTTTCGTGAACCTTGAGTTTCCGAGATTGCTTGTGTTAGATTACCCTGAGTGTGTGAAACGCATGCCCTTTCCAGCCCTTTTTCCAGCTTCTTGGATAGGTTGAAACCACCCATCGGGCCAAGCTTTGAAAATATGGCCATGTTTGGCCCAAAGTGGTGATATCAATCAGCGGACTATTTGACTTATTGACTTACACTATCCAGGACCAAGCAATTGTGCAGAAGAGACTCTGGCAGTCGCATGCAGACATTTCTCTTGGCCATCCACTTGCAAACTCAGAGATATATCATCTCATCCCCCTATATAATATTGAACACCTCTAAAAACAATGGTTTCGTGATGTTTCGTGTGGAGTTTATACATATTTGGGACCATGCACGGGGTGTTTCATATTGCGGGGATGGGGATGGGATCAGTCTAGTCATTCTTCCGTGTGGGCCCGAACATGTTTTGGAGAGTGAGTCAGTGAGTTGGGGGAAATGGTTAATGGATGTAAATGGATGTAAACCATCCCCAGTTTGACCTTGAATTTTTCATATAGGTGGCTTGTTGGTGGTTTGGAACATGACTTTTATGACTTTCCATTCAGTTGGGAATGTTTTTTCATCCCAACTGACGAACTCCATCATTTTTCAGAGGGGTAGGTATACCACCAACCAGTAATGGTTATTCCAGGCCCTCTACAAATGACTAGGAGCGCCCTTCTATGCCAGTCCAAGATTTGTTTAGGGGAGCTGCTACCGGCTGCTACCCATTTTCTGGGGAGGCCTGACGGTTCAGACACCAGGTAGCAGTGTCCATGCTGCAGATGCTTCTGTGGTTCGTCGCCCTCCAACTGGTCTTGGCCTACTATTCGGGCGCATTGGGCAAAAATCAGGTACCATGGCAGAACCTTCAATCACATTCATCATTGGAACATATATCTGAACATGTATCAATCTTCTAACATGTTTATTAAAAAATCCATCATGTTGGATACAATGGCAGAACCATCAATTTGTTTATTTTTGGTTCATTTTGTTGTTGCATTCAATGGTGACCTCCCTTCATAGAAGGTTGTGAAAATATGGCACCTTCCCTAGGGCCCTCATGGGTGCCGGTCGAACTCCTGGGTTCTTTTGATGTCAAACCTCCGGTTGAAACGCAGTTTTTTTTACGAACCTTTCGTAACGTGGCAATGGAAACGCCCCCGAAGTTTCATTGATTTTCCGGATAGACCCTTCACATCAATATGGTGGTTTCCTAAAATAGGGGTACCCCTGTTCATCATCCATTTATAGTATGGGATTTTCCATGAAATCAACCATCCAGCGTTTTTGGGGTACTCCCCATTTCAGGAACCCCCCATATCTTTCGGGGATGACTGAGGCAGTCATGCTGCGCAGCGACAGTTTGTCGGTGGCAAAGGCTTGTGAATCCCCTACAACCAAGTGGCATCTCATGAAGTCTGCCGACCAGCACCTGGGTGCCCCTTGGATCGGAAAGTTTCGGAACTTCCGGAAGAACTTGGACTACTTGGATGGCCGGGTTGGTACCCTGGGGATTAATTCTTCCAAAATATGTTATATATATAATAGATATTATTTTATTATAATTTATTTATTTACATGCCTTAAAGAACAATTAATGTCAACATCGTATTAATAACCCCCCCAAACATTAAGAGCATCAGAATAAAGTTAAGGCCAAACATTCAACTATCGTAAAAATCACCTATGTATTCCCAAATGAATTGCCTAATTGAAAACGAATACATACGGGAACTTTCCAAAAAAAGATCATCTATGTATTCCCAAATGAATTGCCTAATTGAAAACGATTACATAAAAGGAACTTTCAAAAAAAAAACACCTATGTATTCCCAAATGAATTGCCTAATTGAAAACGATTACATAAAGGGAACTTTCCAAAAAAACAAAAAACCACCTATGCATTCCCAAATGAATTGCCTAATTGAAAACGAATACATACAGTGAACTTTCTTGGAACTTTAGTATTCACAAATGAATTGCCTAATTGAAAACGAATACATAAAGTGAACTTTCTTGGAACTTTAGTATTCACAAATGAATTGCCTAATTGAAAACGAATGCATAAAGTGAACTTTCTTGGAACTTTAGTATTCACAAATGAATTGCCTAATTGAAAACGCATACATAAAGTGAACTTTCTTGAAAGGGTTTAGTAAGGAAAGGGTTTAGTAAGGAAATCGACCATTTGAGCCTTGTTGATTTTTTTGCACTCCAGAACTTTTCAGGCAAGATTTGGAGTTTGGAGTTTACTGCTTCCAGCTCAAAGAGTCTTGAGGGCTTCAGAAAGGGTTTGAGAAAGGGTTCAACTAGGAAAGGAATTGAGAAACAAATTTAATTAACCACCAAAATTTTAGAACCCTGAAATCCAAATACTTTATTTAGGGGTGTGCAAACATACATTATTATTTTGATGTCATGTCAGGGGACTTCAAGGCTACCCCCTTTGCGCGATTGTTTTTTGGCATTTTTTGAAAGGGTTTAGTAAGGAAATCGACCATTTGAGCCTTGTTGATTTTTTTGCACTCCAGAACTTTTCAGGCAAGATTTGGAGTTTGGAGTTTACTGCTTCCAGCTCAAAGAGTCTTGAGGGCTTCAGAAAGGGTTTGAGAAAGGGTTCAACTAGGAAAGGAATTGAGAAACAAATTTAATTAACCACCAAAATTTTAGAACCCTGAAATCCAAATACTTTATTTAGGGGTGTGCAAACATACATTATTATTTTGATGTCAGGGGACTTCAAGGCTACCCCCTTTGCGCGATTGTTTTTTGGCATTTTTTGAAAGGGTTTAGTAAGGAAATCGGCCATTTGAGCCTTGTTGAATTTTTTGCACTCCAGAACTTTTCAAAAAAAAAACACCTATGTATTCCCAAATGAATTGCCTAATTGAAAACGAATACATACGGGAACTTTCCCTCCAAAAAATAAAACCACCTATGTATTCCCAAATGAATTGCGTAGTTGAAAACAAATACATAAGAGAACTTTCCCTCCAAAAAAAAAATAACCTATGTATTCCCAAATGCATTGCCTAATTGAAAAGGAATACATAAGGGAACTTTCCCTCCAAAAAAAAAACTCCTATGTATTCCCAAATGAATTGCCTAATTGAAAACGAATACTAAAGGGGAAAAACGGAAAAAACGGGAAAAAAACATTCGCGTACTTTATTACGGGGGGGTTTTATTATTGTGAACCGGGAGTTGGCGTACTTTATTGCAGGGGGGGTTATTAACGCCATGCGAACATTAGGTTGACTATAAATATAGCGGTTTACAAGTATTAGTATCATTGAGTATCTACCTACGTTTTATGCACACGCAAGCTGGTACTGTATAATGTGTTTTTGTTAATTACATATATATATACATACACATTTGGTTGTTTACATTACACGCGCATATACATTTATGCGCATATATGTTCATATGTCTCTTACATGATCTATGTATATATATATATATATGTGTGTGTGTGTGTGCGCGCATGCATGTATATACTATATGTACATGTCTATTTATTCCACATGCATTTTTACATGTTGTATTTAAATATGCGACTATATGCTTCTTCACCGTATGTGTCCTGATCGTGAGTGTGTTGTGCCATGAAAATGCCGTTTGGGGAGTAGCCTTGAACATGAAGGGTGCGCAAGCCATCAAAGCTGGCGTACCTTTATGGAAAAAAACAAGTCAACTAGCACAATCAACCAGAGTATTTGGCTGAGAAGAAATAGTCCCATCTCTGGATAAAAATGGTTGAAGGGAATCACGGGGCTTGACTGACTTTATTGGGAACTGGGAAAATATGGGAAAATATGGGAAAACCTGTGTCATAGGGTGTGCTCCCCATGGAAATGCGATGAAATGCGAACCTGCATAGGAAAGTTTGTGCTGTTTATTCGTCACTTAAGTTTGTTCCAATGCCGGGACATCCAACGTCCAGAACAATCCAAGAAAATGCACAGCCCTGTGGTTCTTGAGCTGCCACCCTTTAAAAGGAACATTCAAAGTCCTTCAAAACTTACATCCAAGACCATAAAAGACTATAGACTATAAATTTCCAAAACATCATAGCATTATAGATTTCCAAGAAAACTGAAAACACAGCCGGCACCTCTCCCAAGATGAGGTCATCAAGTTGAACACCGAAGCTTGGGGCATTTTGTTGGGCCACGCCACTGGTTTTGCCGCCAAGAATGCCTGTAGCAGCCTACAGCAGGCGGTCCCCAGGAACTTTTTCTTCGTGGCCTTAACGCCTTTGCTCTTCTTCGGGTGTCTTGGGCCTTCATGGGAGGAGCCGTTCATCCATTCAAATCTGGTCACCGTTTGGGGAAGTAGTGGAAATCACATATTTGGGGTGTTTAATACTACTGCAATGGGGTTGATTATTTGATATGAGCAGTAGTATTAAACAACCCCAAATATGATTTGATTTGACCCAGTATGCTCAGAAATATTACTGCAATGTTTTTTATTTGATATGCTGATTTGATTTCTGAGCATACTTCTAATTTCAAAATTTGGGTCTCAAGTTTCGTGGCAGAAGCGCCACCGGAAATATCGCTGAACTGACCACTGGTGCTGAGGCGATCTTAGGCGGGACTGGCCTGGTACTTCTGGGAGGATGTCCTTGCCCGTTCTCCATCGAAAGAGGGTTAAACCATGCAGACATAGACTTACAGTTGGCCACACATGCAGAATTCATTGGCTAGTTGGCTTACGAAGTAAGTATTCACGACTTGGCTTGCCATGCCTCCCCAAAAATCATCCCATTCTGTAGGTAGTGACTGTAGTGACGCTTGGTGGCTTAGTATTCGCCAAGTACCAAAGCCCAGTCACAGTTCCAAGCAGGGTTAATGTACCTGTTGAAATCTGGAGCTGCATACCTCAGAACCAAAGAGTTTTTTATAGGCCGCTGACATGTCCCATTTTACTATCACCCAGCCATGAAAAGGGGACAACCATCATGGCACCATCCAATTTGCACCAAGGGGTCATGATCGAAAACCACCCTACATGAGGCATTTACAAACCCTTGGCCTTTGAGGTGACTTCAGGGGAAATGGTGAAACATGTTAACCATCAGGTATCCAACTGTTGTTGATTCAATCTACCAGCACCATGATGATTGGAGCGACTGGTTTGGTCACCCTTGCAAGCAATATATAAATGCATATAAATACTATTAAATAATTATAAGCGATCATGTCCAAAGCGAGGGCTATGCTATAAAGATATAAAGATAGATATAAAGATATAAAGATCCCTAAAGGCTTGAGGCAAAGTCTCCCCAGCTGGGCTGAGGATCATCATTCTGGTCTACCACGCCACGGAATGCTTCCGCTACAAGATCATGATGAGGGATGGCGAGGATTCCTGCTTCGGTGGAGAGCTTCTTGGTAATGTGTCTACAACCCTAAAGTGGGAAAAATAATGTTGCGAGTTTATAATATAGATTCTAGATTATTTGCCCAGTGAAGCTGTAGATTTTACGTTGCCATGTCTACACAGAAAAGCATTGCGAGCTGCGTGAAATCTGGACAGGTCTCAATATTGCAAGGTCCAGGAATCTGTTTCGAACCCCAGCACAGGAGGACGAATTCGAAGAAATTTGGCGCGAGCGTGTTGCTGAGACTGAAGATGAGGTGATTGCTTTGGCCGTGTCCTTTTCAATCGTGCAAATGATCCTTGGGCTCACATGGTGATGGCTTGGAGGATCATTCCACTAAGTAGGCGGTGAATAAATACTGGGCAAAAAAAAGTCCCATAGTGGGGCTATTCCATTTAAACATGGGTTGCAACTACGCCTGCTAACGTGTTGATGCTCCTTGCGCTGCTGCAGCGTAATTGGAGGGCTTTCTGTGCAAAGAAGGACAGACTGAACACAGAGATTTGCACATGTGTATATTTTAACATTTATGTGCACGCATGCTACCTGCATTGGGCACAAAGCTGTACATTTGCAGTGATCATGTTTAAACTCTGTATTTTAAACTTGTAGTTTATGTCGTTCTACGTTTGTTTTGGTCTAAATTTTGTATAGTATGTATGTATACCAATGTCTAATGCAAATACCATTGTGAATACCGGATCTTTCTCAATGTATTCGAGCACCACGGGTCATGCTGGGCTAAGAAGTTTTCGACTGCTTGGGGAAATTTTGGGATGGGTTTCATGGTCACAAGTTCAAGAGTTCCCCTATGTTCCTAAAATAATTTGGGTACTTAGCGCGGCGCCAGTTTTCGTTCGGTGTGAAGCAGTAACCAACTACACAATACTGCACTGAAAAATCCGTTGGATTTTTTTCATTTGGCATCATGGACACCTCGATCTCCAGATGATTTGCCTAAATTGTCATGGGGAAATGTCAGTTCAGACTTTCCGGACGGTGGTAACTACTCAGGAAGTGATCTTACCTGGAAAACTCTGCAGGAAAATCCTTCATTCCATGTGCAGGCAAAGATTTCCTAGAACATCCTACAAAGTTTGCTTTCATCAATCCATTGGCTGTTACAATTCACGATTCACAAACGAATCTACCCCACATCCCGAATCGAGATCTGGGTTGCACTCCGGAGATCACGTTCGCAAGGACCATCCCATGCTGATCCAGCCTTTTTAAAAGCAGACGAAAGTCATCATAGTCATCATCTATAACTGGGTTGTGCTTCTTGACATTAAAATGATATAAACCCATAGGGTTGCACAAACACAGCGAGATTCAGAGAGATTGATGGCTTCAAAACGAGTGCGGCGAAACCTGGAAGAATCTGCACCCTCCGGTAGTTTAACAGTTTGCTACTGAACAGTTGCCAATTTGTAGATGATTTGCCAATTAAAACAAGCTCATCGTCCATAGGTCCAGAATTATGTTCAATTACCAAAGGGTAAACCTCTGGTTTTAAACCAATGGCTTTCCCCCGATTCCCATAGGAATCGCCATGGATCCATATAGTTTTTTTGTTGTCATCCCCATTATATCCCATGAAATATCATGGTATTTCCCTAAATCCGTTCCCTTTCCCATGAAATAAAAACATGAAAGCACCATTGAACATTGATGATTTACAGTGGCATAAGTGGGATATATGTCCAACGAAAGGAATTCGCAGCCGTGACCGTGCCAGGTTGCGCTTCGGCATTTCGGGACACTTGCCCAATGCCTCGGGAGAGGATCAAGAGAGATTCAACTTGCACACCAACTCCTCTTGCGCCACGGCACTGGTTGCGACAGTGGAATGGGTTTGGGATGGATCATCCCCATGAAATGTCTGAAATTGGGCAGAAAACCCCCTGGTTTTTGGTGAGAGAATAGCGCACTTTTATGGCTGAGAGTTGCGGTTACGTATTTAGGTGGATGCCACATTGGTTACCCCCAGAAACACAAGCAGTATAGTCAATGACCACCCTACTTGGTTTTGTCCTTTGCCACAAACGGGAACACAACCAAATATGCATAAGTATGCTATAATCAAAGGAAGTTTCATGGAGGAAACTCCGAGTTACGGACTACGGATGGTTTTATTCTCACTAGCCCAAAGATCATTGTGTCCAGATGGCACCTGTGTTCAGAGATCATGAAGTCACATTCTCATTAGCCCGGGGGTCATTGTGTCCAGTGGGCATGTGCCTCAAGAGATCATGAAGTTAAATTTTCACTAGCCCAGAGGCCATTGTGTCCAGTGGGCATGCGCCTCAAGAGATCATGAAGTCAAATTTTCGCTAGCCCAGAGATCATTGTGTCCAGTGGGCATGTGCCTCAAGAGATCATGAAGCTAAATTTTCACTAGCCCAAAGATCATTGTGTCCAGTGGGCATGTGCCTCAAGAGATCATGAAGCTAACTTTTGACTAGCCCAGGGATCATTGTGTCCAGTGGGCATGTGCCTAAAGAGATTATGAATTTAAATTTTCACTAGCCCAGGGATCATTGTCCAGTGGGCATGTACCTCAAAAGATCATGAAGTCACATTCTCACAAGCCCAAAGGTCATGGTGTCCAGTTGGCATGCACCTTGAGAGATCATGAAGCCAAGAGTAGAGAAGAGCAAGGTATATGTTCTTCAGTATTGTCCTGCGATTCTGATTGTGTTTTGCAAGGCATTGTTGGCAGATCGCATTGGAACTGCTTTTGTGTTTTGCAAGTCGTTGTTGGCAGATCGCATTGGAACTGCTACATCATGGATGCGATTTGAATGCAAGAACATAGTGTTTTTTCGGGTAAACGGAGGTTCCATTGCGGAGAAAAGTTGGCTCATGTGCGTGACGGTTGCGGGCGGCCGCTTTAGCGTGGAATCAGTCCCGACCTGCGCGCGCAATGTAACTGAGGGGTCCAGGTGACTTTTCTCTTCTTTGTTGATGCTGTGCTTTTGTGTTTTGCATGTGTTGAGACACTTTGTGCATTGGAACTGGTGCACCGAAGCGATGTGTTCTACAGTAGTGTGTTGCAATTCAGATAATTCAGCCTGTGCAGATCGCAATGGAATGGCTGCGCCACGGCTGCTCGAATGGTATTCAGTAGAGTCTTGCGATTTTGATTGTGTTTTGCAAGTCCCTGTCGTAAATCATATTGTAGTGGCTGCATGGAAGTTGCAAATGGCGCCTTGGCAGCAGATTTTTTCAATTTGGTGTAGATGATTTTCCTTTTAAGATTCCTTTTAAAAAGTGTTTCGGAATCATCGTTTTTCCGCTTGGGCGTCGAGATCCGGTTTTGGAGCTGCAATTTGTGTAGCTGCTGTGCATAATTCCAGTGCGTTTTGCAACTTGGCCTCTGCAGATCGCAGTGGAATGGCTGTTCCTCGCTCATGTTGGCATGTTTAAGTGGCATTTTCGCTCAAAAACTGCAAAAGACAAGACTTGGCTGTCAGGTATTCAGTGGGGAGCGTGCAGTTGCTCTGCTCACGTTCATGTTGGCATGTTTAAGTGACATGTTCGCTCAAAAACTGCAAAAGACAAGACTTGGCTGTCAGGTATTCAGTGGGGAGCGTGCAGTTGCTCTGCTCACGTTCATGTTGTTCTGTTTAAGTGACATGTTTGCTCGCAAACTGCAAAGACGAGACTTGGCTGTCAGGTATTCAGCGGGGAGCGTGCAGTTGCTCTGCTCACGTTCATGTTGGCATGTTCTGTTTAAGTGACGTGTTTGCCCGAAAACTGCAAAGACGAGACTTGGCTGTCAGGTATTTAGCGGGGAGCGTGCAGCTGTTTTGCTCACGCTCATGCTGGCATCATGTTGAAGTGTCATGTTTGTTCCAAACGTGGACGTGATCTGGCTGTCAGGTATTTCAGCGGGGAGCGTGCAGCTGTTCTGCTCACGCTCACGTTGGCATGTTGAAGTGACATGTTTGATCATGTTTGCTCGAAAACTGCAAAAGACGCGACTTGGCTGTCAGGTATTCAGTGGGGAGCATGCAGCTGTTCTGCTCACGCTCATGTTGGCATGTTCAAGTGACATGTTTGCTCGAAAACTGCAAAGACGAGACTTTATTCAGCGGGGAGCGTGCAGCTGTTCTGCTCACGCTCATGTTGGAATGTTGAAGTGGCATGTTTGTTCCAAACCTGCATGGACGTGACTTGGCTGTCAGGTATTTCAGCGGGGAGCGTGCAGCTGTTCTGCTCACGCTACAACTGTTGGCATGTTTAAGTTGCGACATTTTGGAAGCGTAGCAGAAAGAAGCAGGGAAGAAGAGCGCACGGCTGTGCTGCCTGCGTTTGCCACGCCTCGCTGCATTCCGGTGGCGCGCACAGCTGTGCTGCTTGCGTGTCCTTGTTCGTTTTGCCTTTCAGGCAGCAGGACTCAAAGACGCGTGGGGCTGTGCTGCTCACGCGCGCTCTTGACACATGGCTGCTCGTGATGTAACAGCTCGTCGCGCGTGGAAAAAATGCTGCGGCCCAAGCGTGCTTGAACGTTGGACCCACAGGTACCAGTGAACGATAGCACATGACACGAGAATGATAACACAATCGAATGTTGAAAACCATGATCGCATGGAAAGGCAAGTCCGCTGGCCTGAACAAGAAAGGTTGCAACTGTGCCACTTCGACTGTGCTGAGAAGAAAATTGACAGGTGGAACTGAGGTGAGATGAGCCAACACGTGTGCAAAGGCGTTGGGAGGAGAAGGGAGAGATGAAAAGAGAGTTGAGGAGAGTCAAGAAGATGTGCACAAGGTGAGAAGTCGTTGGAAGAGTTGACAAGTGGTTTCACAATTTGCGGCAAGAGGTCAGAAGCCCCGGAAAAGAGCATGGAAGTCTGCTGCAGCTCCTATAGGCAAACCTTGTTTTTAGATCCTATAGCGTTACATTTCTTAAACCTGGAAACTTCCACCACCCGCCTTGATATATATATATATAGGTACAGTCAAAACTCTGGCGTACTACTCTTGTAAAGGAGAGTTCTCTTGTGTCTGGAAAGTGCGCCAATCACTGTGTAGTGATAGGCACCCACAGCGCGATACCTAAAAGTGTGCGCATCTGAAGTCGTTTTGCACCAAAGTTGCGCACGCGCAAGAGGTGAAATTAGAGATAGTCCTAGCCCCTAGCGATACCTTAGCGATACCCATTTGTTCAGCAAGTAGCCCCAGACCACAAATAGACCCTTTCCTTTCCTTTTCCTTTCCTTTTCGTTTCCTTTTCCTTTCCTGTTCCTTTTCCTTTTCCTTTTCCGTTAATTTTTGCTTTCCTTTTCCGTTAATTTTTGCTTTCCTTTCCTTTTCCTTACCTTTTCCTTTCCTGTTCTATTTCCTTTTCCTGTTCCTTTCTTTTTTCCTTTCCTTTGTCCTTTCCCTTTTCTTTTCCTTTTCCGTTCCTTTTCCCTTCCAATTTTTTCACAAGGAAAGCGATAGGCCCCCCCCAAAAGCAATACCATTTTTTTGGAACTTGGCGAAGACAATGACTTTTGACAACGGCCCATACATACACACATATATATATATAGATATATAGATATAGATATATAGATATATAATATGTATATCTATATATATATATATTTATTTATTTATTATCTATATATATATATATGCATATATATATACACATTCCAAAATATGTGATTTCTGGTTCCAAGGGATTAGCCATAATGTCAGGAATTGCAATGATCATTCCAAGAGAGAAAGGCCAAGAAGATGAGCTAATTAGATCTAATTTGCTCAATTGATGGATGTCAAGTGGATATGCTCATTGAGTTTCTGTTCAACTGGGACCTCATTCTCACGTATGAACCTGCAGGCATCATAATGAGCATTTACAGTTGGGATTCCTCATGAATGAATACATTATGATACGTTCAATGTTGCCAACCCTGACAGAGGAACAGGCCTACCGCCTACAAATTCCACAGTTCTCACGAGGCATTCCTTCCCGGACGGTATGATGCTTGCTCAGTATACTAAGGATATATATATATATAATTTATGGAAGAATTGCGTACCAAAAGCACACAAACCATTGACAAACTTAAACCAATTTCCCCAACAAGCTGGTAGGCCTTTCGAAATTCACACTTTCCCAGCCGAAACTAATTTTGTAAAGTTGTCAACCTCTTCAAGATTCGACAGCGCTGCGGTAAATCTGTCGCCCAGGCGCGTTGTTGCTCCTAGTTGGTTTGGTGCCAGGTGTTGCCGATGTGGTGTCTTGCCAGATTCCCATTTGTGGTGATTCCCATTTGAGGTGACCAAAAGCAGCTGGCTACAGGCATTTTTGAACCTGTCAATCGCCTTAAATGTTGTGGGAGAAAACACCCAAACAAAAACCATTGTGTAGTTTGGGTTCCCAGATACTATGGTTTTGTTGCGGCTTTGGAAATGTACCCGGGCCCGCATTTTCAGTTGCTAGTTGACACCCGACATCACCAAACAACAACCTTCACTGTTCATTGTTTGTGGGTGGCGGCCGCCCAAGATCGCCCAACATGTATTTAATACATTTTTTGGATACTTTTGGTTGGTTCGATTTATTCATGTCTCTTGGCTAAGAACTAATGGTTGCTTGGTTCAAGTCTCATGTGTTTCTTCACCGCACATGTATATACAGCAATGCCCAAGTCCTAGGTGGAGTCATTTGATCATTTTGGGAATGGCAAATCTCAAAAGCAAATCTGCGTTTGTACAGTGAGCACTTAACATGTGGATACATTTGGTAATTTCATATGTGAATATATATATAGATATCATTTATGAATGGGCCATCGTCCAGTTTGCAAATTGTGAGTTTACAGATCCTCATTGGTTCTATACCGAGTATCTTCCCATTATCCCCATTTTAGATGATCAAATCCTCATGAAGATCCTATAAAATCATCATTAGCAGCCTTTTCAGGTGCGCGTCATGTGCACCCGTAGCGCCAATACCTTCGTGAGGATCGTCAGTGGCGGAGGCCAGTCTTGGAACGCCGCCTGGAGCAGGGATTCAATACCAATAGGATTTAATAACCAAATTGCACATTTCATATACTTTTCTTAGGATGTGACAATTGGACAATTAGGAAATTCGGATGTAACCCAGGGAAATTTATAAATTATTAAATAATATAAAAAAATAATTGCATAAAATTGTATATTACGTATACGCATGCACATACACACACATATATATTTATATACCTGCATCTTCCAAAAGACCTTAATTTCAGCCGCCTTTTCTCAAATATCAGCCTGCGGACTTTCAGGGCAGAAAATGAAACCTCAGGCGGAAAGTGATTTTATCCATATTTTGAAGTATTCTGATAAGATCCTGGTGGACGATCCAGGTGAAAAGAAATGCTCTGTGGGTGATGTTCGCTGTTTTTTATTCAAATTTTAAATTTCTATGTTTTTTTCGGGCGGAAACACCCACGAAACGGGCGAAAACACCCACGAAACAGGCGAAACCACCCGACATGAGATTTTCATGTAAAACAGTAAACTTCTTTAACACTGTTATCAACAATATATAGTGTGAGCGGGCATCTTAACCAAACATCATCAACATCACTAAAAACACAATCGGGCAGAAAAAACCACCCCAGGCGAAAAAAATCTATTCGGGCTAAAATTTCAGCCTGAACAGCTTCGGGCTGAAAAAACGGCCTGCGGAAGGATATATACAATTATATATATATATATATACATACGATAAAACATATCCCTAGCGCTCCAAATATCATCTGAATTGCGTTGTTTGGACCCTAAAACTCAGCCCCAGCCTTGGCGTCAAAGGTGTTTGAGGCTGTTGGGATCTCACAGTATTCTTTTCGGGGGTCGCTATATGTTGCCGATGGTGATGTAACATGGGGATATAGTCAGCATCATCATTATAACATGTTTACATGTCCCATATATGCTCCACCTTTATAATGGGGGATTTGGTCATGGGGATGTGAAGGTGGTACATGGTGGACTCAGCAACACATGGATACAAGGGGGGTTCCATGGGAAAAGGTTGATCAACGGATGGGATTGATCACCAAGGGTTGTAGGGAACAAAAACGGCTGAGGGGCAGCTAGTCCAGGTGGCCTAGCGGAACCCTTTGTGGATTTTAGCTATAGATTGGCTATCAATACACCAATTTCGTCAAATGTCTAAAGCTATAATTGTTTATGGTTTTTCCTCAATCCCATGAAATCCCACCAACAAATCTATAAAATCTCAGCAGCCAGATGGCACTTCTTGGTTGTCCCAATAGTTTGAGATTCGGCACAGCCTTGATTCGAGGCAGTGAGGAGGAGCGTCTCCGCAGCCGGAATTGGTGTGAGGGAGACTCAGCGAAGCCGTCGGCAAAGCCGGGGAGTTGAGAAGGGTGGCTTTGAGTAGGGAAACCCATAGCAAATAGGTGAATACAGGTGATGTTACCAACAAAAACTGGGGAAATACTGTTAATAATATGGAATTACAACCAACAAACATATATGGGAATATCGTGGGAATTTCGCTGATTTCAGGACTGTCAATTCCCCTCTGAAGTCCTAGGCATTTCGTCCATGAGCTTTGCTTGGTGCATCCACTTTGCGGTGGCCTCGTGGACTGCACTGGGGAATTTTGCTCCTGTGCCTGCAACACCCCCCTATGAAAGCATGGGTAAGTCGGGGAATTTTACATATTTCGGACCATACAATGATTACAATGGGGCTAGGAGGATGGGATAAGTAATGTCGGATCCTGATTAGTGTAGGGCCCCTCCATTAATCAATTTGAGGAGTCTCTTTAGTGTCAATTTTTTAAAGGACTGGGTCTGACTAAAATTTTATCAATTGATTTTGGTTGGTGTCAATTTCCTCGCAATTGATTTTCAAATCAGTTTCAATTGATTTCAACTGATTTTCAGATTGATTTTCAGATTGATTTTTACTTGGTTTCAACTTACTTTCAATTGATTTCGATTGATTTCAACTGATTTTGTTTTATTTTCAATAGATTTCAATTGATTTCAACTAATTTTGTTTTATTTTCACTTGATTTCAATTAGATTTAAATTGATTTCAATTTATTTTCAATTGATTTTCAATTGATTTCAATTGATTTTCAATTTACTTTCCATTGATTTCAATTGATTTTCAATTGATTTCGATTTATTTTTCAAGTGAAATCCAATAGTGATCCCGTAGAAAAATCGTAGAAATATCATGAACATCCTACAGAAATAAATCCATAGAAAAATCATGGACACGAATGCAAATAGCATAGAGACCACAAAGAAATCCCATAGAAATCCAACAGAAAAAATAGAAATCCCACAGTAACCCCATGGAAATATCACAGAATTATCGTGGAAATCCCGCAGGAATCCCGTTGAAATCCCATAGCAATATTATAGAGGAATTCCATAGAATCACCGTGGACATATCATCGTAATCCCATAGAAATATCTTAGGAATATCACTGGGTTCCCATAGACAGGAACCCCATAGAAATTCATAGAACTCCATAGAACTATCATAGAAATCCCATAGGAATTGCATAGAAATCCTTTAGAAATACCATAGAAATACCATGGAAAGTAATCCCACAGAAATATCATAGAAACATCATGGAAATCCAATAGAAATCGTGTAGGAATCGCATAGTAACCCCATAGAAATCCCATAGAAATACCATCAACATCCCATAGGCCCATAGAATCCATAGACAGATCATGGAATAGAATGCAAATAGCATAGAACCCGCAAAGAAATCCCATAGAAATACCACAGAAATCCCATAGGAATATCATCGAAGGAAGTTTAGAAGTCAAACTTCCGACAATATGGAGAGATGAAAAAGCAGTCAGCAGGGAGAAGTGTCAGAAGAGAAAAGATCAGAAGAAAGAAGATGCAGGTGCGCGAAAAGGTAGGAAAGTCGCGAAACATTGTGTTTTTCGTGGTTTTGTGGCTCCGGAGGGTCGAAAAGTAGGCTGGCTAAAGCGGCGGGTGCGGAGACATCTGGGGAGATGAGAGATGAAAAGTTGCACGCCGTTGTGGTGCGAAGCCGATTTCGAAGTGAAAAGGTACAAAACACCTCAGCGCCGGACCACTTTTGGAAGTTGAGATGTTGAAAAAGTGCATGGCGTTGTGGCGCGAAGCACATTTGGAAGTAAAATGTGTTAAAAACTGATGGGTTCGGAGCAGTTTTAGAAGTTGAGATGACGAAAAAGTGCACGGCGTTGTGGCACGAAGCACATTTGGACGAAAAAAAGTGTTAAAAACTGTCGGTCTCGGAGCACTTTTGGACGTTGAGATGTCGAAAAAGTGTACGGCGTTGTGGCGCGAAGCACCTTTGGAAGTAAAAAGTGTTAAAAACTGGCGGTCTCGGAGCACTTTTGGAAGTTGAGATGTCGAAAAAGTGCACGGCGTTGTGGCGCAAAGCACATTTCGAAGTCAAACGTGTTAAAAACTGAGGGTCTCGTAGACATTTTGGACGTTCAGACGTCGTTTTGTGTGGCAGGTGGAGTGGATTGTGCATCCACTGAAAAGTGACTAAAACGTGAGGGTTTTGTAGCATTTTCAAAAACGATGGCAGGCGTGGGAGATTTGAAGAGGATCTGCACAGATGCATTTTTCGTGGCAGGCGCAGTACAAGATAGCTGTGGACATGGATCGATGAAGAGATGGACGGAAAAAAAAAACTAACAGAGAGAAGTAAGTGGATGGATGAATGGCTGGGTAGACAGAAAGATAGACAGTCTAATAGATAGGTGAATAAACAAATCGATCGATAGATACATGAATAGACAGGTAGATAGGTAGATGGCTAGAAAGGTAGCTCTGTAGATAGATGGCGAAAGAGAGACACAGAGAGAAAGAGAGAAAGAGAGACAGAAAGGGAGAAACACTCAACCACCTTTCAATCCATCAGTGGGTTCGCTCTGCCATTTTTGCGTCACACCAACTCACCTCTCCTATCGGTTTTCCATTTTTGAAACTTCCGCCACCGCCTTGTGCGGTACTACTGGTAGAATTATCATGGAAATCCCAAAGGAACCCTGTAGAAATCCCATAGACATATCATAGTAATCCCATAGGAACCCCACAGGGGATCCCATAGGAATTTTATAGAAATCTCAAAGAAATACCATAGAAATATCATAGAATTATCATGGAAATCACATAGGAACCCCATAGAAATTGCAAAAAAATCGCATAGAAATCCCTGAGAAGTCACTTCCGCATACCATAGGAATCCCATAGATTTTGTTTTTAGAAATCATGCAGAATTCCCATAGAAATATCATGGAAATCCCACAGGAATCCCATAGAAATTCCATAGACAGATGATGGAAATAGAATGGAAATAGCATAGAACCCACAAAGAAATTCCATAGAAATACCACAGAATTCCTATTAGTAACCCCATAGAAATATCACAGACATCTCCTTGAAGTCTGGTAGAAATATCATAGAAACACCATAAATTCCATAGAAAACTCCTAGAAACTCTGTAGAAATCTCTGAAAAACCATAGAATTGAACTAAATAAGAGACACAATCTATAGCAAAGGAGAATGATAAAAGGATTTTTGGAAAAAACACTTCAAGACTTCAGGAAAAAAGCTGGACACAATAGAGGACCACCACAACAAAACATACTGTTGAAGATCAATGTTGCTCATGGGCTATCCCCTTGAAAAATTGTTGGGGTGCTGCGTTTTAACTTGGTTTTAACAAGGCATCGTATATTTTGGGAAATTAGACATTTTAGAATTCCAAAAGAATCGGACTAAGAAAGTAAAACAAAACAGCTTTAGCAAAGGAAAGGATGAAAGGAATGTTTGAAAAATGACGCCGAAAGAAAGCTGGACACAATAGAAATCAATAGAGAACCACCACAACAAACATACTATTGAGGATCAATGTTGTTCATGTGCTACCCCCTTGAAAATTTGTTTGGGTGCTGTTTTTTGTTTTTATAAGGCATGGTATATTTTGTGAAATTAGACATTTTGAGAATTCCACAAAAATGGAACTAAGAAACTAAAACAGAAAAGATCTAGCAAAGGAAAGGATAAACGTAATGTTGGGAAAACATATCCCAGGAAAAAAACAAAAAACTGTACACAATACAGGGCCACCACAACAAACATAGTATTGAAGATCGATGTTGCTCATGGGCTACCCCCTTCAAGAAATGTTGGGGCGCTGTGTTTTATAACTTTGCTTTAATAAGGCATCGTATATTTTGGGAAATTAGTCATTTTGAGAATTCCACAGGAATGGAAGTAAGAAAATTTTAAAAAAATAGCAAAGGAAAGGATAAAAATGAATGTTAAAAAAAACACACACAAGAAAAAAACTGGACACAATAGCGGACCCCACCACAACAAACATACTATGGAGGATCAATGTTGGTCATGCGATACCCCCTTGGAAAATTGTTTGGACCTCAGACAAGAAATGGACACAATAGAGGACCACACAACACACACACATATTTTTTAATTGTGATTTAATTAAAACAAAAATGTTATGTTTTTTGTTTTTTCCAAATTAAACACAAAAAATGCTGGAAAAATGTTGAACAAATTGCCCTCACAAAAAACATACACAATAGCGACCCACACTAATCAGGATACGACATTATGGATAAGTAACGGTTCAACGGACCGTTGACTTTAATTACCTGATTTGTCTGTCAGGCTGGTGAATAAGTTGTTTGAATCCGGCCACGAGTCACTGAGTTGCAGACTCAGCGATGTTTCAAATCCCTTTTTGTCGTTGTCAATTGTTAATATTTAATAACATTTGCTGACAGAAACAAGGTTTATGTGATGGTTGTCAGTTAAGCTCATCACTCATCGAGCCCGCGGTTTATTCACAGGCTCTCTTCAGGTGCAAAAACCTCCTTTTTTTTCGTGCGTTCCAATAAATGTTCTACAGTTTTTGCCGTTTATATTCATATTTCATGGTCAAAACATCCGGTTGAACCCTTGGGTGTTTCCAAAACGATTTCCGGGTTGCAACTCCACAAGTTCCATCCGATCTCTCGGTAGCTTGAGCGTCCTTCACCTGTGGATTTCACCAGGTCAAGCCTCTGGCTATTTAACATAGCCATGGGAAATAGCCCATTTATAGAGGTTTACGGTTTACCTATTCAACATGGTAATTTTCCATGGCGAACTGTTAAATATCCAGATGGTATATATTTAAAGTCCATCCGTGTTTTAAATTTAGTTCTTAAATTTTCTGTTTTGTGCTCCACTTTTCCCAAGTTTTTTTCGATGTCGTATGTCGAGGACTGGTGGATCGCTTCGAATTTTGAGCTCGAAGGCTCCATGAAAGCCGTGCTTTCGGCCTTGACGGTGACTGCTCTGGCCTTCGTGCTGATCTTTGGCTTGGATAAGGTGGCCGAAGCTTGGCCGTGAACATGGTCCAACTGGTCCAACACCCGCAAAAAATTGCGTTTTTCCTCGACGGTTCAATGATGTTCAATGGGATTGGTGACATTTGTCATGGTTTCATGGGATTTGGGTGATCGTAAAATCTGGGATTTTTCAGATGGGGAAACCAACAGTTCATGGAATTGTTCATGGGATATGATGGGATACAATGGGATGTATAAACATGGTATACTATACTGTATGTATATATATATATACTATCCATTTACTATATGTTGTATAATGGGATGATTTAACCTCCCCAGCTGTGGCCATTTTAGCAAAGAACAATTGCATCCATTCAAGAATTGGGGCAAGCTTCATGGCCATCAGCTATGCAAAGCCGGGGATGGGTCAAAATTTAAGGCCGCCAATACAGACTGTATATTGTTTAGGATTAACCATTCAAATTATTGGGGTACCCAATTTGGACCCTATACCGCCTATATCGGATTATCGCTGCATACAACTGTAAAAATTGCTGAGAATTTGTGAAGATCTTCAGGTGAAATCAAGTAATAGGGAGGTTCAATTCCAAGTTGCTTCGCTTGCTGCGTCACTGATCCATCAACTTACCCAATAGGTCAGGCAAGGCTATTTGGAGCAACATATTTAATTGTGATTTTTGGGGCAATTTTCTAACTAATAGTTAATTATTAAGGCACAATTTCAATGTATTTTTTTTACTTCATAGTTAATTTTTAAGGGTAAAATTCAAGATATTTTTTGGGGATTAAAAAAGCACCCTCAAAAATAACCTTGATTTTGTTTTAAATATATTTTCCAATATTTTTATTGCAAAAAGATACTGACTTTCTACATTTCTTAACATTGTACAATATTAAAGTGACTATTATCAAGTTTTTGAAAGGTCTTTTAACCATATGTTTGTTAGACAATTTTGTGTGCAGTTAGTTCTACATGATTACTGGAGGTGCAAAAACTATATTGTTCGAACTTTTTGTTGTTTGAACAAATCAAGATTTTTGAATTCAATATATGTAAAATCAAATCTGATTGAATGTTTTGAAGATATGTTATAACAACATCAAAACTTCAATGAAGTAACCGCAAGCATGCATTCTGTCTTTGAAAGCTCGGTGAGAACATCCATCAAAGTATAATTGTTTTTTTTGGTCTTTCTTGTCAAAGATTTTGACAGCCAGTCTTTGACAATCTCTGCCCAGTCGCTCCTGGGAGCACTTGCCCCGCTCAGTTTCACAGGAGCATCACAAATCGCTCTTGGCAATGCTGAGGATGAAGTAACCACAGCTGGTGTAGAGGAAGCACTGCTACCACTACCACAACCACCACTACCACTACCACTACCACCACAACTAGCTCCAGTGCCAAACTGACTCCAGGGCCTGCTCGACATGAATTGACTCATCTGCGAATACTCATCCTTGGTGAGGTTGGCTTGGCCACCATGCAAGACCATGGAACTGCCCTGCTTCTTCTCAATGGCTGTGGCTATTGTCCTGACATGATAGTAACCATCTTTCTGATAGACATCACCTCGTCTTTCTGCTCATTCAAAGCTTGCTGGTTTCCCAGGATTTTTTCCGCGACATGATGGAGTGAGGCAACCCAGTAACCTGAGATTTGTTGATGCGAATCTCAGAGTTCTTCTTGAAAACCTCGCACTGGGTATTTCCAGGAGCAAACACAGACTCGCCTCTGGTGTTCTGCTGAAAGACTTTGTTGATGAGTTGACTCTTGAATAACCTGGGGGGAGGAGAATTCTTGGAGCCCTCTTCATAGAGCTGCTGAAGATCTTCTGGCACCTGGCCACTTTTGATCATTCTGGCCCATTTCCTTACCTTGGGGTAGCTTCGATGCTCATCATCAGCAACTGTTGCATCCTCCTCTTTATAGGCTCCTCACCTTCTCCCTCTGCATGGTCATCAGGAACTGGCTCATCCCTGGTCTTCTTCCATCTTGCTGCCATCTCCTTGACACTCTTCGCTTTGGCCTTGGCTTTCGCCTTCAGCTGCATCAGGTCATATCAAGTCTTTTCAGGGTTTTCTTCTTTGTGCTCTTGGCTTTTGCCTTTTGAGCTTTCATTGGCGAAGAAGTAACCCCAGGAGCTTTGCTGGCAGCAGCCTTGGCTTTACCTGCTGCCTTTGCCTTGACTTTAGATTTTGCTTTCACCTTGGCTTTGGCCTTTGCTTTTGGTGCTGCAGTATACAAGCATCTAAGTCAGCTCATGGGGCAGCTTCTTCTGGAGAAGCCTGTTCTACAGATTCTGGTGCTGGTTCAGGTGGAAGCAAAATGCAAGCATAGCATCAGGTGGACAAGCAGGCCTCTTCATGAGGTTACCAACAGGGGCGACAAGTGACAAGTAACTTCAATCTTGAGCACCACTGTGCTAATATGGTGCATGCACTTGTACACTTGACATAAGTTCCAACCTTTCACCAAAAAGTAGCCCAACCACCAAAGACTTCGTGAATGTATCAACCAACCAGTGTGGCATTTTTCATTCACAAAAGGTGTTGCATGAGATTTTCATATTTTTGGATGGTAATAGTTTTTTTGAAATGAATATTTGTCCTATGCATGCAAAAGGTGAAAGCAAAATCTAAAGTCAAGGCAAAGGCAGCAGGTAAAGCCAAGGCTGCTGCCAGCAAAGCTCCTGGGGTTACTTCTTCGCCAATGAAACTCACAAGGCAAAAGCCAAGAGCACAAAGAAGAAAACCCTGAAAAGACTTGATATGACCTGATGCAGCTGAAGGCGAAAGCCAAGGCCAAAGCGAAGAGTGTCAAGGAGATGGCAGCAGGATGGAAGAAGACCAGGGATGAGCCAGTTCCTGATGACCATGCAGAAGGAGAAGATGAGGAGCCTAAAGAGGAGGATGCAACAGTTGCTGATGATGAGCATCGAAGCTACCCCAAGGTAAGGAAATGGGCCAGAATGATCAAACGTGGCCAGGTGCCAGAAGATCTTCAGCAGCTCTATGAAGAGGGCTCCAAGAATTCTCCTCCCCCAAGGTTATTCAAGAGTCAACTCATCAACAAAGTCTTTCAGCAGAACACCAGAGGCGAGTCTGTGTTTGCTCCTGGAAATACCCAGTGCGAGGTTTTCAAGAAGAACTCTGAGATTTGCACCAACAAATCTCAGATTACTGGGTTGCCTTAGGTTGTGGACAAAATCCAGGGAAACCAGCAAGCTTTGAATGATGCAGAAAGACGAGGTGATGTCTATCAGAAAGATGGTTACTATCATGTCAAGACAATAGCCACAGCCATTGTGCCCTGCCATGGTCTTGCATGGTGGCCAAGCCAACCTCACCAAGGATGAGAGTTCGCAGATGAGTCAATTCATGTCGAGCAGGCCCTGGAGTCAGTTTGGCACTGGAGCTAGTTGTGGTGGTAGTGGTAGTGGTAGTGGTGGTTGTGGTAGTGGTAGCAGTGCTTCCTCTACACCAGCTGTGGTTACTTCATCCTCAGCATTGCCAAGAGCGATTTGTGATGCGCTTGTGAAAGTGAGCTGGGCAAGTGTGCAGCATGACATCAAAGAAACCAAAATGGTTCAGGAGCGACTGGGCAGAGACAAGAAAGACCAAAAATCAATGATACTTTGAAGGATGCCCTCACTGAGCTTTCAAAGACAGAAAGCATGCTTGGACAATGTTTCATTGCCAAGTATGAATGGTTCATTATTGCCATAATCTTGTTTCATGCCTTTTCTGACTTTTCCTCATTGTTGCCATGCTCTTGTTTCATATTTTTCAGTGACACAAACACTACCCGTGATCAAATCATTTGATCCAATCCAAGTGCCAAGGAAAAACATGAGACCTTGTCAAAATACATGAAGTAACCCTATGCACATAAGTCAGCAGCACATATACAGTAACCCCAAGAGAACATCAGACACATTCCAGATAACAAAAGAAAACAAACATAAATATATGTATAAATGAAGTGAAAAAACAATAGCATTTAAAATTACCTTGAAAAACCCTCAAAAATTAACTTCAAAGGTATTTTTCTAACCTAATAGTTAACTTAAAGATACGCAAATTATTTTCTTCAAGGTAAAAAAAATAGAATTACCTATTTTGCTCCACATAGCCTTGCCCGACCTATTGGGTACATTGGTGACGTGTTCTGATCGCGTTTCTAACACCAAAATAAATGTGCAACAAATTGCGTAGAATAGCTAGATGCACAATCGTTCAGGATATAGGGACGTGGTTGCCAAGCATAAAAACAAAGTGCATAAAAACAAAGTGCACTAGAATTGTGGAACACGGTGGTGTTTGGGTTCCTTTCTGCGGATATCCATTCTCAACCCCGCAAGGCTGTTTTTATTTTGTGGGGTATGAGTGGGCATGACATATTGCAATATTGGAATTTTTCAAAAGCAACCTATTGCCCGTGGCCCCGGATTGCAATGCAAACAAATTGTTTTGGGGAACGTGATTTGTCCAATTTCCCTCCGCCGTGATTCTCATGTTCCCCAGAAGATACAAGGTTCACTTGGAATTGCCAGCTTGTTGCACGACAATGTTGATGACAAATTACTAGATGCAGTACAGTCAAAACCATTTACCACTGATGAATGGTTTGACATGGCATCATTCCATACATCCACCCGACCTTCGTCCCAACTTGAGAAACGTATCAGGACAGCAACTTTGATGACGTAGAGGTGCATCATGCGCTGAGGGGCATGATTGGCGGACTTGGTCTTCTAGCATCTCGCATTATATGTTATTTTTCAAAGTGCAATGTTTTTATCATCATAAAACCTCGGCAAATGAACTTGTTAGGCCAACTTTTCCGAAAGGGACCTACATTTTGAGGTCCCAAGACTAGGGTGTTGCGAATGTTCCAGCCATGTTCCCGTACCACATTCATGGGCCTCATGAATCCCCATCTCTTAGGTGGGTTTCTCGTGGGAGCGTTGCTTCGACGCCTCCTTCGACGGTTTAGCCAAGCACCGCCACTTTGGGCCCGTGCCGCCAGAAATCTCTCGCGTAGCAACCGGGCCTGAAAATCATACGAATCATACGACCCTGCAATTCAGCTGGGTTATGTGGGACCGGTCCGGAATTGTCCAGGTCTTTGTTGAAACATGTTTTTCAGCGGAGGAAGGACTTTCGTTGAAAATTGATGAACATCCTGGATCTTCCCCTTTTTGTTTCACATTGGCAACTTGATTGCAGTTGTAGGCTCAAGTTGATGTCAGCAAAAACGGTGGATTCTGCAGGTTTTGCCAGCAAATAGTGGGATTCAAGCAACGGAAATGAGTATTTTGTAAAACAATAGGTCCGCACGGTGTTGGCGGATGTGATTAACAACTTTTGGGATCCATCTTGAATGGAAACCACTGGAAACCTCTCTCTCCAAATATATCCAAATGTGGGTTTGGGATTCCTTTTTGGGTTGATGCTTTACGTTAGGTTCCAGTGGCCAAAAATGATCAAACATGTGTCAAATGCCACTTGGAACATGGGGCTTTCGCAGCCTGTCACGGCTAACAGGTGATACTTCTGGGACATGGTTAGCAGGGTCTAGGACTTGCTGGGAGAGGGATGTCGATGATGAAACCGTGGTTGACACACTCACAAGGACTCACGGCTGCGCAACTAATCAATTGAATCTGCCTTTGGAAGTTTATATAGGGCCTTCACAAACTGAATGCTGACCCTTTATCAAGGTAGGACCAGTTTTTCCGAATAGGTGGGGTCTCTTGTGGCTACATAGATGGCAAAAAACTAGGACTTTCATTGGTCTGGACAATTCAAAACGACTTCACCGACGTCACCCCGAAATAACGACCTAGCCTCAGAAATAAGCTCATCACCATACAAGATCCTAGTTTTTCAAAACGGATAAAGTAGGAAACTGAGGTTTTCAGCGTGTTCAGAAGCAAGTTCCCTTACTTTCTAGCTCTTCTTCTATAGGCAGCTATGGCTGGAAAAATCCTCTTCAGCTACCGGTCCAAAGCGGCAAAGCTTAAACAGCTGAACAAATCCTACTTTGTCGTATTAGGCCGACCTAAAATAGTTTATTAATTTTGACGACGTCATTTCAGCATATTTCAGCTTTAAAATTATTCGAAACAAGCGACAACCTGCGAAAGATAATAAATTGTACAGATTGGTGACACCTGGAGTGGGGCCAAAAAACAAACTATCCCAAATTGTTTGCAAGGTTCTAGAGCCAAGCGATTACGGGGCCACACGGTGCCCGTTCGTTTGGAGTCACTTTTTCCATCTTTTTCCCGAGGTATTGGCGATCGCTTTGGCTCTGCTGGTTCTTCCTGCTTGGAAATGGTTCATCTTGCCCATGCCCCATGGGCCCCATGGGCCCCATGGGGTCGATGATCATACCCCAAAGATCCCCAGGGACGAAGTGAAAGATGAAGCACAGACTTCTTCCAAACATCGTTTTTTCGGCCGCATCGGGTCCAGCATGAGTTCGCTGGGCGAAACCGAAATGCGACGCAAATTCACTCAGGGATTTTCCACCTTGAGCAGAGAAGATTCAGTCAATCTGCTCACAGCCTAGGACAAGCCCGACCCTTGAGCCAGCCGGATCGATTTTCTCTACGACCAATTGGGTCGTTTTTTTCCTCTTTAGGTATCTTCCCAGAGTTGCATGCCACCAAAATGTTGCCTTTTTCGCCGTCTCCAAGAAGTGGCGTCTTTTCTCTGCACCGTCAGCAGAAGTTGCCGATATGGGTGGATTCCTTGGGATCTTGGGTTGCCCGGCCAATCGCAACTTCCATGTGAAGCCCTAAAAGAATTTATCCCATATGTGCCAAGCACTGGTGGCAACGATTGAAAAAGTTGCCCGTGAAACACGGGCAAGAGACTAGAGACATAGACTATAGAAATGACTATAGGATGGTATTTATGTGACATTTCCACACGGGCCGTGACACGGGACATTTGCACATAGCATTTGCACATAGGCAAATATCCCGTCAACGGATGTCAATGGGCCATTTGCGATGTTTCATGATGTTTCAAAACACAAAAATGGCATACGCTGTGTAAGTATCTCCCTATGCCCTATGCAGGTTGGTGTTGAACTGGGACATCTCACAACCCGTGTGCTTGTTGCTGCCCTTTGTTGTAGAGGGGTGGATTGCAGGATCGCGTCGCAATGTTCAAGACTTTTTGGCTATAATTTGCTTTGGCCGGCGGGCCATATAGCAGCCATGAAACTGAAATTTGATATGCTGGGACGTTGATACTTTTTGATGGAGAAATTTGGCAAACTCAGGCAACAGCAATTCTCTACCTGCCTGTTCGAGCAATATTTTCCATGGGCTTTTTCGGAGGGTCATTTCGGCCAACAAGATTTTGAAAAGCACGTCCTATCCCTATAATAGGAAGCAAAGTCGATGTCAATATCTTTTGCTGGTGCAGAGGTCTTTGTTTTGCTGATGGGCTGTTTTTTTTTTTCTGTCCAAGATGTTGCAATATTGAACATATTCTAAAATTGGATAGTCACAACCTCAGAAGCAACCTCACCATGAAAAATATGATAACTGTGGAATCATTTAACAAGGGAACATTTGACAGGAACGATGACTGAAACGATGACTGAAACATAGCCCAAAAAGCTGTGCGACATTTTGCGACACTGATTTTGCCCATCCAACTTATCAATTTTTGGACAGCTCACTGATTTCGCTGTCCAACGTTGACCAGATGTTTGAAGACGTTGCCCTAAAAGGACCGACATTTTTTTTGCCTTGCTGGATTTTTTTCCAATGAGATCCCGTGAGCGAGGATTGCAATTTGAAACCATGCAGTTTCATGAAACCCACAGGTTGCCTGTTTTCAACATGGTCTAGAACCTTCTAGAATCTAGATACGTTTTGTTGTTGTTCACATGTACTTTTTTCACATTGGTGGGACGATCAGCCAATCCATTATAGGCGACGCTTCGCTCACACACATACGCATTTAAATTAGTAAGTCATGTCCCTGGGTCTACATTCATGATACATGCACGCACACATACTGTAATACAAGCAAGCGGAACCATTGTTATTCATGACAGTTGAACTTGATGGCCATCCTGCACTGGCTCCATCATCGGCCATCTGTGGCTGGTGCCGGAGACGACCTCCGGTCCCCCGTAAACAGAACACCGGCGCTCGCCCATCGCCGCGGCAACGATGACGGCCCTTCCCGTGCAGCGGCGCCGTCGTTCCGTACTGATGGTGCTGGCGGTGGCCCTAACCCTGGCACTATTACCACATCCTAAGAGCCCGAAAGGTGCCATCTGGGGCCTGCTGGGTCAATATAGGGCCATGATTCAGCTATGACCAAGCTCCAACTTAGATCATGTTGCGAGACCTTGAATTTAGATCAGGTTGAAGGGTCATCTGAGTCATCTGCCATTTTAAATGGAAGGGATTCAAGCAAGATAAGCAAGTATCGCTTGGCAATAACTTCACAACTTGCTACAAGGACAGATAATTAAGAAGATGGTGGCGCTTTCGCAGACACAAGGGGGGCATTCTTGCACTAAATGAATACATGCATGCAATTTTGACTGATTCGCCAGCAGATTCGTTCAGAATCCATGTCGATGCCAATCAATGTTATGCCTCCTTGATATGCTGAATGTCAAGCGCATCAAGCACCAACATGACATGTGGAACACATGTTCCATCTGGAAAACTATCATGTATAGATTCTTGTGTGGGGCCATCATCCGCGCTGTTCAGAACAGGCCCGGCATGTGGGCATTTGATGGCATTTGGATAAACTCGGGTTTTCAGGGTATGTGAATTGGTTACTTCGCCCATGGGAATGCCCGGAATGCCCTACACCAGATGGGCACTGGGACTTTCGAAGGGATGGACTGGACAGATCGATGATACCATCTGGTTATTGAACAGTTCGCCATGGAAAATCACCATTTTATAGCTAGGTAAACCACTTATTCTATGGGCCGTTTGACATGGCTATGTAACAAATAACCAGAGGGCAAATGAATTTTAGATGAATGGATAGATGATGGATGGGTAAATGGATGGGTTGCTTAAATGGACTGAAAGATGGATAGAGGTAGAGAAGTATACATAGATTAATGGATGCGGTATATATATATATATGTATATATATATATTTATAATCAATGGCTGCAAAAGAGCAGATGAATGGATAGATAGATCAATGGCCGCAAAGATATAGAGGATAGAACGATTGGTTTTTCCAGATCCCTAGATGGACAGCTGGAACTTTGGATAGATGGACAGATGGGTCATGATTCGTGGCATTTCGTGGCTATGGATCGGTCGATGGCCAAATTGCCATGGCTTCACCAGGCCCCGAGCAAGCCGAGCAAGCCGAGCAATCCGAAGATTTGCCGCAACATCTTGGCGCGTTCAGGTCACGGCTGATGCGTTTGTGAGATAACACGGAGATCAAGTGGAGATAACAAGTGGACATGATTGGATGATATTGGATGTGTGTATGATATGGTGACCAGTTAGTAACTATACTTTAAACTATGGTGATTCAAACTTCAGCAGCACATCCGGCGATATCAAACCTCTTGATCGGTGGGATCCAGGCAGACACTTGGATCAGGTTCTTTCAAAGAATCATTTGCTTGTAGCATTTTGTAGCATAGCAATCAGAATCATCTAAGATGATAATGAAAAAAGATAATGAACAAAAACAAAGATAATGAATGAAAAAATAAAATAAACAACAAATAAGATAATGATGAAAAACAATATAATGAAAAAAATAAAGATGATGAAAACAATAAATATAATGAACAAATATAATGAAAACAATAAAGATAATGAAAAAAATAATGAAAAAGATAACGATAATGAAAATGATAAAGATAATGAAAAAACAATAATGCAAACGATGGAACAGTTGGAGACATGGAAATATGAGGTAAATACACTGTAAATACCATCTATATCATCCTGGTGGCACACTTTTCGGCATCTTTTTGGATCGTTTTCTGGGCGGAATTCGAAGCAAGAATCAACTATAGAGACATACAAGAGCGCTGCTGAGAAGCTGCACCGATAGCAGGAAGGGCACGAACTGATGATTGTTGTATATTGTTGTATCGAATAGGGGAGGCAAAAAGATGCCAACATATGCCATGGATCCTGGTTTTCCTCTACGGCCCAGGCGCTTTCTGGCAATGGCACAGGAACCCCACGGCCAGTTCCACTTCGGGGCCGAGGGCACGCCGGGCGCAGTGGAACCGCCACTTCCGGAGGACTTGGAAGAGAGGTTGGCAGAGGCGGAGAATGCCTCGGTGTCTCTGACCTTGCTGGGTGCCGAGGCCGAAGGACATGAGAAGAATTTGAATTGAGGTCATGAAGTTTCACATGGTGTCATTAATCTAAGTATCTTTGATTTCACCACTTAATATCCAGCTTCAATAAATCGGTATATACAGCCTCAATAAGTCAGTATATAATATTATTTAATAATAGTATATATATATATATACATATAATGTATATTTCATAAATGGAATATAATGATATTCATTTGCCGGTGAAATCCCGGTGGTCCTTGGTGAAAAACTCACTGAGGTCAGATCTTATTGGCCACATCAATTTCGCCCAGGTGCCCAGTATCCCTAGATATGGCATAGTTACCTCCACTTTACTCGAGTTTTTTTCCATGTTTTTCCTGAAGCCAACTTGGAACATGGTTGGTAACCATCATTACACATACATATACAGTATACATTATATATGTATATATATATGCCCCGCTTTCATCCCATTCATTTGGGATAACTCAGTTGCAATCTATGCTTTGATCTTCGAAGTGCCCAGGTTGCATCCCCCACCTTCCCCAGGTTGCATGGGCTTTGTGATGGCCACCTTCTATTTGGTGAATTGGCCGGATGACGACATTCGGCAGATCTCCCTGGAAGTGAAACTCAGCTGTCAGATGGGATGGGAAGAACTCGATTTTTTGGCCTTCGGCCGATTCTTCCGAGACCTGGAGAGTTCGAGAGATCACCTTAGATCTATAATGTGGTTAAGCTCAATGAACGTGATGAACCACAATCTGATCAATGAGATACATTAGATCCATTAGATCCAAGACCATTCTTGCAATGTGGTTAACCAAAATGATCCCATCCAGCAACTACGCCGTGACTGAGTTGCGGCTCCTGCAACCAACCCCAAAAAAGTAGTGGTAAAATTTGGGTGTGATCGATGATGTTTTGCCGGTATGGCTTAGGGTTTACCCCTCAGGTTACTTGGATGTGCATCCCTATTGCTAGTAGTAAATGGTGTGCAACCCATGGGCTAAACATCCCATAGCTGGCACTGAAGAATCCGCATTTCTGAGGCATTGCTTTATAGATAGGTTTTCCCAGGAAAAGATGAGGATGTTTCAACAAACCAGGTTTGGTTACAGACAAAAAACATGTAGAAATCACATGAATTCACCATTTGCCTCAAAATTGTCCCAGGTTACAATCCTATCAGATATTGTATAGTGGGTTGTCACGTGCTACCGTTCTCAACTGACGTACTGAATGTGAATTCCAAAGCACTTCAGATTTGCACTGCACCGAGGATCAACTCTACCATCAGCGTCTTCGGTTCCCTGTTGCTCTTCCACACCTTCGAAGAGTTGCTGGAGCACTACGTTTTGCCGGTTGCACGGCCGCATGCCGGGGTGGCAGCCGGTCCCGAAGTGCGGCCGGGTTTCGGAAGTTTTCTAGCTATGTTGGTTGGATTAAAACGTCTATGGCTGGAGTTTTGCCAAATAAGATGTGTTTGAATCATAATTATTCAGCGGGGGATTTGAGCCTATTTCACCACTCAATTTACATGGGACAGTGGAGAAATTTGCTAAATTCATCTACATTCCTGTATGTATAGAAACACGCATGGAAAAAATCAACAAAGTGCCATACTCAGAGGTGGTTCTTTGACCTTAGGGTGAGCTTCCCCAGCGAATAACAGGGGAATTGGGATAGTTATATTCACCACGAGGTGCTGCTCCATCTAAGTGGCTTTCCAGCGATTTTCTGATGGTCTATATATTATACCCTATATAGTTAGATTAGATGGGTTAACTGATGTTAACAAATAAACTTGTAACAACAGTGTAACTATAGGTTGCAGCACTTGGCAGGGTTACTAGCAACTTATGCTGATCCAGCCATGCGGAGCGGATATGAACTCCTGGTCACTTTTCAGTGTTAGACTAGGATGTTGTTTGGTGTAAAACTGTTTGAGTCCTAAAAATGAATGGGGACAATATATGATATATTATATATGATCCAACTGAACGACGTAGGATGGTATATGAAAACATTTGAAAACACATGGTATGATGCACGTACTGAAATCTAAAGACTTGTTCATTACTTGATTATTTTCACGTTGATACCAGTTTGCTAACCCACGTATCATCTACGGAGGGTATCTCATGGAAAACACATGCTTAAAGGCTTGGCAGGTCCAAACGCACAGCTAGAAGTTCCAGACACACCATTCCCCTGGGGCAGTTGAACTTGTTCTGAGTGGACTACCACCAGGGAACCTAACCTGTCAATGGAAAATCCTATGTTGATCCATATTGATAAATGATGTATGGCGTTTCAAGCATAGATAATTCAGGGTGTTTAGGGATTTGAACAGGACAAGCATCCTCAAAGATCTCTAAGTTGATTTATGAACTAATCATCAAAAAATCTCTCACGGATGATTTCCCCATCTTTATATACGTGGTCCATCCATAAATGGGTTATGTTCATCCATTTTCCACATCTAGATTAGTTTACCCTAGGGTAAAGTTCCCAGTGCTGTTTCAATGTTTTTTTAAAACCTTTCTGTTTCTATTTCAACTATCCAGTGGTGAACAGAGGGAATGGTGAGCTGAGCGGTTTTTTGTATATTCCCTATTTTCATGGGGGGGCCAGTTGGAGATACACATCGAGTTTCCCAACCACATGATAGCTTCTTTTTTTTATCCTCTGGTTATTTAACATTGCCATGGAAAATGGCCCATTTATAGATGGTTTACCTATTAAAAATGGTGATTTTCCATGGATATGTTAAATAATCAGATGGTATTTACATTTGAGAGGATTTCTGACCCCTTTGTAGCAAAACCGTCACCGATGATGGCATTCCCATGGATCCTGGACCAGGAAATGAACCAATGGCAGGAGGCCTCGCGTTTCAGGGCGAGTTTTGGAACGTGGCCATGAGAAAAGACGTGGCCTTGATGTTTTTGGTGAAGGAAAGGAATAACATGTGCAAGCCATGGAGTTTGAATTATCAGAAGCTTCGAGTCAATTATGATGAGTTTTTCTGCTTCAGCCTATCCCCAAAATGCGGCTGGACTCATGCAGTGCTGCTTTCGGATAGGTTGAAACCATCCCGTCCGCCGAGCTGTAACTGAGAATGAATATGGGATGCCTCACCACACGATATATTCCCTGCTAAATCTCAAGTTCTGTTCTTGAATTTGTGTTTTCTAGAATGCCCAATATTAACTACACACATGGAAAAACGCAAGAATCCCCTTCCCCGAAATGTCTTCTCCCAGGCCCACGGGAAAAAGCATGCTGCCAGTCTGACGCCAGGTGATGGTGTCCATGCTGCAGATGCTTCTGTGGTTCGCCCTGCTCCAGTTGGTTTTGTGTTACTATTCGGGCGCATTGGGCCAGAACCAAGTTTCATGGCAGAAGGATCATGGAAATCGAAGGGTTGCGAAGGGTACAAGGTGGTGCTCCATACTGAGCTAAGGTGGTTTTTCACTATATGTTAACAAGAAGTTATGCTGATTATAATTTAACTACAGCTGCAGTATCTGCAGTTCACGGGGTTTGCAAACCAACAAATATCACTGGGGAGCACCACCTTGCATACAAGGGATGAAGGGCAACTCCCTGTTGAATCGATGTCAAAATGCCATGGCCAAACGCATGTGATTTGCATTGGTCAAAATTACGGACTCCCAAACAGTGGTTTAATACGAGACATGAGACATGACTTCTCGTTTCACTATGTTTCACTGATAGCTTGAACTTGTTGATGCCCAAAAAAACGAGCAACATCCCTGATTTTCCCAAAAAGAAGCCCTACATCCCTAAAACATGTTCCCATGATATTCCCACATAGAAACGGTCATGTTCATGGATTTCCCAGCCAGGCCTCATCCTCCCCCAGGCAGTGAGGCTGCGCAGCGACAGTCTGGGTGTGGCGAAGGCCTGTGGATCTCCCAGAACCAAGGCGTGTCTCATGAAGTCTGCGGAGAGACACCTAGGAGTCGCTGGGTCGATGTTACGAACTGTGAGGCCTCAAAAAAAGGTAAATAATATATTATTTATATCTATATTTTCTATATATATTTAATTATATTTAATTATATTTATGTACATATACATATATAAAATGTACAAGTTGCAAAATCTAGGATGGATGTAACTGAAGTTTTTCTAAGTCAATCCACTTGGATGATCTTGGATGTGTGATTATATGCTAACTGAAGCAACTTGGGGGCACACTTTGTAATTAATTAGGGATATTTTATGCTTGGACCATTGGCTTTGCCAAGTAATCCCGCCCCCTTATCTTAAATCCCACCCCCTTATGGTCCCCCAAAAAATGAGCAGTTCCAATACCTCGCGGGTATCTAGTGTTGCCCTCTGGCAAACTAACATAGCTGCTATGGAAAATCACAGTTGTTAATGGGAAATCAACTATCAATGGTCATTTTCAATAGCTATGATAAATTACCAGAGGGTATGTTTGAGCACATTTGTTTGCACAGTAACCTTTTGAACGATTGTATTGCAAGCAAAGATCGGGGGGGTTACACAAGAAGGATCTTCTGCAAGAACAAAGATGTAATGCAACCATTGGAAGAATTGATACCCTTTCGGGATAGCAGCTGGGAGGGGGTTTATTCAACGACTATACACCAACTAATATATCTATCTATATATATGTGTATGTATACACCGTTGATATGGCTCATTCACCATGATTAACCAAGATGAAAAGCGATCAGTCAGTTCCAGACCTTTAGTTCCACGGATCCCGGTTTAACGGGACAATTTACAGGACATCATTTTTTCAATGGATGATGGGGGGTCCCCCTATTAATATGGAAACTTCCATATCAGGACCAGAATCAGCCATATATTAATCTAGATATAATTTCATGGTTCCCAAATATGGTTTCCAGTGGATTTGGAAAAACTGTTCCCTGAAACCAAGCCATGGAACAATCCCTTCTCACAAAATCGAGGTGATCCAATTCGATCTAATTCATCCCGCTGATTTTGCCAAAAAGAAGATCCTTCTCGAAACTTTTTCCCGGCCACTTTTTCGCCACCTTAAGGTGATCAAGATGAACACCGAAGCTTGGGGCATCTTGTTAGGCCACGCGACCGGCTTTGCCGCTACGAAGGCCTGTTCGCAGCTTCAACAGGCTGTGCCCAGGAACTTCTTTTGCGTTGCTCTGATGCCCTTGGTGTCCTTCGGGTGACTTGGCGCATGACGTGAGGAGAAACGGTGGATTTTATGGGTCTGAATTTATGGAGTTGCATCCCTGCTAACAGGATCGGATATAATATACATATATATATAATTTAAAACCAATACTAACGTCTACTAACAACATCTGGATACACAATAGAATTCATAAATTATTAATAATAAGTATATATATATATAGTAAACATGTTACGTGGTGTTACGTGGGATGGAAATGAGTTGTGATAGTTTCAAAAGGGACCACGATGATCAATCCGGAGATTTTATGGGATGCACGTGGATGCACTATGTCAGGCAAACCCATCCATGGTTCAATCCACCATTTGCATCTGTGAACGGGGAACCGCAGAGCTGGTTGGTATGATTACCAAAGAAATTATGTGCCATGATGATCTGCACCCGCAAATATATAATAGTCTGCAAATATTATCAAGCGGGGTCGAAACCACCAATTTGATTCAATCAGAAACAATCTTCGGAGTGACCAAGCTAGACACGCGACAATCCCAACGGTCGTCTCCTCTTTTGGAAGTCCGCTTTGGATACAACATCAAAGACTTCGAACTTGGTGAAAAGACATAGATAGCCTCTGGTAATGCAACATGGTGTGTTGTAACCCCCCATTTAGTTCATAATTTTCTATGATTTTCCCATTGAGACACCTTTCAGAGTGGATTTTTAAAGACTTTTAAAGCCATGTTTGCTTGCAGAGGCTCCTCTCAGTTCTCTGATTTGAATCAGGGCTATGCTATAAAGATATAAAGATCCCCCCACCTGGGCTGAGGATCATCATTCTGGTCTACCGTGCCACAGAGTTCTTGCGCTACAAGATCACGATGCGGGATGGCCAGGATTCGGAAGATGACCATTCATGGCGGAAAGGGGCCACGTTTCCAAGGTTTGTCTAGCAGTCTAGCCGATGTCTAGCCGCTAGTCCTAAAAATGATACGTTTTGGAATATTGACCTCTGGTAAACATACAACAAGCCTATGGAAAATCACCATTTTTAATGGGAAAACTCACTATAAATGGCCATGTTCAATAGCTATGTTGGTTTACCAGAGGGTACCTTTTTGATCTTTTTTGAGATGTCCTGGATGATTTTCATTGAGTTTCCAATTGTAACTACAATGGCATTTGCCATTGCCATGGTTGATTTCCAAGGGAACACCGGTTTTTGGGGCCGGTTGGCCATTCAGCCGGATGCCAGCGCAGTCAAGTCCAAGTGGGTCATCGTCATTGATCCATATGTTTTTCCATCATTTTTCCCATCATTTCCACATGTTTTCCATGATAAATGGCTGTTGATTGGGGGTAAATCTATGGTAAATCCCCCAATTTAACCGCAGGAGGACGAATTCGAAGAACTTTGGCGCGAGCGCACGGCGGAGACTGAAGATGAGGTGATTGCTCTGGCTGTGTCCTTCTCCATCGCACAGATGCTCCACGGGCAGAAAACCACCGGTACCCACCAGAAAAAAGTGATGCTGAAAACATCTACTACAGATGCACAGACACAGAATCTTTCATTATACGGTAATTAATTAAACCGTAGATATGATACATATTCATATTTTTACATGTATATATATATAGATAATAGATATGTATTTAAATATTGAGATGCCGGTATAGATATAGACATATAGATATATAGTTATATGTATATATATATGTGTGTGTGTATGCATGCATAGAATACTGCTACATAGTATACATTTAATTACGCATATTTACAAATACATGGGGGATCTTGGATCATCCTACGAAAAGCTGGTAGATGGCCGCCCTTGTTAAGAAGTCTGTCAAGTGAATGGATTGATTAAAGGTGGCATCAAAGGTTTTCGGTAGATATTCCTCGAACAAACAAGGCGATGTCTCATTCTTCCATGGGCTACAGTCAAACGTAGTTACCCTCTGGCAATCTAACCCATCTAACCTGGCCTCACGGAAAACTTCTACTTCCAGATGGCCTTTTTCAGCTGGTCACATGTGTTTCACCCGAGGACGTCAACTACTCGGGAAGTGGGAAAGTCCTTCAGTGGATGGTCAGCAAAAACACGCTGTCCTTCTCATATTCTCGTGCACCAAACCCCCGGTATCTCCCATTGTAATCCCCTTATATCCCCACAATACTCGCATATACTAGCATGTTAGTTGGTGAAATCACCCAAATAATCCCATTACACCCCCCCAAGCAACGCAATCCCATTATAATCCCATTACAGCCCCCAAAAAAATCCTTGCATCCCATGGGTTACTTGCTGCGAACCCGTTGAATCCATTTCAGGTTTCAAAGCAAAATAGATGGCCGTAAACATCATCCTTGACTACCCTTTAACTTTGGTGCTCCGTCATGGAACAGTTTGCGAACTGGACAGTCGCCATGTTAAACAGTTACTTCATCGAACTAAATGGGCTTTATACCAGTTTGCAAAGTGGTAGTCATTGCGAGGTAAATTCTATTCCTATTCCCCAAGGTTGTTAGTCGAATCCCCCTTAATCTAGCAGATGATTATGGTGTCATCCGCCCATGTTTGTTGGTTAAATTCTATTGGATCCAATTCAACCCTATGGATCCAAACACTGTCTAAGAAGGTACTTAGCCCCCCAAATCATACCCCAAACACTTCCTAAGAAAATACTTGGATCCATAGGGCAATGCCATTCCATCCAATTAGAGTTCATCAAATCCAATTCAACCCCTTTTTAATTCCCTTTAACTTTCTTGAAATCCCACTTATTTCGCCATCCCGTCCCCACAGCTACACAGCTCCGTTTCGTTGGTCGCAACCAACCAGGTTGCGCTTCGCCGTCTCTGGGCACCTGCCAGATGCGCTGGGAGAAGATCCGGAGGGCTTCAACTTGCACTCCAATTGGTCTTGCGCCTTGGAAGATCATGGGAAGACGATGGCTTGGGGCTTGGGACGACGGGGATGAGGCTGATATGATGGCTAGGTTGGGTTGGGACGGGTGATTTCACCAAGAATTATGCTGATATGATGGGATGAGAATTATGCTGATATGATGGGATGAGAATGGGAGAGGCTGGAGATGATGGGTGTCATGGCTCTTATCCAAGAAATACAGGTTCGGATTCGTGTTTCTGAGCATGTTTTTATCCAGCCAGTATGTTTTCATTGAAATAGCCGTCAAAAGAAATAACGGATTTCATTGAACCATATTTCACCGATGAATGCGACCCGCACGAATTAAAAGACGACTTAGTGCATTGTTTAACTAGCATAATATAGCACGTTTCAAACAACAGTCCTGGAAAATTGATATGTTTTTTTGGTATAGCTCAATGTAGTTTATTTATCATTGGGGTGGTGTAACATATGCAGACAACACAACAGGCATCACATTTATCAAATGATATTTGTTTAAGCAAAGTGCCATGATAAAGCCATGGCTTGAGGAGGTGTATATATATATATGGCCTGAATCATGGCGATGAACACTACATGTAAGATTATATATATATATATATCATCAGTTAATGAGTGCGTGAATATCAAGATACACAACCTACTCATTGGTTTTCTCTCAAAACATAGTCACTTACTGGTTGGTGGTTTGGCACATGAATTTTATTTTTCCAGCTATTACTTTTCCATCTATTTGGAATGTCATAATCCCAACTGACTTTCATATTTTTTCAGATGGGTAGGTATACCACCAGCCAGCCATATATATATATATATATGTTGCTGTGCTGTTCATATGTATGTTGGACAATCACCATATTTAATAGCTAAACCATCTATTTCGATTAGGGCCATCTATACCATGGCTCTGCAACAAATTACCAGAGGGTTACCAGAGGGTTACCAGAGGGTTACCAGAGGGTTACCAGAGGGTTACCAGAGGGTAAACGTGAAAAGAATTTGCCCAGGATGACTCAAAATCCCTTGGACCGGCCCTGCTTGGCCCAGGTGCGTTGTTGCTCCTGGTGGGCTTGGTGCCCGGTGTTGCCGATGTGGTGTCCTGACCACGGGATCCACGGGATCCACGGGGATCCACGGGATCCACGGGATCCACGGGATCCACGGGATGTCGGAGGATTCGCAAGTCTATATAGAGTTGGGATGGGTTATAACATGTTATAGCAAAGAAGTATTATAGTAATAACCGTAACCAAGATGAAACATGAAATCAGCTATAATATGTAGTGAAATCAGCTATAATATTTAGTGAAATATACAAAGAATATATCGCAGTCAGCTATTATATTTGGTGAAAGATGAAAGGTGAACAAATATCGGGCAACATGAGAAACGGCGACGCCTTCCTCCATTGCCATGTCTGTGAGTGGTGTTGTTTGTGCGTTGTTGATTTTGAACCTGTATAATGCTTGGACGGAACTTTGCAGTGATGATAAACATGAACTGCGACAGCCATACGATGCGAACGTTCTCAGGGGGGTTGACCCAGAAGATCCAGATATATCTTGGAACCTGTCGCTGGCCCTCAGATGGTCAACTGCCAAATCTCAGTTGGACTCCATGCTGGTATCCCTTGGGTTGTCCATTCTAAGGTTGCCAGTCACCGGGTTATCAGAGTTCAGGCTTGCGTTCAGCAGTAAGCTTAACATAGCTTAACTATCCATTCTTCGTGTGGCTGGGGCGTGATCATCCACTGATTGGTTCAATCCCACTCCACCATCTCCCAATGTGATTTGCTCATGTCCATCGCGCGCAATTTTACACAAACTGTCTAATAATGATAAATTGACCAAACAAATCATTCAACAAATGTAAAAGGCTATCAACGAATGATAGGTTATCAACAAATGATTGGTTAATTGGTGAAGAAGAAATGATTCAACAAAAGATACATTCAACAATTGGTTAACTGGTTATCTTCCAGACCCTAAGGTGCGCGTCCTCAGCACCCGCACGGCAAAGACGTTTGTGAGGATCGTCAGTGGCGAAGGCCACGCAGAAAATGGTGATTTAGCCATTGGAAGATGGGAAAAGTCATGGGGATATAATGGGTGAAGCAATGGTGATTTTTGCTGCTGGTTTCAAAACTTTTGTCCAGCTTGGAAATAGGATCCCAACTGACCCGATCATGTTTTTGGGATGGGTTGAAGCCACCAACCAGCAAAATTGATCAAAATTGTGCCTTTCCAATTTAGCAGGTAAACATCTTTGTTTGCAGGTTGGTTAAGATTGGCAATTACGTTTGGCCATTCAAATTTCAGGATTTGTTTTTTAATGTGGAGATTGTGTCTTTTGATGGCAGCCCAATGCAAGCCATGCAAGCCGTAACTTGTGGACGCCCTAGCGCTGGTCTCCATGGACGCAACCTGATGTGACCCATATCTTGCCACTTGCAGTTGCGGGTTAATTTCAACATCACGCATCCCCAAAAATGGGCACACAATCCATCCTCCCAATGTGAAACCCCCTAGAAACCTGAGTTTAGTACTGGATTTATTCATGACTTGGGGTCCCATCGGGGTGGTATCGCAATAGTAGGGGGAATGGGGGAAAGGATTAGAAACATCTCTCTAGCCTAACTAGGAGTTCTGGTCCTAGTGCAGTCAAGTCAACTCCTACAGTCTGCCAGTAGCTGTTCAATTTCTGGTTGGTGGTTTGGAACATGAATTTTATTTTTCCATATTTTGGGAATGTCATCATCCCAACTGACGAACTCATATTTTTCAGAGGCGTAGGTCAACCACCAACCAGATTTTCTTGTGGCTCCAGCAGTGCCACCTCGAAGCGCCAGGTGAGGAGGAAGTAGTGCGAAGCAGCAATTGGTGCGAGGGAGACTTGGCGAGTAGGGACGAGGTGAACATGGATGGGACTAGGGACCCCCCTACGGTGAAGTTCTCGTTTCTCGGAAAAAAAGGAACCATGGTGTCCTGCACTGTTTTTCAGGAAGCAATGCTTGGCAACGATATGCCCATAGATAACTAAGGGCTGTTTGAAGGGTAAGAAAACATCTGAAAACCATGGTTTCCTGCTTAGCCTTAAATCAATCCTTTGCTCAAATCACAGGTCAGGGAACTCTTGAGGATTGTGCCATTTTCACTCCAACAAAAATATACTGTACAAAAATGCGATGCTCGAATTCATGGCAATTTCCTTGGTTTTAAAACAACAGTGGATTTCAGTGGCAAAACCCAGTGGGTAACTCAAAAAGAAAACCTGTGTAGCTGAGATCCCGGAACTGGGTGAAGCAACTCGGCAATGGAGTCCCGATTTACTTCAGACGCCATAATCCGTTCGAAGGGGTTATTTCGCCCGGAAATGCAACGGATGTTTACATCTATTATAGAAATACAGATATTATATAGCCATTATATATATATACCCTAAGGCTCTAGGGTATGTCACTAGGAGAGGCCAGCCCCTGCTGAGCACGTACCATACAGTTGATACCTGCTGAGGAGGGGGCATGGTATGTCATGGGCTGTAGGAACTATCGGGACGAGGGGTCGTGATAGTTAGATGGTTCTTTGTTCATGGCTCATTTGCGTGTGCTCTCAACAGTCTTGGCACTGCAAAAGAATTTATTTGACCAAACACCATGGGCTGGAAGATCATACAGTTTACTCGTATTTTTGAACAATTCATTTGAGTTTTCGGATTCCTAGACTGCAGCATGCCTAACATACCCATGTGGCTGTGTGCGACTTTGGGTTGGCGCCGTCTATGCCGCGGAATCTCAGAGCACATCTCCAAGGCGAGGGTCATGCGGCTTACTGTGCGGGTGTGAAACCTGAATGAAAACATATGAGATACATCTTAGATGGAAGGGTAACAAAAAAGTGAGATAATTACAAGAGTTGTGGAGCTGAGCCGGAGGGTTTGTGGTCAGACCATGTAGCATGCAATGGGTTTGCCTATGTTAGCTACCTCGGCTCAGTGTCCCCGGCCTGAAAAAAAAAACCGTTGGTTGTGCCAATGGGAGAGACGAAAAGTACGCACATTGTGGTGTGCAGCTTGTCTTGGCCAGTCATTCAATAGGCAGCTTCAGGTATCAGCAGTATGTGTGTACGTTCAATTTTTGTTTTCAATGCTGGCGGTTTTGATCATTACCATACCTTTGACAAAGTGTTTTAAGGCTGTTTTGGCATACATTCCAGCCCAAAACCTGAGGCATTATCAAAGCCTTCCTTCCAACCAGGGCCTTGTTTGAATGTGAAGAACGCAAACCTCCGCATAACACTACCTTCGGTGGGGTAAAGAATGTTACGTCCATCTCGTATGGTGATATGACGAAGTATCTCCACCTGATCGTTGGACTATGCGAGTTGTCGCCAGAATGCTACATGGCTGTTAGGGCTGCGTGCGCTGATAGGGCTTTGCCGGTATAGCATAGGTGGTATGATATACAGTAGAACTGTTTGCAACTTCTTTTTCTGAGGTGAATTCACCGTTGCTGATTTTCAAAGCGCCTACATGCACCTAGATGACGAGTTGGACAATAAACTTTCCAAATGTAACAAAGTGTTGCGCATAAAGAAGAGGTGGGCTCTGGATGACCTTTGGCTGCAAACATTCAAAAACAAACAATACCTTTCCATGCGCTATGTTTTTTTTTCTTGTGCGTGCAGCACTATAGGAGGCGTACGTGTTGTTCGGGCTGATGAGCTATGCTCGAGCATATTGGAGAAAAGCTTGCAAGAGAAAGACTGGTGGTGATGTGGCATGCCTAAAAAATAGTGCATCATGTAACTTTATGTATGTATGTGTGTGTGGGTACCAGAGTTGTTTTGTTTGCACATATCCCACCGTGCTCTGTGTGTGTGTGCGTGTCTAGGTCGCCAACAGATTGCGATGTGTTATGAAAGCCAATCCGCGTCGTGCGCGCCCGATGTGCCGAAAGTCTTCTTCAAATGTTGGAGACGCTGGTGGTGGGGATGATGTGGAGTTTGTTGGTGAACGTCTTTGCGGGGGTGGGATCTACTCAATCCAAGCAGG